GATTGCATGAAAAATATATCGATATAAACTACACTTGTTGGAAATCATAAAATAATGACCTAGATGAATGACAAAAAGGAATTGTTTCAATTAAAAAAGAATTGTTTCAAATAGGGCTTGGCTTTCGATCATGAAAAGATATAATTGACGATAATAATGCACATCATTAATATTTTAAATATATATTTGAACGAGAGAAGATTAATATGCGTGATATGTCGCGGCAATTTGCAGTAAATCATCGATAATTAAACGGTATTATGTTTTCGCGGATAGATTAACAGGACATGAATGATCGTTGTTGGTTTTCAAAAGGCAGTGCTTTATTCGGCTATCTGATTGGATATTTTCTCATCTCTTAACTTATCTCTATATTGCTCCTGCTCGAACATCCGGAAATATCCGTTTTCCCAGTTATCAATAGCTCTGAGATTTCGTCTCCATCCGATATCGGACTCCAAACCGCACTGATAATAATGATAATAATGATAATAATAATGATAATAATAATAATAATAATAATAATAATAATGATAATAATAATAATGATGATGATGATGATGATGATGATGATGATGATGATGATGATAATAATAATAAGAATAATAATACAAGAACACAGAGAAATGAGAGACTAGAGAATGCGCCATTTCCACGCTAAAATTATATCAGACCCAAGAAATAAAAATTAAAATTTACATTGAAATTATATCAAGTTAAAAAAAACAAAGTTATCATAAAAATAATATTTCTAAATATACTAAATTTGCAATAAAATTCTTGATACACAATTCAACAATCTTGTATCATGCTGTCGAAAATTTTATCGATTATTAATTCAAAAATTGAAAGAATTTATTTAATTAAATTAATTATTTATTTTTTTACCGGATCGCGGTTTCATAACGGCAAATTATTGTTCGCTCTTTTTTCGCGGTAAGTTTTTGCGCGTGTTTTAGATATTTCTGGGAGTTTTAATTCACTACGATTTCACCGTAGAAATTCCGTACTCCACGAATTTAAAATTAGTAAAAGAAAAACTCTTTCGGCCTGTTCGCTCGATATAGTGGTAAGGTCAGAATTTATATCTCCTGACATATTCGCGTGCATCTATCCTCAAATTTTAATTTGACCCATTGGCCCACTTCGTGATAAAAAATAGCGGCTAATTCAGTTAAATCGCTAAATCGAATATATTGACTCATGAAATTGAAATTAAAGATTTCTGCTTCTTGATATTCATGAAATTTCTATTTATTATTAGAAGTACATACCGCATTATTAGAGTACATACCGCTCCAAATTATCATTTGCACGAAAATACGTGAAAATTCCTAATATATACCGAGATATTTTTTGTAATGTGTAATATTAGCGATGCGATATCATTTTAGTAATTCTTTTTTTATTTACTTTATTTAAGAAATCCATTTTCATGACAAATGCAAAATTATTCCGGAATAAAAATAATAGAAATAATTTATTTTTACGTTATCCTTTACGGAAAATTGTGAAAAGTTAGGAAATACTCTTATAACGGGAAATTAATACATGTATAGATCGGAAATGACTGCCCGTACTTTATCGTTAGAAACGGCCAAATTCGCGAAAACGATTCTGTTAAAGGAAATTAGCGTGCCGCCGCGAGAAATTATGGCTCGGCAGTATTGGAATCTGACATTTTGATTCAATGTCCGATACGAAAGTAACTTTGTCAACCACACGCGGTTACTGAAGTTGAAAACTCGTGTCATTCGATTAACTGGGAATTTTAACGTAAGGCATTGTTATAATTTAGAGAGAATCAGATAGTTTATTAAATATATACGTGTATCTATAACATGATTATCAAAACATTATTATGATAAATTGATACATTCGTTACGAATTAACCAAATTTGCATTCGTAATTTTACATAAGTATCAATAAAACGGAACACACGTAATTTAATTCACTTGTATTAAAAACTTGTATAGAAAAAAAATAAAGTTTAAAAAGTAAAAATATATACTAAAATATTAATAAAGAAAAACAAAAAAGAAAGAAAGAAAGATAAAAGAAAATGAAGATTAATACAAAATTGGCGATATAAATATCTTGTGACAACAATCTTCACAATTTCATCTTTTGTTCGTAAGATACAAACAACCATTGTTTTAAATGAATAGGAAAAGAATAAAACATGCCTATCTGTGCAATCTCTTGGGAATCGCAAATTACAATGAAACTAGCAGATATTTTCTATTTTAAAAAGTCTTTTAAATACTCGTTTTATATCTCGACAAATGATACTTATACTACTCATGAATCTAAAATATTTACACCAACTATCAAGTGAAAACTCTTAAAGCATATAGGCAAAAAAAAATTGTAGGAAAAATTATTTTAATGTCACAAATAAAATGAACTATTTTTATATATTTTTTTACATATTTATATATTTATATATTTTATATATTTTATATATTTTTAACATATTTTAATTATTCATTTATTTCTTGTATAAAGAAAAATGGAGAACAAGATTTTTCCACTTATATTCCAAAATATTTCCTTTTTATAATGGCGAAATAAATCCTCGATATAGGGGAATCCAAATATATCGAGGAGAAGAAGAGTATATATTTTACGGATATTTATTTTGTTTCCTAAAATGTGTTATGCATTTGGAAAAATTCTAATTTACATGGCCACATTTTTCATGTTTCCGGAGATGTATAACTGTAGCATCATGTAATACGCGCGCGTTACATCCTATCAACGAAAATTCATCGATATTGAAACTATAGTATACCACCCAAAATTCCTAGAGTACACGGTAATAACGAACGGTTGACGTTCATGTTCTCGCACATTGTGTACGTTACATCGTGATTCATGCTTGGATTTCCAGTAATTAATGCGGTTCTCGTTGTTGCAAAAGCACCGTCGAGATGTATAAGCTGCACGTCAGCACTGCAAGAAGTTCGAAATTACACATTTTTCCACATTAATTGATTAAAATCAATCGTAAATTTTCTCAATTTTCAAATCTTGCAAAATACACAATAAAGAGAAAAAATATATAAAAGATAAATAAAATCGATGCTCTGTAGAATATCGTTTTAACATAGCATTTTAAATAATAGTCAAGATGCTCTTTTAACAGATTTTAAAAATATTTTGAGCTTAAAAATATTATGAGCTTTGGAAAATACACATAAAATAAAAAAAGTTACAAACGTGAACTTTTTTCAGAAGATACCTTGAAATATTTTGTAATCAATTTGTTTTTAATAATCGTCTTATATTTTTTTTACTTTTTAAAATATGTAAACAAAATACAAGATGTAACCAGATACAATTAAAATATTGTAGGAGCAAATTATTAATTAATGGAAATTTTTATTTTCTTTAGAATCACACATCTCTAAATTTATACATCAGTGCCAGAGTTTCTTTCGAAAGAATTAAAAAATGAATGTATTCTTCTTTTTCCCACAGATATCTTTTTTAAAGGAGAAAGAAAATCATTTTAAATAAATTTTATGTAAACTATTTAAAAAAAGAAAAGAGTAAAAAATGAAATCTCTAAAATTCTTTATTGAACATATAAGCGATTCCTTAATATTATATTTCTTCTACTAATTATATCGACAGATGCATTGGATTTTTGATTATTTGAAAAATTTATTCGTTTCTCGCAAAGAGAAAAAACTAATATATTGTATATTAAAGTAGAAAAATATTACAAAATGACATTCTTCCATAGATTCTTTCACATAATAATAATTATTTTAACTTTTATGGAGAATTTTTTTTAAATTTCTATGAAATTATAGATTAACCATCGATAATTTTCATGTAATTTTATATGAGTAGGATCGGGTTAGACATTAAGTCATCGAATATTTTCATCAGAAGATGGTAGTCGACAAAATGATCAAATTATGACATTTGACGAAAAAAACAAACTAGCAAGGAATTGATATTTGTAGTTGAGCAGTTTAGGATTGAATGTATGACACGTTACATATACAAAAAAAAATTATATATCATTGATATACTCCGAATATCAAAACAATCAGCAACGGTTATAGGAACATAAAATTAAATTATCTTGTAAATGTTTAATAATTACAAAAAATCTTGAAGGAAGAGAATTGGCGAGTCTATCAATTTTACGATCGTTTTATGTAATCGGATAGAAATATCTTGCGAGAATGTAACTCATCAAACGATTTCTATAAGAAGCCACGTATACGTCGGGACCAAGTTTTAAAGTAATCCGCTTGACTTTTCTCTTACGGCAAAGCTAGCACCTTCTAATCAGCAGCCGCGTGGAATCTGCTGCTTGAGTTGTCTTACGAGTAATCACGACTAAAGATCAACGAAAGTTATTAATTATGAAATAGATTTATTAAATAATGATAAATTAAGATTCCATAAATATACAACTCTAATAAGAGGATTCGTATTTATTTATTTTTTTATATAAAAATGAAGATGATGTCTCTTAAAGTACACATTATCTAAAGTATTTTTTTTAAATGCAAATTTTCGTTATTGGATAGGAAAGAGAGCCAACCATATTTGTTACAAATATTTTCATGGCATAAATAGCGATCGTTTTTATTTATTTATTTAAAGAAATAAATAAAAGCTTCTTACATCTGCAAAGAATCTCAAATTATCGTTGATAAGCATTATTACCGGGATAGATTTATTCGAGAAGATGATACAGGTGTTTATAAAATTTGTAAGTAATTCTCAAGCTACTTACAATTTTTAAAGGACGTCAGTTCTAAATCATTCATCGAATTCTTTACATCTATGCGGGCCAATGCCTGCTTGCGAGTACTTATTCCATTCAAGCAGTGTGGCCTACGTTGATTAGAGAGACACGTTCTCAATCTCTCAAAGAGAACCACTGTGATTTGGATCATGTCAATCCTAGATAATTGTATTTCCATCCCGTGTCAGAGTTTAGAAATCTTGCGAGTCCTATCGGGCTTCTTACCTCAACAAAAACCGACACGAGCAGGCAGCCTCGAAGGATAGGGAAACGGTAGCTGAACGATCCTGCTGGCTGCCTCGAGGGAAGCTCGCCCGGGCGGCATGGCTCCCACCTCTTCACCTCGATCCTCCTGGCCGCTGTTGCCCGGTGAAGGATGTCCTCCGTTCGTTAATTCCGAGCAACTTGTATCGTTCCACTATCACCCCCGTAGTGTACACCTTATGCGATACTCCTTTGTAGCCGCGCACCCCGCGTATCGTTCGTAACGCGAATAATTGTACCGACACTCTCCCGCGCCAGCGAGTCAAGCCGCGTTTTTCGAGAAGGCGACTTGACCGGATGTCGCACCACGTCGCGACGCGCCGGCTCTCATCGGATACGCGGATACGCCGTTCGTCGTTCCGCGATTCGTTCGATCCTCGACTCGACGAGAAGAGAAGACCGAGAAAGGGGAAGAAAGAGAGACGGAGATAGGGAAAGAAAGAGGGATGAAGAAGAGAGATACGCGCGACAGGACACGGTACGGAAGAAGAGCCTCGCGATCGGAAGAGACGTAATGTTGGATGATGACGGCGACGACGACGATATACCGTGCAGAGTCCGTATGACTGTCGACAGGATCAGAGACGGGGAGAGGAGAACACGGAGACCTGGGCACAGGCAGGACACGATGGCCCGGCCACTGCGCCGACACTGAGGCTACGCCGCAGCCTCGGCCTCCTGGTACTCCCTCTTCCTCGCTCTCTCGTTCGGTCTCATTCTTGCTCGAATCGTCTCTCTCTAGCTTCCCGTCTCTCTGTAACGCTCTTCCACCCCCGCCGCGAACCGCCCTCCCCTCCCTGCGTCGCCGTTGCTCGCGCGCTCTTTCTTTCGCAATCCCGCGGATGCGTGTGGATGGTGGATAAATTTGGAGAACCCTTTCAGCGTTTGTTTCGGGTTCTTTCTCCTTCCTCGTAACACATGTACACCCTCTCTTTTCGTGTTTACTTGTGTGCTCCGCGAGGATTTTCGAGAAATTATATTTTTTCTTCTTTTGAAGATCCTTCTTCCCTTTTTTCCTGTTGAGTTGTTCTCTTTTTATTTCACCCGACTTCTCCCTTTGCTGATTATATTTCTCATTTTCTCGCTTTTCCCTCAATCTCTCATTCCTCTTTGCATCCCTCTTTCGTCCCTCTCCTTCTCTTTCTCTCTCTCTCTCTCTTATACTCAATTCCCCCTCTTCTTCAATTCCTGTTCCTCTTCTGTCGTCTATTGAAAACTTTGTCGCGTATCTTCAGCCCCACCACTTTTGCGTCTACCATCTCTTTCTACTTCGCTCTTGCTTTTACCGATGCTTCCTCTCACTTTCTCTCAATTGATATCTACATCACTTTTTAGTCAGTATAGTCCTCTTTCTCTTTCTCTTTCTCTTTCTCTCTCGTATCGTTCATCCCCCTTTTCGTCGGATCTCTCGAATATTGCTCTCTGTCCATCCATCTCACACATCCTTTCTTCCGTAAATTTTCCATCTCTCTTTCTTTCTTTATCTTTGTCTGCTTTTCGTACATTCCTTTCCTCCCTCGCTCCTCCACTTGGATATCCCTTCGTCCCTCCGCGCTTTCCATCCTTCCCTTTCCTTCGCAACTCCCACTAGTTATATATGATTTCACCTCTTTCCCTTCCAGAATCTTCCATCCCTCTTCCATCTGTACCCCCACATTCTGAGTTTCATCCCTTTCGTTCACCCAGCGCGCTCCCCTCCATTCTTGCACTAGCGCGACGATCTCGCGTTCTTCACATCTGTCGCGTTCCACCACGAAAGTCAACCCTGTATCGTTAGAGGGTGCAGTTTTTCTTCATTCTATCGCTTACGATCTTATCGAGAAGCTTATATTCTTGAATCAAACAAAATAAAAACACTTGAACATTTATGTATACATGTTCTAAAACGAATTTGTTGGCGGGTGAGACAATAAATGCATTATTCGCAGCAAAGTAGCAAAAGCACGCGCATGTATAAGAAAGGGTGATGTGAGATTGTACATCTTCAAAGAAAAATAATAGATTATTAAAATATCGTACAATGACATCGTAATAATATGTCGCATAAATACCACTACATGTGAGGTAATTTTATTGAAGAATTACGCTGTGTAATTAGAATTGACGTGGAAAATTCGCATTATATGAAAGTGTTGGCGGTAATCGGGGAGCATATTTTCGCATGGACTTTAATGAATTAATTAAACGTAGTCGTGAACCAAACCCGGAAATAATATCGTCCAGTTTTTCACGTAACCGCAAATTGCGTTTCCTTGAAAATTGTAAAGTTTCAAGATGCAGGTCGACAAATGCTCTACCGTTCTTCATGCAGTCGCACCATCTTTCAGCATAAAATGTATCAAATCGCACGCCATTATTAATTCTTTTCCTTGCTCCTTCCCTTGTTTATTCCTTTCCTTCGCTTCATTATCGAATATTTTGAGTGCATATAGCTACACCCAACAATTAAAGATAAATATGTAATGCAATTCTGAGATTTATTTGATAATAACACTGAAAGAGACTCGATAATGAAAGTGTAAAGAGCAAATAGAATGAGTAAAAAGAGTAAAATTGCAGAAAGCGTTGATTTTAATCGATCATTAACCACGTTGTTTTATAATTTTCCAAATAACATGTTCATCGTTTCTGTTACATCGAGCGATCTCACAGTTTCATTTATACCGATTGTGAGTGATCCAATCTAGACAGCATTTTTATTTCGGACGAATCGACTTTCACGAGATTTATCTTATCCATCTTCTAGCTCAGAGATCTGTGCGCGATTTTCTCTTTTCTGCCCACCCTATTTCTTTCTTGTATTTTCCGCTTACCCCAAGCAACGCTGTGCTGAAGTAAACGTTTGCGGATAAGGGAAACAGAATTGAGTTCTCCGTGCTTATTTAACTGCAGAATGGGTGGAATTTTTCTAATAGAATTCGCATTACACGCTTCTCAGTGTATTTTATTTAAATAAATTGATAGAAACTGACGAGCAGCTCATATTCGAAAACGTCGCGATATCGCTTTCCTCTTTCCTACGTAAAAAGATAAACTATTGTTTAAAGATTCACGTTCGCAGAGATATAAAGAAGAGATTCGAATATAAGGCCGGGGCGTTATAAAATATTTCTCGTGATCTCGTCGTCGTACATCTTGTTATTCTACGCACCTTGTTCCCAAGGCTGCGCGCGGAGCTCGTATAAACGTCGCGTCTGTTCATTCCGTAAATTCATAAAGTAGCGAAGACAAACTCGACGTAGGGCGCACGCCATAAGTCGTGCGTACCAGTAATACCATAGTAAAAATGAGCCATGAAATTTTTGCGCGCTTCTAAAGAATTTAAACAATCTCGGAGCACGGAATTTCTTGTCGTCATCTTTTTCGGGTATCACCGACGAACGTTGGCAATCTTGGATAAATATACAGCGTTCGAAGGTCTTGACAACACGCGAGAACGTTATTATGATGCCATAATGGCGATGACGAAAATAGTAGAATGCATATTTCGGACGTATCCTTGCTGGTAGTCAGAAGGCTCGGCAAGATATTGCGTATTATCACGCGGTACCACCCAAGATCGTGTCGAGGTCGACGTAGTTTACAGTACGAGACCTCCCTTCATAGTCACGTAAAATGAAAAGCCACCGCAGTCTAACCTTATTCAAGGAATATCGATTGGCGGAACAAGAAACGTTGCATGCGCGTCCTTGACTCCGGAAACCTTTCCGTTTCAAGGGCCAGGGTCGGCAGGTAAGAGATTAATCGTTCAGGAAACTTTTCGCTCGCGATCATAAGACCTTGATTGTTTCTCGCAAGACACCTACTCGATCGTCAGATAAGTCACACGATAAGCTCTGCCAATTTTTCTTTCAAGAGAATTTTATTAATGCGCTTTATAACGACGCGAAATAACAGGCGACAGAATTTATTTGGATAAATTAAGCTAAAAGAGATGTTTCGAGTTTTCTGAAAATTAGGATAAAATCGAGTCTTCTGAAAATTAAGATAAAATGCGGATGAGAATACCTCTTAATTCTGTTTCCTTTATTTATTATTTGTTATTGCACATATACATGTACACATATGCGCGCACGGATACATGTATTTATCTCTCCTCCAAAAGTTTGCTTTAAAAAATAGTGTGTGTGTATGTACAGTCCAACCTGTGGTTAAGTGGGACCTGGATAAGAGGGAAATCTCTATTATTGAGACTATTTCTGAGATCCTAACATTTTTGCATCAAAAAACCTCTGTAAATAGGAATACCCAACCTCTTTAACCGAGGCTGATATTTAGCAATTCATAGCAATTATTATTTCTATAACTGAGACGATCCCCATAGAAAACCTCTGTAACTAAGATTATTATCGTTTTTCCATTGCAACGTTGTGTATGGCGTTATCGAAAATGACAGATATTTTTTGTGTAACGACATAGTGCTTATTTGCATAATAAGTTTATTTGAATACTTAATTTATGTACGTATTTTTATTTAATAATTACCTCTATAAGTGAAATATACGCGTTTCGAACCTAAATAATTGAGAAATTGGATAAGTGAGACACCTCTTTAAGTGGGGTCAAATGAGCTGTCCCTTGCGATCTCATTTAACCAGATTTGACTGTATATATTATTACTACTACACAATTTATTTCGGCGAGATAAAAAGTTTACCGTTTTCATCTCGATTTCGTGCATTTTGCAATCATAGAAATGATATCATAGATCGCTCTTGATAACGTTGCTATCCTCACGGGGTGAGTCTCACGTCCTACACGATAAATTTGAGAATGGCATCGAGCACACAAAGGACAATAACGAGCTCTCAAGAGGTCACACTGGCGGAAATTCGTCTCACGGGTTCGATCGAAATGCAGTTTCGATCTGCGGCAAATTCCAAGTAGATCCGGAACGGATGCGCGGTCGGTGAGAGAACTTTACCCCGGTGACATTTCAAGCGATGGCTGTAGGTCGATTATGCAACGATCATCGCGGTGGGAATTTCTGTATAAAATTTGAATTGTCTCGGGAATAACAGACATTTTAGGAAACATGTGTAACTACAATGAAAATGAAATATATTGATGCTGCAATAAACTAAATTATATTTTACCTCGATCTCCTTTATATGCAACAATGTAAAAAAATATAAAATCGGGGAAATAATTGACGAACAAATTGTAAATGTTATTATGGATAACTAATAATATGAAAAACCATTTAATACTACAGTAAACCTTTTAAAAAATAATTTGATAATTAATAATTTAAAAATTAAACTATATTGTACATCTTCTTCCTCTGTGTTACATAATCATATTTTTCCTTTTCGATTTAAATTAATAGTTTTTAATAATGTTTAATAATGGATACAAAATTTCAATAACGAAAATTTACACACCAAAACAATTTTTTTCAAAATCATATTGTCAATTTTTTTTCAAAATCGTATTGTTAAACGAAAAATAAACTGTACGCTATGTTTCGTTTTCCGAACGGCTTTGACACTTCCGCTTAACAATTGACTCTTTTCACAAAAGCCATTCGCACGCGTTACAGATAGGCAGAAATGGATTTTCTCCCCTCATTCTGTCTTCTCGCTTGTCAATCACATTTTTATTCAAAGGCGCATTAACGCAACATTTTCATAGTAACAAGAATCTTCAATAGCGAAACGAAGAGACATTCAATCGCTTACCATTTAAATCTGCATAGCTGTTCACTTTCTATGAATACCATTCGAAGGATAAATCGTATGGGCGCACTATTATTGATAATATTATCGATGAAGAAGAATAATTTTTCTTAAAGAAGAATAATTTTTCTTAGTTGATAAGTGCTGACATAAATTCGTTTAACATTCGGATTTGAATTAAATATCGCAATTTTTCGCGATTGTTATCGTCGTTATTTTTATTGTCGAAACACTTTCATCGGACTAAAATAGAGAAGAAAATTACTTTAAAGATATCAAATTAGATCATCGCTTCGTTCTCTTGTCGTTTCTCCCAGCCCACTTCTCGACTGCGCCACTTGTCTCCGTTCATTCCTTGCGAAACTTTTGGCGGGGGTAGGGTTGCATCTCATTATACTTGGACGGGTATACTCGCGCTCCATTTGTCTGGTGGTCGAAGATCGCTATCCGCGTCGCCGATAGCATTTACGGACCATGAAAAGCGGCTGGGCGGGATCGATGACGACGCGTGGCATTGTTTTTGCTCGCGAGAACTGCATGACCGCGACAATGGCTAGCACGCCAAACGCCTCCCACGCAACATCGTTTCTCTCCTACAGATTCCTCTAGTACGGAAAATAGGCTGCGTTCCTTTTGTTTAGGCTCTACTTGTCGCGAACCGAATGTAGTTTCCTCTGCTTCGGACTCGTCACAATTCAATCTTAAAAGCAAGTCTTACGAACTCTACTTTCGTGGGAATTTCTGCACTAGCGATAAATTTGCGATAAGTTTGTTCTCTTCTTCTTTTCTTTCATTTCAGTTATTTTATAATTTATTATGCAATTTCATCTTATTTCGTAATCTCTTTGAAATTATTTTATAATGAATTTCACAATCATAATTTTTTATCAATCGTTTAGAAAAGTTTAAAAACGTGACAAAATATTGTTAGTTAATCAATCAATCAGCATCTGAAGTTTGGATCGTTTCCAAGTATTTAAAATAGATGTAAGATTAAAAATTTCGACGAATCTATCTGACCATCACCATTCAAATGAAAAAGAATAATATCAAGACATATCTAAATAAATGGAATTGCTTATCATATTTTGTAGATTTGCGTGCCAAGGCAATCTCTCCAAAATGTTCTTCAGTTATTAAAGCACCATCGAAATCGGTATGCGTGCAAATGAGATATCATTTCATTTCACATCGAAATCAATGTTTTTGATATCTTTAATATTATCTCTTTAAAATCTCGGTGATTTGATTTGATCACATATGAGAGAATGAATGTCAATTTCGTGTTACGTCTGCCATTATTAACATTATTACGCGAGAGATACAAATTAACGTTGCATTAATATTGTGTATCGCGATAATAATAATAATATATTTCGTTTTATTATCTATATTTATCGATAATGAAATACTCGTTTTTAATCATCTTTATGCACACGCGCACACACGCACGCACAGACACACACACATTTACAAATGCTGCGGGAATAGTATAGTTAATAAAGATATTTATAAGAGAAAAATTGACGCATCAATGTTAATAAATTTAAGACTTCGATTAGGCAATGTCGAAAAAATAACGATTTGAAATTGACGATCCTCCATCGAATGTTCTTCTTAATCTTCACTGACCGAAAAGAGTCATGAACTCGGTGGAAACTCGCTTGGATGTTTGAACAAACATTTTTCTCCCAACTGTCGAACATTCCAGGTCAGCGAGCCAAGTTGCCTCGAAAATTCGCCCATCTTCGGCACACAAGATCCGCGGATACGATGGATAGGATGATTAAATTTTCCAAAAGTCCCTTTGCTCAGACTAACTGATCGAATTGGATAGGCGAACTACGTGAACAAAAACATGATTGTCAGAAGATGCAAGAGCAAAATGTGTATTGTGTATGGATATTCTGCCTTGTGCATAAAGGAATAACAGCAAAGAATAATTTGTTTTTTTTCTGATCGACAATATGAAAATCCAGGTCACTGGTATAACAAGATCGGTTTAAAATCTATAGGTGAAACCAGAAATGTAGCTGAATTTTGTCTAAAAAAAAATTGACAACGTTACATTATTTTGCTTACAGAATAATAATTATAACTATTACACTGAAAGATACATATACATCTAGTGAAATTTAATAATAAAACTTATATATATTTAATAATATTAAGAACAGATTCTCTTTGTATTTTTTGTATTCTATGAGGTTATAGATTTAATTTAATCTTCTTTAAAAACTTCTTCTTTAAACCAAATAAAAGGAACATATTTTAAACAATAAAAAATCGTGAAAGTATGATACGAGTAAAATTTACTCGTAAGCAGTAGAGTTTAAAGTCAGAAGCAATTAATAATTGTTAATTCTCTCTATTTATATTTGGCACTAATTTTAGGAACTTTGGCGTACTATTTACACGTAAAAAAGTTTTTAGATTTAGTTATCGAGGTTACGAAGAGTAGCGATTATATATGCTGGAATAAATTTAACAATATATATATATATATATATTAAATAAAATATAATATCGTTTCCTGTCATAAAAATGTTATATACAAACAAATTTAATCTTCTGACAAAGATATTGATGGCATCAATAAATAGTCGTTGCAAAAATGTAACTTTCTTTAAGACATTTATTTATATAATATAATTAAATAAATATATAACATATTTATACTACTATACAGGGTCTGATAAAACGTCCACCTTGTTTTTCTCGAAAACGGTAAGAGATAGGTAGAAGACATCCATTATAAAAGTTATAGGATAAGTAGGGGTACATACTTTGATGACCGTTCTCTTACCGTTTTCGAGAAAAAACACGGTGAACATTTTATCAGACTCACCCTGTATAATATGTTTCTACATGTTTATATAATATTTATTATATATGAATATAAAATTTTTCATTATTATTAAAACAAATCCTTTTTTTATATTTCGTCTATCTCAGACAAAAAAAATGATCAACACTCACTTTGCTCATAAATATACTTATTATCCCTTTTATTGCTGCCATCGATATCTTCAAGATTATATTGAAACAAGATCCGCCTTCAATTGTAACGACAAGCTCACATTATTAACATTAGTACAAGTATATTATGCGCTGTAAATTTTTCCACAAATTCGAATGTAATTATCTTAATAGATTTTAAATTCTCTCCTTCAACACTATTCTTCTTTTATATTACAAAAATCTGGCATTAGTACAATTGAATTTATTGCTACGAATAATTCTTTTCCAGTGAATCTAAAAACGAGTTTAGGTCAAGGAGCACTGCTCAAGCCAAAGCATTTGTTCCAAAATTTGTCCATCGTGTGATAGAAATGAGGGGACACGTGCTCGAGACTATGCGCCTCGTCCGTGTACGTGATCTGTTCGAACAGGATGTCATTATGTTCCAACGACTTGGCGAGCGCCATCGCTTGCTGGTAGTGCACGTTATCGTCCCCGGTACCATGTATTAACATATATTTTTTGCCTCTTATTCCTTCTACTTGTCGTGTGATGTCCGTGCGATTGTAACCGGCAAGATTGTCCTCGGGAGTCGGCAATCCCATAAATCGTTCCGTGTAAATAGAATCTGTAACAAATCAGATTTTGAAGAGATACGCCAATAATGCTCGATTATTAAATCAAAGAAAGATTGTTAAGATTAAAAGTTAGTAGATTATTTTTCCTCTCTCTTGTATTCATATTAAAAATGACGAATTTATAATAACCGTAATAAATCCATGAAGTTACAGGCGCAACAGATATGCCGCATTTGAACACAGAGGCTGTATCTGTTGCAAGTACCATGCCGCTGGTAAAACCACCGTAACTCCAACCCCATAAACCAGTCCTATTCGCATCGATCCACTTGTACTTGTTCTGTAGAGCTCTGAAACATGACGAAAAATATTTATGTCGGTGTTTGCAAAATGAAATTGCTCGAAAATGAAATAATAGCGTAATTACCAACAATGTATACATTACTCACTTAGTAACAGCGATTGTATCTTCGATCTCTACAGTTCCTATATTTCTATATATCTCGAAGAGCATCTTGCTGCCCTTGAAGGCTGAGCCTCGTCCGTCGATCCACGCGTAGATTACGTGTTTGTTAGTTGTTAGATAATACTCATAGTCGTATTTAACATTATCAGTGATCCTAACTGTGTTTGGACCGCCGTATCTGCGAAATAAATATTTTCAAATGATTATTTTTTTTTTAAACTAAAATTTTACACATACATATATATGTATATATTATTATACATAAGAAGCAAAGAGCTTCTTCGTGATAAATGACGCAATTTTATCCCACTTTATGCCACAAAGGAATAGTATAAATTTGTAAGTAAATTATGCACTCGATACGTGACAAATGCTTCTTAAAGAAAAAAAAGAGAAAAAATATAAGAGTCATTAAAGGTAATTGATCGTTGCGAAAGCAACTTTAACATGAATCGACCGAACAAACAGACTCGATCAAAGGTTATTCTAATTTTAAATGGAAATTGCGAATCGAGTCCTTTTGCATGCCGATCAATCATAGTATATGCCGGTGTAATTACACTGTTACGCCATTATTAACGATATGTATGTAGGCAGACATTGTTTTAATCAAACACTGTAATATCGATCTAATTTTTACAACTTTGCTCTTTTCAAAATTTATTATTTTTTATAAATAAAATTTTTCAAAATCTTGAAAATTAAACTTTTCACAATACGAAATATCATAAAGATTTTACATTCGAATTAAACGAAACGGAACATATAACATAATATTTATACACATATTTGATAATAAAATGATTTACTATTAAAATACATTTTTCCATAATATTGAATAATATATAATTACATTGAAAAAATTTAATTATTTTCACATTTTATGCGTAATATAGCAATAATAATTTAACGACAACGCTTTTATGTCCTCCGCGTAAAATCGAAATAATTGTAATTTTATTTTTTAAAAAAGTCAAAAAATCTGAGTATACTCACACATATACCAACAAGGGATATGATTTATTTTCATCGAAATTCGGCGGCAATAACAATCTGACTCTAGAATTATAGCCATTTACAGTTACACTGAAATCTCTTTGTTGCGGCATCAATCGTTGTGACAAAAGTTGTCTTATCAATGAATTAGTGTTCCAAGTCAAGATTGGCCGATGATTTCTGTCGTTAATTGTTATTGCAGTTGGATCAGGCCCGGAACAGGTGAAAGCATAATATGATCTGCGGCTTGAAAAAGCTGCAGTTGCATACGTGCATTTATTACCTGCAACATTTTAATCATTAGATTTTTTACCGGCATCTTTATAGCTAGTTATAGCTTCGTTATAGTTGCGAAAAATTTTTCGTTTTCTATTCGACATAATAAAAACATTCATTTACGGAAATCCTTTTCAATTCTCCTCATTTTGATGTTCACGTATTTAAAAATTTGGCTTTCATTTTCGGATAAATATATATAAGTATATACGTGCACATAAATAATAATGTGAGAGTAATATCGTAAACTAATATAAAACGTGCATAAAATTCTACTTACTGACACGATATAAACTCTATGAAACGAAAATATAAAAGGAGACATAAATTTCTGCACTTTCTATAATACTTTTCTCACTAGTAGTTGTAATAAATTTCAAACATCTATTTTAACGGATATATCGGCCGAACATATCGGATCTCTCATAGAGGTAGATTTTTCGGCCCAAATAGTCGAACGAATTAATCTCCTTTACGATAGCGCAGAGGAACGCAGATAACGCAGCTGCCGCCAATAGCCGGAAAAACTTGTGCAAAAAGTAATATTTCAGTCCCTCGTTTCACGCGACGTCTCGCGCATTAAGTTGAGATCTTCCAAATCTTCTCGCATAACAACGAGAAGATAAGTCGGTGCCAAGTTCATACGGGAAAATTTGAAAATTCTTATTTGAATTTGCAGACTTGGTGCATTTTCCGCGTGCTGTAGAAATATGAGAAGAGAATTGCGATCTTCGAAGGGAGTGTAGGGCGTAGGTCCTAAATTACATCATCGTCACTACTCGCGTTTGAAAGTTTTGCGTAAATCTTGCCGACACTATACATCCATGCACATATACGTTAAATATTCATGAGAGCGACTTGCAGCTTTCATCGGGTGAGATTACTCCCGATGGACTTTTGCGTTTTAATTGGAACATGTACCTACGTGCCTATGGAGAAATTATACGAGTGCTATCGATAATATGTTGCACAATTTCTCCTTCATCTATATCTGCTTAAACATTATTGATCTTGTTTAAAAATCGGACGCAAACTTAAATAAGAGGGACAATTGGAAATTAAAATTCACCAAGTCTCCGTGTTTTCCTTGTATATATGTAGGAAATATTTTACGAGAAATATCTTGAATAAAATATTCCCATGTTACTGAACGTTCTCGTGAAATATGTAAGGTTATCACATTGGCATATAGCGCAAGCTCATCACATTAAAAGCATGATGAGAAAAATGATAGACATCGCGTTTCTCCCCGTTTCCTCTCTCTTCCTCTCTCTCTCCACCCGATCGTATTCGCGACATTCGTGATTTCGAGTACTCACCTTCCGGCGTAAGTAGTTCGCAGGATATGCAAGTTGGTTTCTGGCTCGCATCCAAAGGTACCGAATACAAATTCCTCTGGGTCGGTTCACCCGGTGCTGTAGCGAGGTAGTAAACTTTGCCTCTAAGCGAATCGACGGCCAAAATGGAATGTACCTCGGAGGGACCGGGCGTTAGATCTACCGATGAAACGAATCGGCCACTTTCGAACTCATATCTGACGATATAACATAAATGTTGGATTACGAGAGAAAAATTGATAGAAATTGAATTGAAAAAATTTTTGATACATCTTCAAGTCAATAAAAATCATTAAAATCCAAATCATTTAAATTCCAGCAGATATCGAGGTGCATTAAAAATTTAAGTAATAAAAAATGGCACGAAATATTTTGAAAAAATTATATCTTTTCATTGACCCATGGAGATGGATTTGTCCAAGTTGTTTGGCTTTACCTGACTATATGTCGAAATTTACCGGCATTAGTGCCAGAATCCTTCCATTGTAACAGTAACGCATAATCACCGGCTCTTATGGGGCGATTTGGCTGAAGCCAACCCTCGATCTCCTCGTCGTGTAAAATCGGTTTACTAATACCCTGCGTATCATACATGATCAATAGAGATTGATTTTGCACGCGGTTTGTCCATGTCACGATTACATGTGTTGTGTCCCACCAACTTGCAGTAAATAAAATATTATCGCTGCGAAAGAAATTCAAGTAGAAATAAATTAATCAATCTCTTATCAATATAATATATGATTAATCTCTATTTAAAGATACGTGGACGAGAGAAACGCTCGTTATTAATATTAAAATTATTATAAACTTGCCTGCCAATCACATCAACGGGCGCTTCCAAAACAATTGCTTTCGATGATTGATTACTTAAATCGATTACTGACAAAAAAACTTCTGGATTAGGCGTACCTACCTGAAAATATATAGCTGAGAGATAATTGAATAATACTTTGAATATATAGATTTTAGAAAATTCTCCCCTTCCCCTTTCTCTCCCCCTTCTCTCTTGAAGTAAAATCTCACCTTGGGATATTTTAGCTTTACTTGAGTAGGATATTGATCCTCAAAAGAACCAGGAACACCGTAATAAAAGTATGCCATGTCTTTTACTACGGTATCGTTAAAAGTTGCAAAAGCTAGATACCGTCCATCCGGCGAATACCACATTGCGACTGCAGATCTAAGTACTTCCTCTGCAATTAACATTTACAATTACTCATGTTATTTATAATCTAGTGTTATTAATTATTTTATTAATATAGAAGCTCGTTTACTTCGTAATGCATAATTCTTTTTTTAACAAACATTATTTATTGTAAAGTATATTTATTTGTATATTTATGCTACATATTTATTTTTATTAAGATGATTACCTTCATATACCCAATCCGGAACTCCATTATAAATGACACCAAATTTACCGCTTTTCGTTAATCTACGAACTATAGTCTGCTCGTGATTGAAAATCATGTGATAGATATCGTTATCATGAACGTAAACCAAATCATTGCCGATCGGTGACCATAATGCCAATACGATAGGAGCTTCATCCGCGATTTCGCTATATGTACTGCAAATATATGGGAAATTTAATTAAAAATATTTCATTGTCGCAATAAAAAATAAAGAGCCGACAGGCGTAAGATGGAAAACAGGTGTAAGTGTTATATAAATTTTTATATTATTCTAACGTATAAACAGCTATGTCAACCCAACAGTTATGATTGCAAAGATAAATGTCTAAATTTTTCCATTTATTTTAATGACACACTTAAACTAAAAAATATACATTTAATATCGTATTGTTGTTTATGTATAATTTAAGACATCTTATATATTCTATACCGCGAAGAGAGAAGCAAATTAAAATTCTTAGATCCCAATAATGAGCGAATTATATTTAAAAGAGAAAGCGCCCAAAGACAAATATTAATGAATCTATTTATTATAAAGATAATTAAGTTGTCTCTATCTAAAATTTATGCATTTATTTTGTTATTTTTTTATTTAGAAGTATAAAATTTAAAAATTTGTCGTAAACCGCGCATTCAATTTTCATTCAATTTTCGCAATCAATTCGAAATTAATATTAATTATTAATATTTTCGCCAACATAAATATGTGTTATAAAAATATAAACGAATAAATTTACCTGCGGTTTACGTCGTATACTACATAATTTCTGACGGTCGTATGTCTGAATACCTGCGCAAATTATTTATCTTAGAATTATCCAAATTTAAACGAAAACATATTAAATAATTAATCACTCACTTGTTTAACATTGTAACCAAACAGAATGTATTGTTTGTCAGCCGAGAAGGTTGCCGACATAAATTTGTATGGTAGCTAAAACAGTTTTAACATTGAATTTTATTAAAAGCATGTATTATTTATAGATTATAGATATAAATATGGGGATAATATCCTGATCTATAATATAAATATAGCTGTTTTATTTTGAGAAGTATCAAAATAACATTATCTATATAAATTAATATAAAGAACTTGTTTCAAGTATTGAGAGAAAATTATATTTTTATAGCTAACTTTAGCAACTCGTAAAGTATATTTTATTCCATTTTTATCATAATATCTCGATGATAATGAAATATCAACAGGTTGAAGTCTCTCCGAGATTAAATTACATTATAAAACATCCTTACTGGCCATTTTGATCCATCAAAAATTCGTTTATTCTCCTTTGTTACTACATCATAAATAGTAATATTGCTGTTAACAATATCTGTAATCATAATTTCTCTATCGGAGATCCACGTGCCATTGAAGCCGAAGCTATAGTAAAGTTGAAGATAAATCTCTTCCAGAGTAAATGGTTTCTTAGTGACTTGATCATCATTTTTAGTGCGAATGTTGGTCCCATTGATATGTGCAACTAAACATATACGTTTAACAAAAAAAATCTAAACGATTAATATGATTAACATCATTAAAATTTATTGAAGTTCTCACAATATTTTTATCATTGATAATTAAAAATAATTGAAGATTTATCGAGTTAAAATAAATTGATTATGCAAAATATATATTATATGAATCGACCTACTTGTCCGTGATTGGCCGATGATGATTAGATAATTGCACAGTATAAGAAGTCCAAGAATCTAAAAAAATTTGAATTGTGTGTCAAGGATATAATACTATTAAAACTTTTATGATATTTTTGCATAGATATTTTCTATTGTGACTAGTCTCTAAAATGTAAATAAAAGAATAATACATACACATAAGAGAGATCTGAAAAATGACTCAACGACAAAAAGAAGATGTAGGGTAATAAAAACAAAGATGAAAGTGGATCAAACGATCGCGATATTTACAATTTTTAAATGCTGAATATATAAATCATCTTGATAATATTTAGACTAGAAATCAACAAAAAGTCACAAAATGATTATCATGAAATTAAATGATTATCGCACAAATTTCCAACTGCCTTTCATATCTTCACTTTCGAATTTTTAATTTTGATTTGCGATAATTAGGAAAAATTGCGCTATAGATTATTAACCTACATATCTTTTCCATAACATTATTTTGATGAAAAACGAAAAAAAGAGATAGAGAGAAAAATGAAAGGAGAAAGATTATTTTCTGCTTTTTTATCTTCTAAAATTGAAGTTTGAATTATGAATATAAAACATTGACCAATCTTTTTAATATTAAAAAAGATTCAATTTAGTAAATTACTCTTCTTTTTGATGTTAAAAAACAAACTGTCGATATTATTAATTAAATTAAAATTGGCAATTTTCTTTTTTCTATAATTACCAATCAGCTTTATTTAAAAAAAGGAAAAATTTAAAAATGGAAAAATTTATTTAAATAATAAAATTAAAATCAGTTAGTATTGATGTAACAAATCCATAGTGAAATTGATGGTCGGAATATCGGAAGGACAAAAATAACTTAATATTAGAATAAGTTAATACTTCGAACATATTATCGTATACTTCCTTAGACGAAGAAACGGAATGGGGAAAAGCTTAGATGGAAAGCGATAAATCTCTCTCTCTTTCTTGACAGTTCGAACCCTCGAAACTTTTCCATCCGTGGCTTACATCTGACGAAAAGTGCTCTTACGAACTTATCGATTTGATATATCAGGATACTCGCGCCTGTCCCATGAACAAAATCGAAACAAAAGTAAGTCGGATAAAAGCCACGTGGAAAATTGCAAAAATTTCGGTAGATCGATATTTATTTTATCAGTTACCTCTTAAACGCAAAAATGAATGAATTCAGCAATGGCTAAATTAAGTGCTTTGAAAATTTCAAAAAAAGATATCATAATATTTATATCTTTGATTTCTTACAACTATCGTTAATTCTAAGTAGCTATCGTTTCTCGCAATAATATTTACAGTTTAATAAAATAAATTTTAAATTTCTTTAGTAATCTGTAACTTGTAATTAGTATTATTTTTTTCAACTTTTCGAAATTCAAATTAATAAATTTCATTAAAAATTATATATTATATTCCGATATATATAGTCTAATATAGCATGGCAATTTTTAATTAATAATTCACAGGCATGGCATTTTAACCAATAATTAACAAGCATGGCATTTCAACCAATAATTCACAATCAAAGATCTTTTAGAGTGAAAGGAAGGAATAGCGGTGATATAATGAGGAAAATTGCCGCATTTATGTTACAAAGTGATTCATTTCGCGCTGTTTCGTCCATTTATTATGAATTTCCCTCTTTATATCTTTTGAAGAAAATCCGAAAGCATATTACAAGCATAAAGTTTTAGAAAAATTTCTCTATTTTATCTAAATGTACTTTATAAATTTCTCCATCTAACGATAATATGATGATCATAAAATGAACAAAAAAAACAAATCCATTTTATTGAGAATCTGAAAACGAGAAAACAATAGGCTTAATGTGCCATTGGACAACATACCGTGTGTCTTGCCATGACGACCATCAGCTGATTTATTAATCGTAGAGTCTGGACGATTGAAAAATCCGCTGCTGACGCGACGACCGATCTCGCGAGTCCGACAGAGACTAATATATCGTATGCTTTCTCGATGTGTTCGCAGCAATAGCACGTGCTCCCACCTCTTTCAACAAATCAGAGGCATACCAGTGCGTAAGCGCTTATGTATCTTCTGTCGTGCTTATAATTAACTTTTTCCGTTCTTTAATAATTTGCTGCAATATTTTATCGATGCCGATAAGATATTCCTTTTTTTACGTAAAATCAAATCAATCTATACAAAAACAAATAATTTGTTCCCCCAAATAATAATGCGAAAAATAAAAAAGAAAGAATCAATTTGTTTTCCTCTTTTAAATTACCATATTGCAAAATTGCAATTTTTTATTAAAAGAAAAATGGTTTTTTTAATTGATATTATTATTAATAATTGATAAACAAATGATTGATGATTTATTGTTACACACACACATATATGTTATATATATATATATATATATATATATATATATATATATATGTATATGTGTGTGTGTGTATGTGTGTATCATGTTATTATTTTTATGATTATCTCAAATCAATATTATTAAATTACTTTAGAAGATTTAAACAACCATTGTTTGAGCGGACAAAATAATATATATATATATATATATATATATATATATATATATTATTTTGTTTTTATAATTTTTTACATTTTGAAATTTATAAATCACATTGTATATAAAAAATGATAAAAATGAAGATATGATATCAAAGCTTTTAATCAAGTTTGGTGCGCATTTATATGCGATAAATATTATATGCATATATGTTATATATATAAATATTATATTACACGATATCTCTCTTTCTTTCTTAAACATAAGAAATTGAGGACATTGTTACAACGATAATTATACTATAAAATTGCAAAAGTTGTGACAAAAACTAAAAACAGCGAGTAACAAAACAGCGCGCTGTATTAAATGCCAACTGACTGTTACTGTTATCAAGGCCGCCTGTTATTATTTAACTATATGCGATAAGTCGTAATTATCTATTCTCGTGAAATACATAACTAATTTTTGTGCTATTTAACTAACACAATATTGTATAAATATGTCTGCCAAATAAATAAATTGAAAATCAATCAATTTTATCGATAGAGATTGTTTTTGTCAGTTGTTTAATTTTCAGAAGAAATTAAATTGATTAAAATAAATTCAAGCAAGCTATTATTTGAATAATTATGCTGAATTAATCATATTGAATAAATTATATATTATTTCTTTCGTGTAATTTGACGAATGATTTTAATTGAAACATTATTGTAGTGGCAAATATATTCTTCATGTATATTTGCAAAGCATCTAAAACTCTGCTATCAATGAATAAACAATTTTTAACGATTTTTGCTTGCCACGAAATATATCGTTTCAAATATATATTATATGGCACTCACATGTTGTACACAGCATTTTATTATTATGACGCATATACTAATATCCAAACTCGATTCTTTTCTAATATCTTTTTACATAAAACTTGCAATAAAAATATCGAGCTTTTTTTGCGTCTTCATATTACTTTGGAAAGAATAATTCATCCTAAATAATAATATCAACTGAAATAAAGCCTTTAATTTTTTTATATACTTTCCACTTTCCACTTCCACAATTCTGTGTTAATTACTTTAAAAATTTATTACAATAAATATAATTTAAAATACACAGATTTCACACGCTTTGTATTCTTCACAAATTTTAGTCGTCATATTTTTTCACGTTTACAAACGTTTATATTCACATCAACACTCGCAAGGTCGAAAATATATGTTTCGCCTCAATAAAAGTCATTTTAAGAAACACGATCGCTACGATCGCAGCTTGTATAGAATTCAACGGGTCAATGCCGTAGCTATTGAGGAAAAGAATCATTCCCAACCTTCCTCCTGATGTTACCAGCCATCATTTCATGGCATCGTGCGTGACACACTTATAAGAGGAGACATTGCTGTCATCAGCGTTATCATCGCGTCCGTATTCGTCGCAGTCATTTTGCACGTGGATCATTATCGAATCCCTAGCTCATGACAATCAGCCAATCTGATTGGATTGTAAGGTCGTTCTCGCTATCTATTATTATAACGATTAAATGAAGAAAACGAAAAACAGAAAAATTTTAATATCATAAACAAACAAGAATGGCAAGATTTATTTCTAGATTTATAGAGATTTTATATATAGTTTACTTGTCGTTTCAAAAGTTTGAAATAATATTTCTTTTATTGTTATCTTATTGCTGCTCTTAAATTTATAAAATGCAAATTATATTTTTGACGGTAAAATGTATTTTCAAGGAGTCAAATTCACTTTCAATTTCTCCATAAAATCTATACATCTTTACTTTTTTATATATTTTTTTATTTTTACTGTACTTTAAAATTTTGCACAAGTTAATATGAAAAGCAAAAGGAGAAAAATTTTCTATAAATGAACATTTTGGAAGCTATTGCGGTAATAATTTTAATCTGCGACATTTTATCTTTTTCAATGGCCGTAGTTTTCCTTATCAGAAGTCTGACTTTTGCACGGATATCTGAAGCTGCACTTTTTCATCTTAATGATATTTTCCGTTTTCCAAGCACATGAGGAAAGATATTATTTCTTGATAATGCTAAAGTCTTTGGAAAGAAAAATTTTAATTTTTTTTGAAAATGTAAAATTATAAGGAGCAATAACACTGGAGTAAATTGAAGCCACTCGCCATCTCGTCTTAATGACATGAAATACAGAAACGATGCAACTTGAGTTACCTACCGTTAAGCCTTACATTTGCTTTAAACATGCCTACCAGATGCTAACGTCGGAATTTTCTTTGGTCTGCGTTACTTGCTAGTAGATGGCTCTTAAACTATAATGACAAGTTTACAAAAAAGATTCCAATATCTTTTATATCATAATAGCATTATTCTTTATTATCACATTTATTACGTTAAAATAATGTGTGTAGAGAAACATTACACGTATCCACAAATCTTATATAAAATTTTTCAACTTGAATATAATTTAATTTTTGTGACATTTTTTAAGTAAAAGGAGAATGAAACTAATTAAATACACCACTTGTAGAGTCAGAACGATATCTTAAAAAAAGGAGTAATCTAAGATAAATAAAAAGAGGAGCAATAATATAAAGAATATATGTCAATTTAACAAGATTACCATTCTCTTATATTTCGATTCAAAGAACATCGAACATTATATAATGAAAATAACATTTTATAAATTTGGAGGACGGCAATAAGATAATAACGAAAGGAAGTGTGCTATTTCAAACTTTTTTTGAATTTCCTTGCGTTAATTCTCCTTCATGCAGTCCCGCGAAAAATATCTCCGACCCTTTCATGGGCGCGTTTACTATCGATCGAGGGGGATATAACGTGTAACAGTCGCGTTGCCACGAGTCGAAGAATTGCCCCGGAGAGAAAGAGAGGAAGAAAGAGAGATAGATAGAGTGCACAAAGACCACCCCCTTTGCACCGACTATAAGTACCGGTCGCGGTTGGTTCGTGCGACTCATGAGCGTCCTGCGATCCCGGCGATATCGTTTTCGCATTCGCGTAAAAACTACTTGGCGCCGAAGTCGTTTCGATCTATAAATAGATCTTGATCCGCCGAACAGCGGTTTATTTTCATCGCTCAATAGCCGCGATAGCGATCATCGCCCGAAAGCATCGATCCACCAAGAAAAGCCAACGACTTACGCACGTGGAATCTTGGACGGAGGAGCGAGCATGACAACCCCATGGAATCGAAGAATTTACGGCGAATTTTCGTAATGACCGGATCCCAAGTGAAAGACCTGAGTGATCGGTCAGGATAGACGTAATGTCGCTCGGAATTATCTCAGAAAGTCAACCGAAATGATGAGGAATAAATCAAAGGGAAGCGTCATCGACGACGTTTGTGGTTGCTCCGCTCTTTCGTCGATCATTCAAAGAAAGAACCTCAACTCCACTTCAGGTAAGATTATTCAATTAAGACATCTCTACATGTTCTTTTTTCGTTTTTTTAAATTAAATTTATCCTTAAATTTACATTGATACGTTGCCTAATATGTCATACAATCGTGTTACATTTATCGCTGAACGCTAATTTGTAAGATTTGCATGAAATCTTGTTTGAGGTCCTCTTTTCTTATGAAACACTTTTGGAAAGTCAAAACTGCTTTTCATCAATTATAAATAATTGAAGTAATCTGATTAAATCTGGTTTAATCTGATTAAAATTATATTTAACGAAATTCAACGAAAGAGAAGAAATGTAAAATACTGAAAATATATCAGCTGCGTATATTGAAATTGTTTGAAATGGATTTGAATGTCGAAGTCCAAATCTGTCAGCATGCTGTTCAAAGTTTGTGCGATTCGATCGATTGTTACGCACATGTTCTCTAGAAGACGGAAACCTCGAGCGATCGATGACGCTCGGTCTGCAACCTTGAACGAGAAAAGCGAACACTGATTGCTTACGATTTTCTTCCTGTTTGTAGCGGAAAAGCCTCGTTAGGTCAATACGATTGAAATACTTCCGATAATTGTCGGCGTTAGATGCTAGACTTTTATTGATTTTATATATTTCTCAATTTCTTCCTCTTTTCTCTTTCTTCTCTAGCTTGCGTCAATTATCTTGTCATCACGTTTTCTTGACCTTTTCACCAGAATCAATCATTTTTTCCTTTATCGCTTCAGGAATTACTATATTGATTTTCCTCTGTAATTTTAAAATGTTGATATAATTAATAGAATTCCATTTCTTTTCTCCTCAAAAAATTTTAGTTTCTAATACATGTAAAGAAAATTTTCTAGATAATTAAATAGAGGAAACAATGTAAAGAGATATTAAATGTACACTTAAAAAATAATAAAAAAACGAAACTTCCGCGAAATCGTCTGAACACGTGGAACATGGCGCACCGATTCATTCCTTTTATTTTTCTTCTCTTCTTTCTCGTTCTACATGCTATATGCCCCCTCCATAGGCCTACCAGCTGGTTTGTTTCTGGATACAACATCCGACTCTTCGTAAAAGCTAGCTTTGAATTTCTGAAGGCAGTCGGCAGCCAACGCCGCTTACGAATCTTTGGTCTTCCGATCTCTCGCGCTTGTCTTTCATTCATTATTATTACTTTTTCATTACAGTTTTTTATCACAGGTCTTTTTTATCACAGTTTCGCAATTTTTTATTGTGTCTTGTTATTTTTATTTCAAAATGAATTAGTAATTTTTCCAAACAATGACTACGCGAGATATAATAATGATTATCCGAGAGAAAAATTTCAACAAGTAGCATGAATTATGTGACGTTGAAATCGTGTCAACGAGCGTAGTCGGGTTCGTCTTAGTTGCCCCACTATCTTGGCATTGTGCCGCTCGCAATCCCCTTACTTGGACCAAGTCTCTCGGGCCCTGGCAGGTGTAAGACAGTGTTTCCATTCACCGCAAAGTGATAGCAAGAAGTGCAACGACGAAAATATTGCATTGGTGAATTAATGCTGTAATTATTATGCCAATGATCAAATTGTGACAACAGGCTTATTAACGATAATGCAAGATTCTTTAATTCTTCTAAATTTCAAGAAGAAAGTGTATATATGTGTGTTTTCCGTCTTGGAAATATTAAAAAATGTAAAATAATATTTTAAATTTAAAATAATGATAACTTTATAAAAGTATAATAAAAAAGAATGGAACAAAAGAAATATGCAAAACAATATGTGTGTGAATATGAAAAAGTAAACTTTTATATTAAACTTGCAAAAAACTAAGTTTCATAAAAATCGGAAAAGTTATCTAGATATAATTTTCTATTCTGCCCACACGAAGCTGAATGTTGTCATCATGGTTTTCTTTGGAAAAAAAGAAAAATTGGAAGATCAGCGATTGTTGGCTAGCATGGATGCGATGAATGGCGCGATTATCCATCAAATCGATAACGGTAAAATTTCCATTATTGCAGGACAAAATATTGTTATGTGGCATCTCGCGAATAATCTGTAAAACGTTTTATATTATAATAGAAATAATTTCTCCCTCTGATAGAAATATTCACGCTTCTCCGAGATTAAAGAGAAATATTTTGTTATTCTACACACACATACGAATACGTGTTTTCGATAGCGAAACGTATTTCTTCGAACATCCGGTGGGAATGAATGCAAATATTATCGCCAGTCGCATATTTTTAATTTCCCTCGTTTGTTTTTCTCTAGTTTTAATATTAATTATATAGCGTAACGATTACACACACACACACACACACACCTTTCAGTTGACAACTTTCAACTGTCGCGTTTCCTGTTTGCTCGTGTGTAAAATTCATGAATGCATTGCGATAACAATGCATTTCAAGACTGCATTCAGAGCTAATCAAATTGATAATAATAGCAATGTATTAATACGATGAATCGATAATATTATTGATGACCGAAAACAATGCAATAAGGTAATATCAAATTTGTAATAGTTGTAATATATATTTTAATTATAACATTTCTATTTTTGATATCTTTGTATATTTATACTATATACGATTGCATTATTTTTATAAACATAAATTATTATATTATTATATAATATATACATAATATATAATATATATTAATATATATTATATAATATATATTAATATAATAAACGAACATATACGAACATGTTTTCGATAGAGAAACGTATATTTTACATGTCATCACATTTTTTAAATAAAATTTAATCTAGCTAATGCTGAAAAATATTTGTAAAAAATATATATTTATAAAAGCGTGAAAACCGGCAGCATTCCGTACACATTGTACTTCTCATGTTCCGATCCATGCTTCAATGCCTTGTAATGGCATACATTTATCATTCATGCATACTCGGCATAGGTTATTATTACATAGTCAAGTGACTTTTTATCGAGGACTCAGGTTTCAAGTATGTGTTGAAACGTAATCGATCAATAATTCGTACAAACCAAATCATTTAAATTTAAAAGCTGTATTTTCATTCTCTCACTGTATTTTCACTCTCTTTCTCTCACAAAATGGAAAATCAAGGAATATATTTCCCAAATATATTTCTACTTTATTCTTTTTCTTTAATCGTAAATTATAAATTATAAATGATAAATTATATATGTATATATGTATGTTTGTAAGTATGTATGTAGGATATTTAAATAAATTAATAATATCATGATAAATATTACAAGAAATATCGTAATTATATGCACTAGATATAATCGAATCGCATGTACATTAGATACAGATATAATATCACTTAGGTAGAACGCGATAATAATATCTAAAAGACCTTGGAAAAGCATCGTACTACTTGAAGTCGCGAAAAGTGACGTTAATTGAAATGCACTTGGATGTGTTATTTAACAGCTTTACACTTTATCTTCGAGCTTGTTGTACTTTCGATCAGTAATTAAAATAAATACGTGCAAATAATTCAAAAGAAAATATATGAGAAATATCTAAAATTGGCTGTTCGATCAGGATTTTACTGTGATACCAGTCTCTCTTATTTATAAGTAAAAAATTTTGCAATTTAAAATTTCTCTACACAAGATCCTTCCTTTTAATTTGTAATAAGATTATAAACTAAAAGGAAGGATCTTGTGTAGAGAAATTTTAAATTGTAAAATTTTTTACTTATAAATAAGAGAGACTGGTATCACAGTAAAATCCTGATCGAACAGCCAATTTTACATATTTCTCATATATTTTCTTTTGAATTATTTGCACGTATTTATTTTAATTACTGCTTTTCCTTTTAGTTTATTTTCAATTTATATTTTTATTTCATCTTTTAACAAACTTTTAATTAATACGAGAAGAAGAGAATAAACAATCGTAGAAAGAGATGCAAAAAGGAAATTTTAATAGCACTTCAAGTTGAGAATTGAAAGAGATCTTGCGATCATTGATGCGTCGGCCACCTGTAGCTGACCCAAATATTGATCAGGCCGAAAGATGGCCACGCCCGGGTTCACTCTCGCATCGCTGCGACCCCATTGGCATCCCCCGCTTCTTCCTTGCGCCACCCTTTACTAGTCTCTCTTTCTCTCTTTCTCTCTCTCAACCGTTACTACCGTTGCGGTCGTATGCCGCATGCGGCGATGCGCTGCTCCTGCTCCTGGCCCGTGAATCCGCAGCTGATTATGAACAAGTGCGCCGTTACTGTTCCAGCTGCTTTCATGCACGTACGTGACAATATTGAGGAACTGGGTAAAGTCGCCGACGACACAGACCTGCTGTTCCTGAAGGGTCTCCTCGACAGTCCGGTCGTCACGTCCCTTGTAAAGGTGAGTGCGCATCTTATCTCTAAAAGAAAGTAGACGAAGAACCACCTACAATGCGAGAGTATCTCCGAGCTTTATTAGCTTGCCAAATTAAATTTTTTATGCATATCGGCATGACGTTATTATATGAAAAATTTTGTCAGAAACATATGAATTTTTTCATATGAATTTTTTTCTGTATTAATTTGGATATTATTTCCAAGAAAGGAATGTGTAAAATTGAATTATGGATGCAAAAAGATTTATTTTTTTAAGTCTTCAATTGCCTTACATATTTATCGCTGTCGAAGGAAATGAAAATTCTCAATGGAAAATGATGGCAATTTTCCTTGCTCTAACTAGCAAATCGTAAACGCATGAATGGATATAATTTCGTTTTATACGCTACGCAAAGCTTCCATATACACGTCCATGCTCATTAAATAGTCTTTACTTCGCGAAAATTTACGAGGAACACATAGATTTATGAGCGATCTTCTCTTTCTCTCTCTCTCTCTCTCTCTCTCTCTCTTTATTTCTTTCTCCGTCACCCTGCCGCGATATCTTTCTAATTCATTGCATCATTAAATGAAAAATTAAAACATTTGCGCAAGTGTTCTAGCAAGCTCTCTAAATACTCCATGTCGTTGAACCGATGGCTTGTTTCTTTGATGTTCGTCTCATCAATAAAACGCTGATCTAAATCGGTGAACGCGATTACATAACTAAAACATGTTGGCTTGATTAAACCAGAAAATTTTAATGTGCTATTTTCTATACATTTTTTTAAATTCCTAATGCAATTCTAAATCTAGTTTGTATAGCGTGCACGAACCAAAGAGCGAGGCAATAATTAATTATAAATCAACTGCATTTTTCACGTACCTATATTTATTGTACATACACACACTCTCTCTCTCACACACACACACACAACATGAAATAATAATGTAATACATGATTGAACTATGACTAATATATGTATTTATTGCTTATGACTAATATATGTATTTATTGCATCTGAAGAATATTTTTATTACGATATAAAATTGAATTAATCTAATATACAAAATATAATTGATTATATTAAATATTTCAGATTGCTTCGAGCTTGTGCAGTGTTAAGCATCTTTAGAATATTTTCCTTGGATTGAATGCTACATCGAATAATTCTGAGGGTCTTTCGTAAAGCATTTGAAAATACCTTCTACATGCCACTCTCGATTTGCTTGTATGTTGCCTAATTGCGCGCGTAGCCGAGCGATACGTGTGTGTAATTAACTTAGAAGAGTGAGTAATATCACCTCACTGGAATCTGGTCGAGTGAGAAAGACGCGGCAGGATAGAAAATAAACTCGTTTGTCACTTACAAAAAAGAATTTGATAACACGCGTGTTATTTTTCTTCGCTTTACGTGCCTTCTCTCACGTGCTTGCATCACGCTTGAAACACCGGGTCCGCGACACCCACGCTATTTCGGTCGCGACATACTTCTCTACCGCGAAGAATACCTCGTCGATGAAATTTATTATCGGTGAGAATCGGTCGTTATAACGCGATGTGATTTTTTTCTGTATTAAATGTAACGTATAAAAATTCTTTTCTGATTTTTATTATCTCTTTCTCTCTTTCTAGCAAAATTTTATATCAAAGTTTTTTCTTCTCTCCATTGATTACACAATTGTATGCATGTGCATTTTCCGTTGTCCGAGCCCACATTCCGACAATTTACCTGACACGCAAATAAAACATGGGACTTCAGGTAGAAAGCGGTGCCAAGAAATCATTAAAGAATCGGCTCACGCTTCTCGTTTTTAGCTGGATTGAGCCAACAATGGAAACTGCTGACGAGCATGATAGAATGTCTACATCTTTCGAAAATCAAGTTGGAAAGAATTTCTAGATGGTAAAAAGAAATGTAATCAACATCTGGATAATTAATTGTTTAAAAACTAGGAAGAAGGTGTCATAAAAAACCAAAACCGACGAGGGAGAAAGAAATTAAAAATATTTATAAGAATGTTGATAACACACAATTACGCCTGAATGAGTCAGAGATTATTCCATCATGTTTCTCACATACATGAAGAAATGTTATAATTTACAAATAAAATTAAGAGGCGCGAAAAAGAGAATAAAGATTTAAGATCTTCATCAATTGACTAATTGTAAAACTTACTCTCTTTCTCTTAATGTCGGATAATTGACTGCGACCTCGTAGAAACCCCTCAATTGGACGGGTCATAGGTGCCTCCGAAGAGTCATCGCTTGCTCGCAGAAATCCATGCGAACGTGTCACAGTAGTATACGAAGCTTACATACGTGTTTTCGTAAGTCATACAAGACGACATCATTTCAGTCGGGGAGTCGGCTTTGTGATCGTACGAGAAGAAGAGTGGGAGGAACATACAACATGTGTGTAAATTTGTATGTATGTGGGTGACAGGACTGTAAACGTGACTATAATGATTGTACCGGAAATGGAACAATGTATTCAATTCTTTCGTCTTGATTGCAGCTATTCTTCCAATCATAGAATTACAAAGTACTCGTAAAGATGGAAATCAAATATCTCACTGTCGCTAACGTTCTCAATTGAAAGCAATAGATATGCAAATATTTTATATGCATTTTGCATGATTGTTGAAAATGAAGGATAGAAAAAAAAATTCATCATTTATTTTATGATGTATCAGCAGAAAAATTATAATACTGGACATACATTGCAAATTAACAGATCAATATACTCCTAATCTATTGTTATTCTTCGATTAATTTTACATAAAATTTCAGTTTGAGTTTCTTAATTTTAAGGACATGTGAGATTTAAAATCAAAAAATTGTGACAAATGAGACTTTTCTCAATAATTTTCTACTAATTCAAGATTCACCAAGGAAGATGCAATTTTAAGGAATTAATCGAAGGCTATTTCGAGGACCACTTTCACTAGTTCGACCAATCTTATTCAAACGATGACCTTGGAATAGTGGCCTCCAGACAAGCAACTACGTTCCTGGAGTGAGTGTTGCATGCCAGGAGAGGAAGGACCCCCACCTGTTCTCCAGAACGGCAGCAGGCGAGTCGCCTGAACAGGCTGCCTGTGCGGAGGGAGGTAGCCGACGTCAGTATAGGCGCGGCAGTTTTCTGACGTTGCTTACCTACGCAGGAAGTGTCGCGACATACTGAACCCGAATATTTTCCTCGTCTGCGTGATATATGCCTCTCTTGCCGTCCAGTAGCTAAATCTAATTTCCCTTTGTGTGTCTGACTCTGGCCGATCGATACCATCGCGAGGACATCGACACGACCGCGCTTTAGTCTCCATCAGTCTTCTCGGAGCATCGCACAGGTCACATAGGTCTTTCTCCAGGTGAGCGTCGTGTCTGACGAATGCAGAAAAAATGTCTATGGAAAGATATCTAAAGTGGACAAAACGCTGTTCTTTATTCAGCTTTATGAATCTTAAGCAGAACATAATTATTTACAAAATTGCGATAAACACTGTGAAATGATTTATATTAGTCAATCACTAAAGATTCAGATGTGCAATATGATAGTGAAATTGATAGGATTGCTATAAAACTTAACAACTCTGCCAATTGCCAGGATAGACAAGGGTAAATGATAGAAAAAGATCAACAATATACAATATCTTTTTGATAAAGCAAGTGACGAATCTATTCGTTTGATAATATTCAAAAGAAAATCAAGGAAACATGCGTTTTTAATCGCAATTCCAATGCAAAATGTGGCATGATTATTATTCTCAAGAGAAATATGGCTTCTCGTTCATTAAAAGATTACAGCAAATCAACGTTCAGTTCTTTCAAAGAAACGAGCAATTTATCTGAAAGGATACGCAATTTCTGTGGCAAAGTGGATAAATAAATGCTCGAACTCTTTATAGTCCATAAAGAATCAGATATATGACTATAGTAAATGCGCCTCTAGCACAGTTTTATAAATATCATATTTTAATGAAATTGGAAATCAATACAAATTCAATTCTATCGAGAGAAAATATTATTACATTAATCCGTAACAAAGTACATCTTGGTAAATAATAATATGTTATAAACGCTGATTTTTTTAACAAATCACGTTCGATGTTTAAAGCACATGTGCGCGTAGAATAAACAAATTGAAAGCGTGGCGTCGAAAAGTTTTCAAGAAACATACAACCGTTATTTTTGGCCGATTGGTAATCATTGAGAAATCTACCAATTTCGTAACACACAGTCGAGTACGTGATGAGAAATTCACTTTCATTACGATAATTGATGAAGCCAATGTAATGATCTATTGTAATGACGAGATTGAGGAAAGAAATAATTTGACAGTGAATCATCGACTTCTGATAATATTCTATATATTTATTTATTTATTTCTATATATTTATTTATTTATTTATTTATTCGACTATATTATATGCCTGTGTTATTTACAAAATGACCGAAAAGAGACTCGCAGGCCTACAATTAAATAATGTTTTTAATTTTTCGTCCGTGAATATTTTATACTTGTTAGATTATTCTGTATTTAAAAAAAGCGATCGTGCGAAACAATAAATTATATTCATACATTAAAAATTTCAATATTATGTGGATATTCAGAACTCTCTCTAACATATGATAACGATATGAAACGAATGATTTATGATTGACCTACTTTTCGAATTACTCATTCATTGTTCAACTCTACACCATTCCAAGCAAGCATATAATAAATATGATGACTTATGTGTCAATTAGATTAACTCTAATCCAATTAAAAGTTGTCGGCATCATCACCATCGCATATTTACTCTGATTATTAACAATCTGATTATTAACGGCCAGATTTCTTTTCGAATTTTGAAACTGTGTATGTGTATAAATGTACATGTAATTATTTGATAGGCTGTACATTAAACAATATTTATTTTTTCAGAGCTAATTTGCTTAAGTTTCTCTCTTTCTAAGTAGGTCATAGATATCAGAGTAAGATTTAATAAATATTGTTACAAGAACCGTAATATACACAAGTAATTTGTTGATTCAACAACATGTACTTTCTCCATTTGCTTTTCTTTCTTTGATGAACAAAAAAAGAGACAGCCAACGCTTTGCATGCTATCTCACATGATAAATTTAACAGAAACCTGTTCTCTTCCCTGACTTTTATGATTGGCAGGAATTAAGGTTACGCAGCTACATCAATAAATAAAATGTAATAATAGAAAAAGATATTGCATATTTTTTGTAAACAATATCGGAAATTAATATATAATATTGATATCTTTTATATGTGTGCTTTAATGCAAAATAAAGAAAACAGAATCGATAAATATATCATGCAAAATAATGTAAATATTAATCAAATAGAGAAAAATATATTGTATATAATATTAATATAATATATATGAAAAATAAAACATTAATCCAGATAAAAGTTATATAAGATGCGCTAGCATGTAGGAGACAAAATTGTGAAAGAATATCTATATCTCTAAGGACCATGAGAGAAACCAGTTTTGACTTGAAGGATTTTGACTTGAAATTTTTGTGTGGTTTAGGTCCAGGAGCGTCTGGAAGACCCGCCGGTGCCCGTGGAACCGGTATGCTCGTCCGTTTGTGACATCGTTGACGAAGTGTGTCACGCCTTCCAAACCTCCAGAAACTCATATGCTAAGGAACTGGTGAATCTTCTCGGCAATTCGCATCTAAGAGCGCTCTTGGAGACGCACGACGCAGTTGTGGAACGCAAGGAAGCGTCTTCTAAAGCGATTTCTCCCTTAGTGGCAATGCCAACGAACAAGAAGGAAGCGATGCCTATCAGGGTGGTTGGTCTTAGGAGACAACCAGACGAGCCTTTGGTAAGTCTACCTTAGAGGCATAAAGAATTTTGCGTTAAAAAGCAAATACAAATCATTTATTTCACTATTTGAGAAAAGATAATCTATTGTCGTTAATTTTAATATCCACAAGATATCTACTTAAAGAAATTTTTCTTGATATTTTTCATAAATATTTTAATTATAAATACTCGAGGAAGAAAAATGTTTGTTAGATTATACGTAAAATTAAACTTGGGTGTATCTAAGATAATACTGGAAGTTTATCGTGTGAAAATCGCCAGAGTTCTCGAACTTAACTGCCAGATTTGTTTAAAGGCAGAAGTACCATTCGCAGTTCATAAATAAATACGAATATTTATTTCCTGAGGCGAATACGATTACCAGTGTTTTAGCGATTTTCTAATATTACATGCTTCTTCAAAATATTTTAACACATCAAAATATATTTATAATTTTTAACATTGAATGATTTGTTAATCATTACGCGATTAAAATACTGCAAGTAAAGGACATTTTATTGAATCGACCGAACGAAAATAAGACATTTATTTTATGTATTATATGTGTTTTTTTAGGGTCTGACAGTACAAGTCGATGAATCTGGGAATATGATTATTGCCAGAATTCTTGGCGGCAGCACGGCGGCTCGTCAAGAGCTTCTGAGGATAGGTGAAGTAATACTCGAGGTCAATGGCAAAACAGTTCGAAGTCCGGAAGAACTCCAGCAAGCGATTCAGGAAGCCAAAGAGAATCTATCTCTGAAACTGGCTCCAGGTATCGCTACTGATGCGAATCGACTTCTCAAATCCACGGTAAATCCAAGTTATTTTTTTCACTTCGATGCTCCCGATAACTGCTACGTTTTTGTTCTTCTTCACGGTGCTTACTCATGTGTAGCGAATAATGTCGCGTATCATAATCGCAGAGCAACGAAAATTATAACTTACCATATTTTGTTTGATTTATTAGTGCTACATGAGAGCTCTTTTCGATTACGATCCATCGGAGGACACGCTTCTACCTTGTAGAGAAATTGGCTTACCTTTCCAAAAAGGCGATATCCTCCAAATTGTCGACCAAGCTGATCCGAATTGGTGGCAGGCGCGAAGAGTGGAGGGCGAAAGTCTCGGATCGCCCGGACTGATACCTTCGTTGGAATTGGAAGAGCGCAGAAAAGCCTTCGTGCCGCCCGAGGCCGACTTTGTTCACAAGATCAGTATTTGCGGCACCAGGATATCCAAGAAGAAAAAAAGGAAGATGTATCAATCTAAATCGAACGGCGAGTTCGATGCTGCCGAGCTGCTTTTGTACGAAGAAGTCGCCCGAATGCCGCCATTTCGACGCAAGACCTTAGCCCTGGTCGGGCCACGCGGCGTAGGTCGACGAACTCTGAAAAATAGGTTGATCAATAGCGATCCTGAGAAATTTGGCACTATCGTACCCTGTAAGAAACATACAATTAATTAATGCGTTTCATTAAATACGAATAAAGTGGATCCAATTATCATATTTGACAAACGATCTTTCTTTCAAGACACATCGAGACCACCTAGAGTTCTCGAGGAGGACGGCAAAAGCTATTGGTTTACCGATCGCGAGTCAATGGAGACTGACATCAGGGAGCACAGATTCTTGGAGCATGGTGAACACGGTGGACATTTGTATGGTACGAAATTGGATTCTGTGCGGGAACTGATAAGAGCCGGCAAGATGTGCGTATTGGATTGCAGCCCAGCCGCGCTCAAGATCCTCCATAACAGTACCGAGTTCATGCCTTATGTTATATTCATCGCGGCGCCCGGAATGGAGCAGTTGAAGTCTTTATATGATCTTGGAAGGTCGACCGGTGCCAGCAGTCGGAATCTAACGGTATAATTCTCTTAACTTGCCTACATTCTGTAAAATTGTCTTCCCTGCGTCTGTTAAATTCTTCTACGCTCGCTTTAGAGCTCCTTCTGTCGATATTTATTATGCGACGCTAGCAATTCATATATGCGAAAACTTATTTATTTGTATTTAGTTTTATTTTTTTTCAAAACTATCAGTTTAGTTAATAAATTTTGTTGTAAAAATTCAATGTGGGCTTCGCTAGTTCGACCGCCAGAGTTCCATCAGATACAGTTCGAGAAGAGCCAGGACATTGGAATCCCTCGCGTCTTTGTACGAGGTTTGTATTGCATGACGTACGTTTATATATATTATGTTACTCCATTTTATACTCAATCCTCACAATCCTTACAATTTCAATTTTTTTTCCTATGTAGAGCATGTACTTGTAATATCTTTAATTTGGAGTATTGTAAGATTATTTTAGTATGTAGTCATGAGAGATTAATATCGCACGTTTTTCCATATTTTAATTTATAGAAAAAAATCTATATCATAGAATAAAATCACTGTTTCATCACAAACATGTCATGTTCTCTTGGCAAAGGTGACAATCAATTTCGTGTCATTATACTACTGTAATCAAATACTTTTCCAAACTTTTACAATCGGAGTTAAAAGGAAACAAGTTGTGATTTCATAAAAATTGCATTTCATATTGCACTCAGTATCCTATCTTAATCTGTATTAAAAAGTGACTATAATGCTATATATTTGAAAGAAAAATTAAAAAAAGATACCAACGAGAATTTGAAATACACTCTAAACATTACTAGGCATTCATCTAGTTTTTCTTTCGGATACTCTTGCATAACATATTGTATCACGTAAAGCATCATTTTTCTTAGAAAAATAATATTCTACATAATAAGATAAATAAGTTAAATAACCAATTAATCCGTTAACAGGAGGATGATTTGAGATCCACGTTGGAGGAATCCGCAGCCTTACAGAGAGCTTACGAGAAATACATCGATCTGGTGATCGTGAATGAAGATTTTGACAATACGTTTAGGCAGGTGGTTGCAGCTTTGGATGCCTTAGCTACGGAGCATCAATGGGTGCCAGTCAATTGGATTTACTAATTGGTTTTCGAATGCAGCATTCAATGTAACAGAATAGAGAGTTGAAAGAGTTGTGTGCCAGTTTTACGCGTGAATAAACGAAGGATTTATTACTGGATGATGTCACATTTGAAAACTGTGAGACTACACTGCAAAAGGTGTACATTACGTTTTTATATTCAGAATAAAACTCCGTTTATCCCGCAACTAAGGAAAAACAAGGCATGTATAATCAGAGTACAAAAATGTTACTTCGTGCAGCATGAAGCGATATTGCTATCGCGCCTAAAAAGCGCATTCAAGAGAATCTCATTGCAGTTTATAATTAAGTGCAACGTAGTGTTTACTTTTTATAAAAATTAGCATTAGCTTTTTATAAATTTACTAAAACACGGCCCGTTCCATGGAATCTAATACTTGAATTTTCACATAAATTTAACACACAATTTACACACAATACATGTTAAATTGTAATTGAGAAGAGCTGGCAACTGAATTTTCTTCATTTCAATCTTGATAAATTCTTGATAAGTAAAACAATTAAGATAGGAGATCTTATATCTAAGAATAAGATACTTTTTTTATAATGGAGAGAGAAAATCATAAGGCGCTGCATTTTTTACTGCCAATTTCTACAACGACTATATTAACAACGGGTCGATTGATGTAAAAATATTAGACTGCCGTCCAGTTAATTTTAGTATATTTTTAATTTAATTAACACGTGTATATGATTATTTACATGTTCGAGTTCATTTTATGTACAATTTCTCATATCTCGTATGTTTCCATTTGATTTTGTTTTATTTTACTGCTCGTGCACGCTAACAATATTATATATATATTTCTGGCATAGAGTGCCTTAATAACACAAGCCTATAATTGGGTTAACGCAAAGATACTATGTCGAGACAGACTCGGCTTTATATTCACATTCAAAGTTTTGCAGACATATCTAATAACATGTTTTCTCGAAAGTAATGTCGGACGGACAGTCACATGTGCACACACGTATTCGATTTTTTCAACTTTACTGATACCTTCCGATGCATCCATTTATCAGATCTCATTTATTAAGATCTGAATAATTTTGCATAGATACATGACGAACATAACAAATTAAAAATCCACAATCAATACACTTGTCCTGTTTCGAAAAGAGCAATGTGATGCACGATGTGGAATAAAGTTTATTAAAACTATTTGTTACAAATTAGAAACATAATAAATGGATTATTATTTCAATATTCCTATCTCTGATTTTTCTTTCATTAATCTTAGAATACTGTTAATTTATCAAGTATAAAATGACTAAATATATTTTTATCTTTGTTGCAAATTAAAAAAAAAAAAATATATATATGTTAAAATGGATTGATTCTAGGTTTAATTTATGCGTGAAATATATCCTCCAATTTTTAATTGCTGATAGATCAGCAACTAAAGCAATATCGTCTTAACAAAGCAAACAGTAAAATGAGTAATTTAATTAAATATATATAATTTTCTAATAAAAAATATTTCATATTTTAAAACTCCATCCTGCAAAAGTTCAAGCAATTAGTAGAGATTTAAATCCATTTATTGTTGGCAGCGACTTGAATTTGCTTACAATTAGCAGAGACTCGAACCACATTTAGCCAAGACTCGAACCACATTTAGCCGAGACTCGAACCACATTTAGCCGAGACTCGAACCACATTTAGCCGAGACTCGAACCCCGCGTAGAGATTAGCAGAAATTCGAAAATAATTTACAACTTTACAAGTATTAAATATAGCAAGAGGGAAAGAGAGAGAAATATTACATGTGTCGTATAACGAGTTTATAGTATTTTTTCATATGTATAAAAAATTAAAACAAAAAAAATAGAGAAGTTACAACTTGTTTTATACACTTTCTAAGATCCTTGAAACGTTAAAATCTTGCATGTGCGTGTAAAAGATTCGTGTCTAATCAACATTACAATAACAAAGAATTATTCGTTAAAAGAAAAAAATCAAGTTAGAGCAAATCTGAAAAATATAGCAGATGAAAGAAATAAAGAGAGCTACAAGTTAATGCCCGCTAGCATGAATATGAATACGACGGCCTAACATAACCTAATTTTAAACAGCTCACGCGACCGACCAGCCAATTATCTGCCACGTTTCAAAGTGGTCAGATTTGTCACGTAAAGATATCGTGCTTCCTGCATATTATTATATCGCGCCGCGCGCAAATTTCCTCCTCTGTCATCGAGAAAAATGCAAATATTACGGCAATTAGACGTGCATCCAAAAGTGCGCGAAGAGGCGGATATTCTTGTGAGAACTTTTAGCGGTGCCATCGGTAAATACAAAGAATCCTCATTGTTTTGAGCGATTTGGAGCGAATGGATTTAATTACTTGACTTTTCATCGATAACCTCCGCCTTCTTAGCGATAACAAATCCCGAAAATTACTACGAAGATTGGAAACGGAGATATTTATATTTATATTATTATTATTCATATATTGTGTATCTAATGATGCTCGTTACAGTGCAAAGTGACGTACCATTATAATCTCCAAATTTGTTTGAGATTTTTTCCGCGAATATTTATTGTTGATAATTAATTTGTGCCATTCTATTTTCTTCGTGCATTTCTCATATTTAACAAAGTTAAATTTGGCTCACGATAAATGAAAACTGCAACTTACACATACCGATACATTTTGCTACGACTGATAAAACCATTTACTTTACACACATTACATCAATGCAAATAATGTCGTTTCAGTTACAGTTATTAGTACAATCATTATGGGTATATTGCTCATGTCAGAGATAAATTATTATCTCACACCAAGTATGAGCGAGGAATTATTTGTAGATACATCCAGAGGTTCTAAATTGAGAATCAATTTGGATATAATAGTTCCTGTCATATCCTGTGATCGTAAGTACAAATAGCCTCAATGTTTATTACAAAAGAAAAAAAAAGAGCAATATAGTTTTTGTCTTATGTAGAATTTTAGTTTTGTCAATAGATGCTATGGATACAACTGGTGAACAGCATCTGCATATAGAACACAACATTTTTAAAAGACGGTTAGATTTAAATGGAAAACCCATAGAGGATCCACAAAGGACGAGTACGTAACATTTTTCTCAATATTATGTATAAAATAAAATGTTATATTATGAAATTTTTATTGCAGATATCACAGATTCTAAAGCTGTCAATAAAACTGCAGAGAAGGTAACGATGGATTTTTATAGGTATCTTCCAACTGAATGTCCATTTGCAAACTAGTTATTATTGGATGGGACATTTTTACAGGCATTGGAGATCGGTTCCACAGAATCTTGTGGAGACTGCTATGGAGCAGCCACAGAGACGCTGAGGTAAAAAAAAAAAGAAGAAATTCTGTCCATGTATTGGAAATAATCTATCAAATGTATATTTGTATCAAAAAATTTTATTCATAGATGTTGCAATACTTGTGAGGAAGTACGAGAAGCGTATAAACTCAAAAAGTGGGCTCCACCAGATCCAGCTAATATTAAACAGTGTAAAGATGACAAATCTATGGAAAAAATCAAACATGCCTTCACACAAGGCTGCCAAATCTATGGTTATATGGAAGTGAATAGAGTCGGTGGGAGTTTTCACATTGCACCAGGCGACAGTTTTTCAGTGAATCACGTTCACGGTAAACTAACAAAACTTAAATTTTCCTATAACATTCACTGTAACTTTCATAAACTTCTTTTTCAATATTCCAGTACACGATGTTCAGCCTTACACTTCGACTCATTTCAATATGACACATAAAATTAGACATTTAAGCTTTGGTCTCAATATCCCAGGAAAAACAAATCCTATGGATGATACAACTGTGATTGCCACGGAAGGTATGTTTTTGCTTCGTAAACCTATTTTATTAAGAATTCAATGGTCTGCTCTTACAATACAGTTGCAACTCGGAGATAAGCTTCAAAAGGTTCTATATGTAGGCTGCATAATGTAACTCTCTTTATACTAGCATCGTATTCCTGTTCCAATAGCCATAAATGTGCCAAATGTACCACCACCTTGAATCATCACTTTGCCAACATTGTGTATCAATTCTTTTCCTCTTAATCCATATCTAATAATAAAACATTATACGGATACTTACATTCGAGTCAACTAATACTACATATACAATGTTTTATTCGATATGATACCTAAGAGCAGAAAATCCTCCAAAGAGCATACCAGAAGCCATTCCCACACAAAAACCAATTGTAAAACCTAATTTCATTCTATCAAAACAAGTAGGTCCTTGTTGATAAGCTCCTCCAGGTACTACAGGCATTTTGTGGTCTGCAAAACATTACGATTCCAACATTCACGAGATTCTCTTTTAATTTTCTGGAAATTACTTTCAATTTAAACTCATTTAAGTCAATACAACAGAAAACGTAGATTGAATTTATCTTGATGCACGAATAACTTAGTGAACTTTTGGACACACAATTGTAAATATTGCAAACAAAATGTATTGTGTACATATATATATTTATAAAATGTTTTTTGATTATGCAGACACTTACAATTAAAGCGTCCGTTATGTGAGGCTGTTGCGATTAATCAAATGTATTTAATCTTACTATCAAATTTAAGAACTTAATCACGAAGTTCTGTAAAGTTCGCCAAAGTTTCTTAACGCATTACACTCACGTTGCAATATCGGAAGAGCGCCATGATGCATTCGTGATAAAAAGGACGATTGCGCTGTCTGCTACCTATTTCCGTTGACGTCACTCGTCGACTCGTCGTAGCGGGATATTCAAATTGCAAAATCACGAAATATAAAAACGAAAATTTTATTTCCTGACAACAGATTATAGACATGTAAAATTTGTTCTTTAAATAATATAAAAAATTCTAGAATTGTATTTTTTTGTAAAGTATTAAAAATAGAAGCAAATTTTTTTAAACTTTTAATATATATGCAATTAAAAGAAAAATTTACTTTTATAAATATATTCAAAAAATTTTTTAATTATTTCTATACGAAAGACACTAAGAGCTAAAAATTTAATTTTATGAATAAATTCTTATTCATATTCTTCATCCAATTCATCTGATCATGTATCAACAACAATTTGCCGCTGACATATGAGTAATCGGAACATTTTAATCGGTTTGGAATATTATTATTGACACATTATTATATTTTCAGGCGCCATGATGTTTTATCATTATATTAAAATCGTTCCAACGACGTATGTTCGCACGGATGGCTCGACCCTTTTCACAAATCAATTTTCCGTAACACGGCATGCGAAGCAAGTATCTTTATTTACCGGTGAATCCGGAATGCCAGGTATATTCTTCAGCTACGAATTGAGCCCACTCATGGTAAAGTATACGGAGAAAGCAAAATCGTTCGGACACTTTGCGACAAATACTTGCGCCATTATTGGCGGTGTATTTACCGTAGCTGGACTGATTGATTCGTTGCTCTATCATTCGGTGCGCGCGATACAAAAGAAGATAGAGTTAGGAAAATATTATTAATAACTTGGATCTGATTACAGCAACGTTAATTGTCACTTTTGTTCTCTCTTTTATTGATATAAACATTTAAAATGGTATCAATAAACCTGAACAATTTTTATATTTTCAAATAAACAAGATGTGGTGCTGAAAATAGATTAGCATTAATCGTTGATGCAACACGATCTTAGGAGAATAATTAATAAATAGAGTTAAAAAAAGTACTATTAAGACTTACACTATGCTTCATTTTCCATTATAAAAAAAAAATCTGAATTATCATTGTGCTGCATTTAGTACAGTTATCGAGCCTCATTTATATTAAAAGTTTCGCAAACATTAGGTAAATAAAATTCAGAACCATTTGACGATATTTAGTGTTATTTGTGCGATACTATTATTCTTCTTTTTGTAATATAAAAAGAAGAAAATTAGTATGTATAATTATTATGTATAATTAATGCGCTAAATATTTGTCTTTTTTACTTTTTACTTAAAAGATGACGATAAAATAATATTATATTCATAAAAAATTATCTGTATATGTACATAAAATTATTTGTATATGTACATAAAAAAAAACAAAAATATATAAAAGGAAATCAAACAGTGATATAAAAATAGAAATAAATTGAGAATATGTAAATGCAACTTATAAATCAACATTTATTTATATCACAACATTACTAGAATTAAAATGTTTTTAAAAATGCATTGTAAACATCGACAGATGTTTTTGCGATATTTATACAAAACTCTGCATCTGTACCACTGATTAAGGTTTTTGGTGAAACATACATTGGTTTAGAAGGATCGTATTGTGCTTTTTTCATTTCCACCAAAAATGAGTGTCTTTGTTGAAGTCTAGTTTTTCTACAGAGTAAAATGTGTGGCATTTTTACAAGAAGATTATGTTGCAATTGCATTTCATCGTGAGCATATTGAAATACAGCAAATAATTTTTCACGATCTGAAAATACAATTAAACAAATGATCAGATAAATCTTATACTTATAAATTCTGAGATTTTATATTATATTAATATATATTAATATATACTTTTCACCCATATCCTAGGTAGAGTAAGAAGCAATTGTTTTCTTTGTTTTTCATTGAAATCCATATCTTCTTTAATAGTCATTGTATTTTCCATTAAGTGTGACATCTTATATGTGATTACATTTGAGGCCTTGACTGTCAAGATTCTTACTTCGTTACCGCTAAGTTTGAAATTACTTTGAAAATAGCCAAGCCTGCCGTCTATATCCTTTGTGCTGTACAACAACCACTTGGGATTTTTGCAGATTATAGTCTTTATCGAATCAATGTTAAATTCATGAGCTCTCAAATATCTTATTCTTGTGTGAAGATCGTCCATGTCTTCCTTCAAGATGTTGGGATTCTTTGTAAGAAAATCGCCCAAATAATCAGCAGGTACGCCACAATCGTGCAGAAATGTTATGTATGGTTTTATATCGCGATCAAAGTCAAGAGTAAGGATATAATTCAACATTCCCTTCTTTGATTCAATTTTGTATAGACTGACCCCGAGTTTTACCAGCTCTTGGATCGTACGAGATTTGTTGGCGTACTTTGCAAAGGTAAAAGTCGGAGTAAGATATGGACCAATATCCGATATATCTTCGGTGCACGTGTCCAGAGGATTCGGTAACGTTACATCCTGATCGTCGAGAAAATCTTCACTAGGCAAATTAGTAATAGTTGGTTGAATATGACGAGGCGCAGTTGTGTTTACGTTTTCGTTTAGGTTATGCCTAGATTTCCACGTATAATTCTCATTATCGGCTTTTGTACATTCCGATGAAATATTCGAGTCGAAAATTGTAACATTGGTGCCACTTTTATCATGTTCCTTCGGCAAACACTGGTTGAACCCGTTACTTTTCGAAACGAACCGGGTGATTAAATTTGCGACTGGTCGTGATATTGACACGAGTGAATAGCATCGTTGAAGTGGCATGTCCAATATTTACAATTATGTAGAATAATTAAAATAAAAGATGACAGTTTTTACACGTACATATACTCAAGTATTCTTAATGTACAACTATCATACACTCTTGGCTATTTTTCAACAATACACTACATTTATTTTATATGCATTATATCACATTGTTATATCGCGTCCAAAGAACCCATACAAACACATGTGGTCCGCATGAGGCGCCTCCGTAAAACAGGAATGTTGAACTACGAAGCCGCAGAGGAATTTTTTCAGTAGATGACAGGCTATTTAATTGGTTTCGTTCTGAGCTATATCGGTAACAAAATCTGCAATGCAGCAATTCTTTTTAATTTTTTAAATCCATTTGATATGTAAGTAGGAAAAACCTGTTTTTCTTTTTCTATTTAACAAATGGGAAACAAACTCTTTCAATAATAAATATCAAAGATGCAGATTCCGAGAAAAATTATTTATGAAATATAAATATGCATATTTATGAAATATATAATTATAAAAAGATGTAGCATAAGAAATAAAATAAAAAATGCAGTTACTTCTTATTTATTCTGTTGATAATTTATTGATTCCTAAGCAATGCTATATTAATAGCAAATGAAAAATGACATTGCACCTTTACATAAATGATTGACGTACATATTGATTGCAAGAATGTATAAAGTTCATGAATGTATAATTAATGAGATGCAATTTGTTGAGTCAGCACGTGCATCACGTAGAAAAGGAAGAACAAAAAATGCGACGCAGCAAAAATGCGATAATATGTAAACAAGTATTTTATTATCTTAAAATGATGAAACGCATGTTAAATATAAAAGCGGCAAGGTAATACGTATCAATTTACATTAATATACAATTCAGGCAATACAACACTCTTTGGAGTTACTGTTTCTTTCTCAAAAGCACTTTTAATTCAAAAAACTATTTGCACACACATATACACACACATACGTACACATTTGTAGATTTATATATATATTCATTCATTTATTCTCGCACATGTACGCATATCCATACAAATTTTGTGTACTAGGACCCTTAATTATGTGTTATTTCTTTACAGCAGAGTTATTATAGTAAAATTGAAAGTGTAATAATGTATATCCACTATGTGTTAGGTAATAAGTACATTAATTATAATACATTAAGAACACTTTGATTTACAATCTGGATCTTAATATCAATCTGAATCTTAATATCAAAAAAAACGGAAATGAACTCGGAATGTTCATTAAAATAATAACATATTTAGCCATATTATCATACATGCTTATCTGTTATTATTGTTTATACTGATTTTCTCTCCAATTTTGTTTCCTAAAGTCATCGAATGGTTTAATTTCGTAAAATTGTAATACGGCACAATAAGATACATTTTAACGGAAAGTTTGACTAGGCAACTCTGATGTGTTATTCTGTGTGATTGCACAAATAAATGTATTTTTTTTCTTCGTTAGGTTAATTAACGTTTTTTTTGCGTTTGAGATCGGAGCGATCATCGAATTGACAATGGCAAAGTATACACAGCACTCTGTGAGACTATCTAGCTGTAAGTCAATGTAGATATATAATCTGCACTTTGTCCTTAAATTAAATAAAATATATGCCCTGCGCTTTCTCTTGTTCTCGTATTCCACTGTTTATGACTAGATGGCTGATGAATTTTATTCGTGTTTCGGTCGCGTTATCATCAGTTGTTTGCCGTTCGTCGTTTCTCCATTTAACTGACGATTTTTTGCCCGTTGTCGTAATTGTGCTCGTCTTAGGCTTGTCATTAATTGACTTGATTGATAGAGCCAACTAGCCTGAAAAATTGTTTGCAATAGTCATATAGTTAAATGTCAAAAGATAAAGTTAATCAATCTCAAGGTAAATATAGTATTTTTAATATTACATGTACTTACCACCATAATCATACAATTAATTAAAATAGGTACAGAGAAGACAACAGATATAAATAAACCCTTGGAATCAAAGTATTGCTGTCTAGAAAATACCCTGTAAAAATCATGAACAAATTATTAAGTTAAAATTTAGTACAAATCTAGAAGAATAAATTGGTTTATGTTGCATGTGAAGTGCTTCAGCTAAAATTAATACATACATCCAATTTGTTGCTGCAATCTCGTTAATGCTTTCTGAGAAATAAACCAGAAGTACTGAAACAGAAAGAGAGAAAGAGAGATAATTTTATAAAATGTTCTAGAAATAGAATTGCAATAACTATAGCAAAATAAACTCTTACATAGTACAAGAAACAAAATTATCTGAAAATTTGCATGATTCCTTGTCATTAACGCAGTCATTGTGATGACTATGTGAAAAATAATTAAGGCAGCTAGCCATGGATCTCTCCAATCAATCTGCAACAATATATTTATACAAAATTTGTTTATATCAATCTTGGAAAAAAAATTGATATTAAAATTAATAATAGAAAAAAGTTTCTCTAGAAAAAATATTTAATTTTCACACTTATTATCTATTAAAATCTTTTTTTATTTTTGAATGAAGAAAAGTATATATTTCTCATTCCCTTTTCTAATCAAATTTAATCGCACAAATGAATGATAAACTCATTGAAAAAAAGAGACATGTGTAAAGAAACTGGTACGGTATGAAGTATAAAATTCGAAAGCACGAGATACAACTGTTTAAGAATGTCCAGAAATACTTTCTGGAGAACATAAGTCGACTGGAGGCGGAGGGAGGGACACGATGTTTCCACGAGACACGAGTCGCCCGATATAAGGCGCCCTTGAGAACGAAGGCGAACGTGACCAAAATAGAATATTAATATATGTAATCGGCGGTTCTCGAGCAACTTTCGGTAATTTCTTTGTAAGCTGATACGAAGCCAGACAAAACTTATATTTTATTTTCTCTCATGTTACATTTTAATCGTGTCTCGTCATGCACGCGCCACCCGATGATAAGATAAGTGCGCTATTGCCGTCAATTTAACTTGACATAACGTATACATACGCATTCACGAAACGAGCGACCGGCTGGATCGAAATGGAAAGTGAACGAGATCGCTAGTTAGGAATTTGGAATGAAACGTGAGAGTAATAAACGGTGTAACGTTTTACGCTTGATAATTCGGTATCCCCCTTTTTTACGTTATTACAATCTAGACAATTGCTAAATTGTACAATTTAAATAGCTCTGTCGTTCATTTTATTGTTGGTCGCACTTTGCACTTCATTTCTTTGTTTTTCCTTCTAGAAACTGAGCGTATCTATCTTATTGTTATTGTAAAAAAAATGTAATCTATTTTCACATATCTATTTCCACATATCTATTTTTAAATACTTTATCTTCTTGGAATTTTCTCTTTATCTCTCTACATTTTTTCCTCTTCTTTGAAAATTCCAAATGTATATTTTACACACAAAAGGTATAATATATCAAAGATATAATATATCAGTAACGTAAAGTTAAAAAGATCTATCTTTCTGATTATGATTTGTCGATTATGATTTGTCGATGTAACAAGAAAAAAATATTTAAAAAATACGATAAAAAAATATAATTGGAGAAATTCTTATACAAATTAGCGTTGCTCATTAATATACTTGACGCGTGGAATATATTATCACGATATAAAAAACTAATCGAAATTTTTCCTTCAGAAAAATAAAATTATGTAATATACACTGTCCAGTAGTCCTGCATTAAATTCCAGAATATAATCGTAATATGGAGATTTTACAAATTATTTAATATAATTTAATACAAGAGATTGCATGCTTTTATCTTTTACAAAACCTAACTTTAATTCTAGCATAAAACTTCTTTAATATCAATATCAACATTATCACGTTTAATAAGACGCTTGAACAGATAGAGAGAGAGAGAGAGAGAGGCACATATGCACATGTATGTATAAAACGTTGACATATGTTTATTTTCATGGTATTAAGGCCCGGTTGCACCAACGTTATTTTGGCTTTAAGCGAAACTTAAATATATACCTGTCTTTATTTATTTAGAAAGAAAGATAAAAGATAGACATATATTTAAATCTCGCTTAAATCCAAAATAATGTTAGAGCAACCCGGTCTAAGGCCCGATTGCACAAATGTCATTTTGGCTTTAATAAGCAAGGCTTAAATATGTGTCTGCTTTTATTTATTTAGAAAGAAAGATAAAGATAGACACGTATATAAGTCTCGCTTAAATCTAAAATAATAATATTGCTGCAACCTGGCCTAAACGAGACATTTCTGCCTCGCGTGTAATACACATACACGCGCGTGTCGTCCAAGTTTAATCGTTAATCGGTAAAAAACAGAAAAATGCGCGAACCTGTTATCGTAATGTGAAAATCGCTGAAAGACCGCACGATGAAATGACATAATAATAACAATAGAAAAAGATCAACTCGAGAGAGACTCACGCTCTGTAAAAAGGGCCAGATACCATCGATGCTGTCCGTGGCTATGAGCATCGGCTCGTGGCTTGACATTGTGGCGTTTGTACCGATGCACAGATTTTACAAATATGTATCGCACAGCGATGACGGCGAGAAGCCAGCAAAACGAGAGGACGAGAAGGCGAGCGCATTCGCGACGAAAATTCACGTACCGGCCACTTGCACGAATCACAACTAACTGCCGACTGCCGACCGACAATGACAACTAAACAGAGCGATGACGATGACTGATCGGTGCGATTGCGTTGTGCGATCGTCACAAACGGAATGTATGCATGTGTGCGCATACACGGAGCGTAGAGCACGCAAATCGGTGCAGGAACGCTACGAATAGTGTATGATGTGTATGTGACAGATGACAGATATGACGCAACAGGAGTATGACGGGCTAACTTCAAGCGGATCTGCTACAGCAATTTGACTTTAATGACCTCGTGCGGCGAAAGAATATAGTTTTATAGCGTTTTCGAGTCATCGATTCAATCGCTCCAGGATAGTTTACTAGACGTTACTGACCAATCACAGCTATTTTTCTGAAGAATGTAACCATACGTTGACCAATCATAGCCATTCTTCTGAAGAATGTAACCATATTATTGACCAATCACAGTCATTCTTATAGTAACTACCCTGGAGCGATTGAACCGACCACTCGAAAAGAAGTAACTAGTATCCCTAGAAGAGATTAGTGGTTTCTAGGGACACTAAAAACTAGGAAGTAACCTAACTAGGAAGGAACAGCTGATTTAAATTATATTTGCAAGTTTGGAAATTATCGCCGGTAACATTCATGTTTACCAATCAATGTATATGTTATTGTATATATTGACAAACATTTTCTACAATGGCAAGTAAAACAATGATTAATTTAAGTAGAATGTCCAAAATATTTCAACCTATGGCAACTGAATTATCCGATACTGGAGACAAAACAGAAATATCTCGAAGTCATAAGGTATGTCCTCTTTTTCCAACTTTAAATATCAATTAAAAAGAGGAGAAACTCTTAACGATTTATCTAGATAAATCTTTCAATTTTTCTTTTAAAAGATGCATATTACGAATATATAATTTCCTATTCAATATAATAACAATCTAGTAAAAATTGTTAAAGACTGGCATTTCTTTTAACAAATTAAGTTCCAAATATATATTTTGATATATTCTATTAAAATTCCATTAAGCCAAGTTTTCTTGACTTGACGTATTTGCATTTTCAACTGCTTTTTTTGTAAATTTAATTGTAATTTCAGTTAATGATTAAGTATGGAATTATTAAACCATGTAATGTTGGCATGTATGCACTATTGCCATTGGGAATGCGAGTCTTAAATAAGCTTATAAATCTTGTGGATAAAGAAATGACAAATCTTGGTGCAGAAAAGATATTACTTCCAGCATTAACTTCTACCTCGCTATGGAAAAAAACTAACAGATATGACTCTAATAAAAACGAATTATTTACAATTAAAGATAGGCATGAGAAAGAATACATATTAAGCCCAGTAAGTAAGAAAACATCTATATCATATTTTTATTTGATTAAAAATTGCTTAAAGAAAAATATATCAATATTATTATTACAATATATTAATGTACATAATTGAATAAAAAATAGATTTTAATCTTAACATATATTAAATTTTAGCTATTAGCTAGTCAAAAATAAAATTTCTGCAAGAAAATATTTTGGTGCAAAAAATATATTAATTTTCTGCCTTAAATTTTATTTTAAATATAGTTACTAATTTGTTTTTGTTAATTAAAAACTAAAAAAATATAATAACAGTGGTAACTAAATTAATTATTAACAATTATTTTGAAAATTAATAATTATATTTCAAAATTATATATAATTCTCTTTAAATGTATTTGATTAATATGAGAAGTTTTTTGCACTAGTGCTAAATAATATGCTAGATAAATGTGGATTAAATGATGTTATTTTATTCATATAAAATATGTACCTTTGAATATTCCTATGTTATTATAGACATATGAAGAAGCTATCTGTGACTTAATATCATCAACAGGATCTCTTTCAACTAAATTATTACCTTTGAGGTTATATCAAATTTCTAGCAAATGGCGAGACGAAATGAAACCACGGCTTGGTTTTCTACGAAGCAGAGAATTTATTATGAAAGACTTGTATACATTTGATACTAATTTGGATAATGCACAATATACATATGATCTAGTTTGCGAGTCTTACAATAATATTTTTAAACAGATTGGTATAAAATATGAAAAAGGTGTGCATAACATATTTCTATTTTATACATATTTCTAATTTATGAAATCTACATAATCTATATATAAAATTTAAAAAATCTATGACAAATTAAAAAATTATTTAATAATTTATTAAAAGTCATAGGAGATGTAGGAACAATTGGAGGCTTAATATCACATGAATATCATTATATATCTAATATTGGCGAAGATGTTATACTTCAGTGTCCTTCATGCTATTTTTCTATTAATCAAACTATTTCTAAGACGACAAATTGCCCACAGTGTAAAAACGAATTACAGCGACATATTGCTGCTGAGGTAATATAGAAGTTTTTGAGGATTTATATGTACTTCTGCTTTGCTTAATTGATGTAGAAAACAGATATAAGCATGCAAATATCACAAAAAAATAAATATGCACACTACATCATAATGATTGCAGATAGGGCACACATTTTTATTAAATATTAAATATTCACAACCATTAAAAGCAATGTATGTGGAGCAAAATGAATTGAAACCTGTGGTAATGGGTTGTTTTGGTCTAGGATTAAGTCGTATCATTATGTTAACTATTGAAATTTTATCCACAATTAATGAGATAAGATGGCCAGTGAAATTAGCACCATATACAGTATGCATTATACCACCAAAGGTAATAATAAATGCAGTTTTTTCATTTAAAAATCATGCTTTATTATATGCCAAATTATTGTTCACAGGCTGGTAGTAAAGAAGAAAACTCATCTAAATATATCGAGCAATTGTCTGAAATTCTCTGCAAACGCGATATCGATACAGTATTGGATGATCGTACACATTTAACGATTGGAAAACGATTTGTACTTGCTCGTGCATTAGGCTTTCCTTATATAATTATTATTGGCAAAGCTTCAACTAGATCGATACCTTCATTCGAAGTTCATGATATAAACAATTCAGTTACTAATGAATTATCATTGGAACAAATAAATCATTATTTTGACAATATAAATTTTAAATAGACATTTAAAGAAGACATGTACAGTATATATTTAGAAAATAAAATTGATATAATGTATATTATCTAAATTTTTTATATATATTTATTACATATTTGTAATAAATATTTTCTATTTATATTTATGTTTTATTTATTTATTTTTTATCATATATAACATGTTTAAAGTAAATTTTTAGTAAAATGTACGATCATTGAAAAAAAGAAAATTTATTGATATATTTAACTATAAGTATTTATTCATATATTTACCATAAGTATTCATATTTAACTATAAGTATTCATATGTACATGCTAATACATAGATTGTTGACTTCAATTTTGTAAATAATAAAATTAAATTCATGTAAATTGTTTTCATAAACATGAATATTTCAGAAAATTTCTTGCTTCTAATATCATAATAATATCATCCTAATATCATAATAATCAGTATAAGATCAGGAACCTTAAATAATTTAGAACAGAAACTGGGATGCATGGTACAAGGATATATTATAATAACAGTAATAGCCACAATGTTGAAAATATATTGCAATATACATACTCTTACATTATGAAATATTTGAAAGTTCTTCTAATATACTTTGCGTATCTAAGGTATTAAGATCTATCGAAGCCCGGGTATCTACTATTACACCAGTTACCTGAAAATGTTTAAAATAATACTTGCATATAATTTTTCTGAAAATATAACTATACATATATATAACAAATTTTATTGAAATAATTTTTAGAAATAATAATTTTAATATGAATTAAAATAAGTTCAAATATTGTTTTATATATATATAAAGACAACAATACAAATAATATAATATATAAAATTATTACATAAAGTTTATGTTATTTGCATGTGTTTCATGCTGTATGAACCTTATCTGTTATCTTTTATATTATATAATGTAAAAGACAACAGATAAGGTTCATACAGCATGAAATATACAAACTATATAAACTTTACACATGTAATAATTTTATATATTATTTATATTTGTAATTACCATTTCTTCAAAAAATGCAGTATGATTAGGCTTTTCTGAATATCTCTCATATTGATCCAGATTATCTTGCAATTTTAAAGCAAGACTGTCATAATTCTGTATTATGATAGCTAGAATTTGTTGTTCCGTTGGTGTCGACAAGCTTTCTTTCGCTAGCCATGCAGCTATCTTTGGAGGAAAATGATTTACTATATCTCTCACATTCACAAGAGAATTTGTTAATTTAAGTGCATGTTCTTTGTACTCGTACGATTCACTAGTCGAATATCTCAGTGCTAAAATATTTTCATATAAAATATCATATATTTTATATTTTAAACATATATATCTTTTACTTATAATCTTATAAAGATTTTTACATTATTATTAACCACTTACCCATAGCATTTAAATTGGTAAAGATAAGCCTCATACGAATAATTTCATAAAATAATTCATCATAACTATTGGGTGATGACAGGAATGTATCAGCATATGTAATGAAAAAGTTTAAAATGTTTACCACCTGTTTTGAAGAGTAACAAAGGTATTATGTTAAAAATTATATGTTCAATTATATAAATTCAACTATATAAATTTTGTGTGCTCTATCTATATAAATTATTCTTTACCTGAATAGCTAACGGAAATATGTTCATTTTCTTAATGAGGTGACTTTCGTGTGTTGTTAAAAATTTTAGCAAATTGATTAGTGCAGTCCAAAGATCTCGCCACTGATAACCAAGTCTGACACGACATCTCTTTTGATAACATAGCAGTCTTTGTAGAACGCCGATACATTGATGATATAATTCGAGTGGAAATTTCTTCATCATATGCGATGTTATGAATTCAACAAGCAGATCTATAATTAATAAATAAGATACACATACAATACATATCTTTGCAAGTATATGTTATGATGGAAAACAAAGAAAGGATTATTTATTATAACTCATTCAAAATAAAGTCTAAGTAATATAATAACTTATTAGTTTAATAAAATTTTGTATTATTAAAGTAACCCTTTTTATTTGATTCTTACTTTATGATATTTCTAAAAAAACCATGCTCTGCACTCTTAAAACATATATTAAGAGAAAATACCGAGTAATGTAGCTGCAAGTGGTTGAGCAGGTGCTACTTTGTCTTGTAATTTTCTATGATGCATAGGTACCCTATGTAATTGAACTCTGAATGCCAAGTTTGCATCATGCATCAAACTGTTTGCATATTGATCCTCTGCAATACAGCTTAGTATCAAGAAACATAATTTCACGTTATTCATTATAGCCTCAGTTCTAATGACTTGCATAACTATTGAACTGTAATACAAATAAATATCAAATATATAGTTATCAAATAGCAAATTATTAAATGTATGTTTATACTTAAGCACATGAATGCATAAATATGTATATTTTATGTGTTTATTTATTTTTTCTCTTACCAGTACTGTAGAAAAGTCGCTAATAAATTAAATGGTTGAGACGTAACATCAGGTAGCGAAGCGCCAGGAGCTACCGCGTTCGGGCCCAATGTATTATTCGGTGACGGAGGTGCACTGGTATCGCTTTGCGTATAGGCCAGAGTAGTTACAAAATTACGATTCAAGTGTGTAGCCTCGTACAGAGCTAAAAGTAAAGCATTATTCGCGCGAACTTGTTGTGTTTTTGCTTCTTCTTCTCCAATAAACATGCTACCGACTATACTAGTCAAAGAGGATAACCAAGAAGCTTGTATCTCTGGAAATATATTGATTATTGCAATGAGAAATGTTTATATATATGTTGTACAATATCAATATAGAAAAAGTCCTGTAGAGAAGTTATCTAGTCTTCTATCATAATGATTTAATATATCTGGCATCTTTTTTTTTGTCTAAGATATATTAAAATTAAATTACACAAAATTTCATGAGAAATTGGTGAAAAAGATTTCTAATTAGAAGAAAGAAATTATACTATTATATTTTACAATACCTGCTCTTTGTTGAGCGAATTGTCGACAAAACTCCGTTAATGAGCCTGATATAGCTTGTCCGTATCCATTGAGAGCTAGTTCATCATCCAAAATTGACAATTTAACAATATATGGATTTGCACTCTCATATTTTCTATAGTTGACTAGAAGTGTTAATAATAAAACCACATCATGACCATGGCGATTCCTACTAGCTGTATCTCTCAATAACTGCAATATAACATTAAATATAAATTTTACATTAGAATACAACTCTTTTTACATAAAATTTATACAAATTTTATGTAAAAAAATGATGTGATTTATAAATAACTCTAATATACCTGAATTAATGATTCAAAAACACTGTTTAGCATTACATATTCCAATAAGGTATTTTGGCTGATATTGTCCATACCAGTAACTATTATTAATAATAATTTCAGGCACAAAGCTTTCAAACTATCAGGATATTCACCTAAAAGAATCAATTTTTTTCTCATTATTCTGCTACCCAATCTTTTTTTTTCTAATTAAGATATATAAATGTTTATAATTAAATCGTTATTCATTTATATCTCTCTCATACCTGTTAAAAAATTATTGCAATGTTGCATTAATGTTGTCATTCTCTGTTCTGCAGAATCAAACCCTACTAAAATGTCTATTAAGTTAAACCCATAGTCTCCTTGATTAGCTTTTTTGTACATAGATTGGATAACTGCTGCTAAAGTTTGCAATGCATATACTATTCTAAATGGATGTTCATCAACTAATGTATCGACACAATGGCATACTAATGCATTCAGATTTTCTTTACTAGCATTTAATTGTTCTGATGTCATATGCAAGATTTCATTCTCAATATGAGGTACCTACAATATTATATTCATCTTTATTTATATATACATACATATATATATATATATATATATATATATATTCTCTAATAAGAAATAAAATTTATCAATAACAATTTAATATATTAAATGATTTATATATATCAAAAATATATAAACTTGAATTCATAATTTTTATCTTTATACATTACATAAAATATGTTATAGTTATTTAATAAGTCGTATTAGTTATTAACAATCGAAAGTATTCATACATGAACAATAATAATTAAGTTTTAATAATTAAAGTCCACAAAATTCATAAATGATAACAAAGTACAAATCAAGATTAAATAGATTACTTGTTGGAATTATTAACGCACATGTACACATTAGTTCTTAATAAAAATATATAGTATAAAAATATATATATAGTAAAAGATATATACCATGGGTTTAATAAGAAACAATTCATTCCAAAAATTTGGATGAGCTAAGGTTAAATCTTCACCTTTGAAGAAACTCTCGTAGATTGGTACTAGTTTGCATTTGTGTTGACGTTTGGCACCAGAGCCACTTCTTTTTCTCATAGCCATTTATATAGCAAATTATTTTTTACTGTTCATACTTAATAAAACCTAAGAACATGTATAACATTTAAGAATAATTTTTCCATATAATATGAATACATATAGAATCTCAAACAGTGCATTGAACTTTTTAAGAGTTACTTTTCAAAAAAGATTAAAAGAAAATATCTAACTTGTATTTAACTTGTTTTGTTACAATTAATAAAAATATTTAACTTTATATATTTATTTATTAATGTCTAAAAAATTTTAGTGACATCAAGCAATTAATATATATCTTTATAAAATTTATAATTTACATTAATGTGAAATTATAGAATGATGAGAAAAAGAGACAGATAAAGAGAAAGATCATTCAATATATAAAATTCTTACCAATTTCTTTAAATTTAATAATTCAACAACTATAATGAATATAATTTATAATATCGCGTATGTAACGAATAATTATAATAGAATCGAAAACATCATTTATATCCAAAATTATCTGTTGGAAAAATATTTCAAGGTTAGAACTTGTGTGTGTGTCAGCCAGAATGCAACCTGCTTGAATTAACCTCAAACTTAGAATATCGAGAATCTTGTCTAGCAAAGACTCGAACCTTGCGTAGCAAAGATGCAAACCCCGTTTAGCGGAGATTTGAACCCTATGTTTACAATTCATAATCGACAGAGAATTTAAATTTATAATCTAATTTGATCTAATCGACCGATTAAAATATGTTTATCAGATATAAGATTTATAAGATATTTAAAGATATGATTCGATAATAAATTCTATATTTGTTTATTTAAGCAATCTCTCATTACAGTAACAAATTTTATCTTCAAAATTATATCTCTACTATTGTTTATTAGGAAAAAGAATCTATTTGACAAGCGTAACAAATATTCAGATCATAATAAAATCTAAATATTCGTTTAGGAATTTTTTTCTGAATACATTTATAGATAATTTGTATAATATATAGAAATAATAAGAATAGACAAACATATTCTTATTTTATTCAGTTTTATTTAATGTAAAACATAATATACATAATAATGTACATTACATTTTTGATATATAAAATATAAATATACTATATAAATATAATATATCTGTATATATATTTTTTTTTCAAATAATCGAGTCTTTCCTTTTTGAAAAAAGTTAAAAGAACAAAAGTTATTATGTAAAAAAATTATAATTAAAAGAATTTATTTACTTTGTACTTTCTCATAAATATCAATAAATATCATTATAATATCAATCATTAATATCAACCTATAATATCATTCATTAATATCAACCTCATTAATATCAATCTCATTAATATCAATAATATAATAAATTCGATATTTTTGATTGTAATTAATCTGATAAATGATTTATCAATATAATCAATATAACATAGTACTATTATCTGGAATTTTGGCAATTATATAATTGCCACACCCAAATGATTAATTCATAAGATACAAGCTCAGATTACTTACTAGTCGAAAAAAGTAGCCAATTCATATTTATTGTTTTAATTGAATTTTAACTTTTTGATATGCATTGCAAAGTAATCCTCGAATATTATAAATATTAGCAAAGCTTTCAGGTTGAACATTATATGCTGAGTCAACTGCTTTTGCCCAAATTTCAATTTCATTAATATTCTTCTCAACTGGAAGTTCCACTCTCCATAATGACCAACTCCAGTATCGACCTTGCTTTGCTTGAAGATCTTCTACCAAATCTGCTGTATACCAAGTTTTTCCTTTAAACAAAATAAAAAATTTAATAATAAGAAACCATAAAAACAAAGAAAATAATAAGGATAATTCGAGCTTTTATTTTTTGCCTTACCTTTATCATTTGTTACATCGACACGGATTATTTTTCGACCACCACCAGACCATGCATAACCTGACAAAATTTATTTTATGAGTACTTTTGTAAAAAAAAAATAATTATATAGAGGTATAAATGCAACCAAAATAAGTAATATGACTAGCATAGTATACATAAATATAATATATATTTCAACTATTATATATATTATTTTCTTATGTTTGCAATATTCTATGATTACAATTGAATTTTAATTTCACGATTCAAGTTGAATGTTTGATTCAGAGATTCTGATACTCATTACATTTCATTATTATTTTTGTACTTTACCTTTTACTTGTATTTTTCCATTTTTTATTTCAACTACATCTGAATCTTGTGGATCGCATATCGCCGATATTACGGGCATTTCTTGTATCGCAGGCGATTTACTAAAATCTACATTATCCCAATTTGTACTCGGAGAGAATCCTTTATAATCACCCTGCTGCCATTGCGATTGACTTTCTTGCTTTGAAACGCAAATTTTATCTATCAAATAAATATTTTGAGTCATAAGCACATGAATTCAACAATTATATATAAATATACAATATTAGTCTTAAAATTTTCCATACTAAGCCATTTCACATTTCTCGCACCCACAACACCAGGAACGATTACTCTAATCGGGAATCCATGATCTCTGCTTAATGATTTACCATTCATTTCATATGCTAAAATCACATCTGCTCTTGGATCCATAGCTTTCGCGATTGGAATACTTGCACCATACGGTGCACCAGATGGATCTAAATCATATCCTTCAAACTGATGAAAAGATATCAATATTTTCAGAGAGAATTTTTAGTGCATTTTTAAGCGCAAATTATAGATTATTTACAAGTATATATACCAGAAATTAATTTAGAATATTCTATCAATAAAATACTTTGACACAAGCAATCAGAAGAAGAATAGCATTAATGTTTGCAGAACTTAATAACAATATTTCTATAAAAATTGTAAACTACTTTTTATTGAAAAAGATACCTGAATATGATTAAATGCATCTTCATTGATTCCCAAATCTCTTAATACATCACATAATCGTGCACCACTCCACGTGGCATTTCCAACCGCGCCTACATTCCAGTTAATTCCTTTCAACTTTTTTACCTATAAATAAAATGCTATATAAATATTGTTAATATTCTGAACAGAATTCTTAATGAACAGAATTCTTAATTTTTATATACCTTTGACATTTCTGATCGTCTATTTCCACCACACATGACAGCTGCTGTTATTGTGTGCTTGTCATACTTTTTTATTGCCTCAAAATCAAGTGTCTTTTTAATCTCCCCCTCTATAGCTAATTCTAATGTGTAATCTTTTAAATCTATTTCTGGAACTGGTAAATGATTTCTAACATAGAAGAGATCACTATATGTGAAAAAAGACATAATATCAATATAATAAAGTTTAAAATATAATATAAATTATATATAATAAAGAGAAAACTTAAATACCATATATAAAACTTACACTGGTGTAATAAAACTTTCAACTAACATCGAAGATGGTGGTTCTGCACAGAAAGGTTTATGGCCATTGATTATTAAAGCTTTATGTCTAGTAGGTTCATTTGCATATGCGTCATACAAATCATTCTTATTAGATTTAGCATCTTCTTCTGATATATTTCCTATTCTCATAGATTCTAATAATGAGTATATTTCAGGTGTATTGTGATTGGCAAAAATTGACCAGAAAGGATCAATTGAACCTCCTGCTGCCATCAAAATTTTTGAGGAACCACCTGGATGTTTGTCTACAAATTCTGTTATATCATATACTCCTTGTCTAAAGGTAACCCAAATACCATTTTCTTTATTATCATGTTTTCCTATTTCTTCCATAGTGTAGACCTTCATATCCTTTCGTAATTGACCACATTGTATATTTTGTGTTGCATTTAAAGTATAAATGTTCCTTTTATATTTAAAAACATAATAGGATATACCTAAAACTGATGCAGCTACAGCAACATATGGTGCATATGACGTAACAGATTTTTGTGTGTTTTTAGAAAATTTATATTTCTTCTCCGTGGAACATTGTTTGTATGTATTAGCATAATTCCTGACAACCACCTGTAACAATGGTATCTGCGATCTGAAATGAATTAATCAAAAGGTAATTCGTAAAGTTTTTAAATTTTTTATATATCTACACACATATTTACATGTATAATTTAATAATATACTATCAAAAATAATACACTATTAATTAACAGACACAATAGTCCTTAAATAATAAAAATAATATGTATATGAATACCTTCGTCTTTCACAAAATATTTTCGAATGTAAATTCATATTAGTTTGTAAATGAATTATTTATTTAATATTTAAAACTCTCGTCAACAATGCAATATCAATTAATCTTATGTACGATCTATTAACACTTTGCAAGAGATGTACATAAAATGTATAAAGTATAATGAAGTAAATAAATAAATCTATAAAATATGATGTATCTTATCTTATCTTATGATATAAAAAATGAATTAAAATAAAAAAAAATAAAAAAAGCCTTTTGCAGAGTGTTGTTAAGTGAACAATGAACATACACCGGCGTACTTTATGATATCAATTTTTTTTGTTATTTTTCTAAGGATGCTTGTGACTCAGCAAAATAATTGGGTATGTATGTGTATTTATTTATATATTCAAAAGAATGTCCCCGATCTGAAAAAGTGATTTAGCATATAAATCTAATCTCATTAATGTAATCAGCTGATTAGAAGGGGTTAGGATGATTCTGTCAAATCTGTCAAATAGAAAAAAATTTTTTGAACTTTAAAAATTCCCTATTCGATAGCCAATTACGTAACATTAGATCTGTTCGTATAAAGTCTGGTGCAGACAGGACGCGTCAACAGTGAGCAACCAATCAGCGAATTAGTTCAATGGGGATCTAGGCTGCGTTCGGAAATATCATCCGAATGCCTTCGGGTATCATTTTATCCTTGTTGTTCACCGAATGTTAAACAAGGATAAAATGATACCCAAGTACACTGCGCGACAACGATTCGTTCCGTGGTCCCTCTCGCGGGGCAAGGGGAGCGTAGCCTCTAACCAATCAGCCACTGCCACGCTGCCAGCTGATTGGTCACTTCTACGCTCCCCTTGCCCCGCGAGAGAGGAGCCACGGAACGAATCGTTGTCGCGGAGTGTACACTCGGATGATGTTTCCGAACGCAGCCCTAAAAGCAGGCCATGACACCTCTCAGTCTTCCTTCTGACTAGGGGTAGACAGAATCCCTATATAGAGATCCAATCATTGCAACATAAACTCATCTATGTATTTTATATATCTATGCTTTCACATATATATATTTTCACATATATATCTTTATGTTTATACTGTATATGAACATGCATACATGCATATATACATCGTTGACATATATACGTATTCTGGAAATACTGATTGTAGATTGTAGTTTTCAATCATTGACAGCTGCGCGCAGATATAATTTCTAATCAATCCTTTATTTCATAGATCACTTTTTTTCAATTTTATAGAAAACTTTAAGTATCACAGCTTGTTTCTTATATCAGAAATGAATAAATGTCTTCGGTACTGTTAATTTACATTTCCGATTGTGTGAAATAATGAAATAAAATCAGTTTTATACGCTGATTAGCTATTTCAATTAAGATGAGTGAAAAATCAGAGTTTCTCGATGACGAAACGAATTTTATGGAAAAATGTGATGGTGCTAATTTTATTCCAAAGCAAGACGTTCGATTAAGCGAAGGTATAAATTCAGTTTAGAAATATGTAATATATTTATCTCACAGTATATTAGATTGTTGTATGCGTTATACAGTTATATTAAACTCATGCACACATGTATTTATTTTAGAATATATATTAACATTATAATGGGAAAAAATATTTTTATACATAATAAATTTATATATGTATATACATATATATATTTCTTTCTTAATATACATGTGTATAAAATTAATGCTTCTCTTTGATGTTACTTGTAATTCAAAAGGAAAATTAGTTCTATATTTTTCAAATAATTCTGAGATGTTGCAATAATATACTTAATATGTACAACTTATTAATATCAAAACTTGTACTTGAATTTAAGAGACATATTGATTAAAATAATTATTTTTGTCTGCAACCAGGAATGATGATACAGAATGTTTTGCAAAATAATCATTGTAGAAGTAATATATTCAGAAGTAAAAGCGATTCAGCATTATCAAGAAAAAATGATGGAAGACCGAATTATCAGATGACAGATAACATTAATTTATTGACTAGATTTAATGTTGACAAGTCTATTACCAACATTCCTAATGTAAAACTTCAAACATGTCACTTATCTAAAAGTGAGAGTTGCCTTTCAAATAACAATGAATCTCTTCTTTGTGACTCATTTTCCAATAATATGAGTGTTTCTTTATCCATAGTACCAGTATCATCTTTAGATTCATTTCTAGTCAGAAATAAAGTTCATAAATCTGAAAATGATATATGTGCATATAAAAATATAACATGCACAGATGAAGAAGAAACATTATTTAATCAATTGAATGAAGTCAAAAATCTTTCACTTACTTTGCAATGTTCCGCAAATGAAGAAGTTATTAATGTGTATGAAAATAATTTAATAAAAGACAAACATGATAAAAAAGAACAGACTGTTGCTGAAGAAACTAGTGTACTTAAAACAACACAATCTTGTAAAGAAATAATAGATTTACAATCACAGATAAATAATAAAATTTTAAACGAGAAAAATCAAGATGAGAAAGAAGATATATGTAAGGAAAATGGGTCAAATTCAACGCTAAATGCCCATGTGCAAAATAGTTTGACATCTCGACCAACATTAATTGATGACAGTAAACTTGTTAAAATGTCTCTCCTGACAAATCCAATAACAATAATGCAATCAAATGTTCAACTTTTAAATAAAAGTCGTAATTTTTTCAATTTTATCACGGAAAAATCGACAAATATTATGGAGAAAGCTCTACTACCACAACATTTGGCAATGAAATACAATCACATATCAAAATCTTTTGAAACCAATACTATGATGGGATTTTATACTAATAATGAACCTTTTTTAAAAGATGTGATTGGAAAAACTGGATTGGATACAGATTTAACAACAAATGCGAGTAATAGTCATATGACAAATTGTATAGTAATACCAGATCATGACACAAACAAGGATAAGTTAGACAGTATAACAAATAGTGAAATTGATGAAAATCTATCTACATGTATAAAAGAAAATCTATCTACATGTATAAAAGAGAATAAAATATCTGATAATTTGGAGAATGCAGAACGACAATTACATAATAATTTTAAAAATAAAGTATTAAATGAGGAAGAATATATTTTCCAAAAAAATGATGTAGATAGATTAGATTACAATATCAATGAACAAGCATTAGGAGATGTATTGTCAGAAATAAATGAAAATAAAAATAATTTTCTGCACAAAGAAAAACTGCATAACAATATGCATGAGAAAGATTCAACTAATCCTACTACTTTGGCAGAGTCAAATATTTTAAAATTAGGCTCATTAGAGCGTCCATTACATCTTACATTATTAGAGGATTATACTAATTTAAAACTCAAGAATGAAAAATTGCTAGAAAGAATTGAACATTTAGAAAAGTCAAATCGATTGAACAAATCATTATGTGAAACACAAACAAGTACAGATACATTTATCTTACAAATAGAGAACTTGGAAAAAACTATAAATAAATTAACAGCTGATTTGAATACATCACTGGATATGCAAGAAGCTCTAAAAAAAGAATGTCTAGCAATTAATAAGGAGAAGGAAGATATGGTTATGAGATATGCAACTAGCGAGAAACAGGTGATTGATTCACAGAGGTATGTATAAGAAAAACTGTAATTTGGTATTTATATTATTTTTTAGACATAATTGCAAAATGAAATTTCATGAAATTTCAAGTATGAAGATATTTAAATCAATTAAAAGCAGTATACATATACATATAAAAAGAATAAATCCAATAAATTAAAAATGGGAAATATTTTTCAAGTATTTTTCATATTTTTGAACAATACTTTATCAGTTATAATATATAATGATTTTGAGAAAATCAGATTCATCATAAATGCAACTAATTAGTCATTAATCCATTAATAAACCGATATTTATACATTAAATTAATTCATACAATTGCTTTGTAAAATTTAATTCGTAATATGTATAACAGAGCGAAAGATTGCGCGGAACGCAAAGTTAAAGATCTTTTAAAAGATCAAGAATTATTGCAAAACAAGTTACGCCAAACGCAAGGTGAACGTACAAGAATATGTAACATTATGGATGGAAAATGTCGTGAGATCACTGATCTTCAAAAGGAAATAGAAAGATTAAAAGAAGATACTAAAATGAAGGAAACCAAACTGAAGTGGACGCAAAACAAACTTATGACTGAAATGGACTTACAGAAGGATACTCAACAAAAACTAGATAAAGCTTTGGTAAACATACATTGCAATATTTTTCACAGCTTAAGTTGTAAGAGTATGTTAAATTATGCGAGAGTAATAATTGAATCTCATTTTAATAAATATTAAATATTAAATTATTACTAGCATTTTTCCTATTGTATTAAATTAGTAATAATTGTGCCTTGATAAGCAGAAAACTCATATATACAAGGAAATATTTTTAATTTGAAAAATTTATTAAATCGAAATCTTACATAATGATAAATCTCTGAAAAAAATTGTTCAAACATCACTTTACAACTTTTTAATTATTTCGTAAAATTGATTGTAAATATGATATATTTATCAATAATATGATATAATATTTATTATATATGATATATTCTAATAGTAATAATAATATATAATAAACATATTGCAGATGAGAATAAATGATATGAAAGAAGAATGCGAACAGATACGCCGGGAAACTCAAGAATCATTTCGGAAATTTCAGCAATCCGAAGAAAATAAAGCTGTGACATTGGATCAACAATTAAAAGAACATCAAGCGCGTCTAATTTTAGAAAGACATGTTACGGAAGATAAAGAAACATTAAGGCTTCAATTACAAAAAGAATTAGAAATATTAAAATCTAAACAACAAAATTTAATAGAAGAAAATAATAAACTCAGTCTAAAAGTTCAAGAATCTGAGAAGGCTCGACTACACAATGCAAATAATTTAAGTAACTTAAAAATTGTTGCAAATCAGCGTCAGGAGCAAATCACTGAATTATTAAATAAAGTTTCTCAATTAGAAGCATTAAAACTCCAGTTGCAACAGTAAGTATGCTATGAGAATATAATATCATATAATATGTGAAATGTCATTACTGTAAATATATCATAATATATATAAAAAATATAAATATAACTTTGCATACATGTAAAAAATATGGCAAAAATTATTATTTTTATAGACCATAATTTTATTCAATCATCATTTAAAAAATCTTCTCTTTGATGAATTTATTTAAATCTTACAACTTTTTTTAAAATTTACATTACATAAAATCTTAATATTATTAAATGATATTTTAATTACAAACTATTTATTTAATATTTGTAAATTTATTTAATATACAGTAAAGAAGAATGTCTAGCATCGGCTGAAACTCAAATATTACAATTACGATCGGCTAATGAAGAATTGCAATTTGACATGCAAGCATGTCGTCAAAAAGAAGCGGATATGTTAGATTTTACGCAAAAACTCACAGACAAAAATGTACGTCTTCAATCCGAGTTTATTGCCATTCAAACAAAAGTGAGTGATCTCGAATCCGAACACGGTCCGTTACACGACTGTATTAATGAATTGACTAATAAAATCAAAGTTTTGGAAGAAGATTTGATGCAAGAACGAAAAAAACGAAGAGAGGAGTGCGAAATTTTGGCTAAGCATGTCGCTGAACAAACTCAACGAGCTCAAAATTTTGCTCAGAAATTGGAGGATAGTCAAGGTGAAAATGCAGTATTGAAAAGGAAACATCAAATTTCCATAAAGGAGATGACGCGAGAATTACAACAATGTCGTAGAAAATTGGAGATGTTTGAAGCTGCATCTCCCAGTAATTCATTGGATATTACATCCAGAACAGGATCTAATACTTCTTTAACAGGTTGATAAATTCATATTATTTCTTATTAACGAATAAATTGAAGCTATATTGAATTTTGACATCAAAAACTTTGATTCTTTTTAGGCGATACATTAAACGGTGCCTTATCAGATAACAATGCTAATAGTGATCACATTTATTCTATAGAAGCTAATAAACAAGTACTAATGGATCGCATTATAAAACTGCAAAAGATAAATGTAAAAAGAGCTGAAAAATTAGACTTTTTAGAGGAACATACACAAACATTGGTAGAAGAGCTACAGAAAAAAACAAAAATAATACAAAACTATATCTTACATCAAGATTTTGGAGCTTTGGCATGTAATGAAAGAGATAAATATAAGGTAAAAAGCAACACCTTTTTTAATTAATTTGATTTTATACATAACCACAAATATAAAATAAATTTTACAGTTATCGATATATTGCAAAAGTAATTTAAAAATATATATATGCTTTATTCAACTTATATTATTAATACATCTATATAAATATAAATATATCTATATAAATATATAATTTAAAACATTTAATTTTTATTTTTCTTAAATGAGATTCTATGAAAATATCATTATAAAAAATAGATATAATTAATTTTCTCAATATTAATGTTGAGTAAAAATTCAACTTTATATCATTATTTACATATTAATAATAATAGAGTCTTTATTTTTTACATCCAAGCGTATCAAAAGCAGAAGAGATATAGTAAGTGTGAGAAAATGAATTCTTTAGTAAATTAAAAAGTTTTAGAGATCAAACGATTATATGTATAAAATATGTAATATATATACATATTTTCTATTCTAATTTTGTGCAGGCCGAATTAGCACGACATGGAGGTATCATGGCATCCGTTTACAATCATCGAGTTTCAGATGAGAATATGACCCTAGAACTGTCTTTAGAAATAAATCAAAAATTACAAGCAGTTCTTGAAGATGCATTATTAAAAAATATTACTTTAAAAGTAAGTACATTAAATAAAATCATATAAATGAAAATATTACATATAATAATAATGCATAGTAAACTGATCACTTTTGAAATATTTTATTATGCATTCTGACAAATATGAAAAATATGATAAATATAAAGAATAAGTTTAAAAAATCACTTTGATTTTAATATTATAATTATGAAAGAAATTTAATACTTTTATATACTTTTATACATATCAACGAGATTCAAAAGTACCTCTTACAATTAGATACTTTCAAAATCTTATGTATAATTTTTCTTGTATTACACTATATTTCAATTGATTGAAAAATTTATATATATATATATATATATATATATATATATATATATATAAATTTTTTATGCTCCAAAAAGTGATCGTTCTGTCATAGCATAGCATAATAATATTTATTATTTGAAACGAAATACATATAACATAGTTAATTTATCAATGTTTGTTATTTTTTTATATTACTATTTAATATTACATTACAGGACAATATTGATACATTAGGTAAAGAGATAGCAAAATTAACAATGCAGCATCAACAAAAATAATATTGACAATTTATAATAGTTGTTACATGTACATAGATACTTACATACACTAGTATCATATGTTATATATACAAATATCTCATATGTAATATATCATGTTATATTGACGTGAGGAAAAAGGAAGTAATATTTATTGTTGTTTCAAATTAATCAAATTTTCTTTTATCTATCATTATATAATTCAATAACATTGTAAATATTTCTTTATTTAAAAATGTATATTTCCCACTTATTGTTAGATTTAATATATTCAGAATATATTATATTATATATTTACAAAGTAGAAATAAAAAGCATCATTAAAGCAAATTAATTTATATTATATGTCTTATGCATGGATATAATTTATTTAGCTAAAAACGAAAAAAATTCTTATGTAAAAATATACAGATACATTTTATCACATAAAACTGAATGTTTTCAAAGTGTAGTGTTTCTAACATTAAAAAAATTAATATTTCTGCTTTTATTTAAATTCGTGGAATTTTTAACGCCTTTATTAAATTCGATATTGTTTAATAATATATATATATATATACATACATATATGTAAGGTGTCCGGAAAATCGCCCACAGTACGGGAAATCGAAACCCAAAGAGAAGAAAAAAAAGCTATATAAATATAATCCAGAAATAAATCGTTTCCGAGTTATAGCCACTTTTATGTTAAAAAAATCGTAATTTATAGTCTGCTTGGCATCCCTCCTCTTTTCCAAATTTTTTTAAATTTAAAATTAAAATTAAAATTTAAATGTATATTCATAATATAAGAATTTATTAGCAAATAAAATAATAATAAATTATTATTGAGGAAGAAAGGTGTTACTATCTATTAAAATGTTACAAAATAACATATTTGATATCTGGTAAATAAAGATTTATTTTGCAAGTTCAACTAGATTGTTTTAATTTTTTTTTTAGAGTACTTATATCTAGAGGCACTAATCTCAAGCTTAAAATCTAGCTGACTACAAATTCGCTCGACAGTTAATACTTGATTTAAATGCTCAGGGGATCTGATCATAATACATACTTGAGCGTAAACGGATGAAAGATTGTAATCGAAGTAAAATTGACTAAAACTATGATTAATATCACTAAATTTACTTTGAGATTTTTTTATACAATTTGGATTTTTTTAATGAGCTATATATTATTACTATGATGTGTTTTATATCGTATCATATTGCATTATATCGCGTTATCATACCCTACAATGCGATAATAAAATGCAATAATATATGTTAGCTGTATGTAAAATACTCGCAAACTTGTATTATATGATGGAAGAAGAGATGAAGGAAACTAGATATAATTTCCCCTATAAGATTATTATTATTATTATTATTATTATTATTAAATGAGAGATTACCACTAATAAAACTGGACTTGTTCTTTGTATTGCATATTTTTAACAATAAAATATCATCTATATACTTTTCGGTAGAGCAGTATTTCAATATCTACAATCATCTATATCTAATCATATTAGCTAAAATTTTATTTTTCAAATAATCGCGATAAAGTCATTAAAGAGAGAATACTCTATAAATATTTTAATACTGATAATACTAATACCGCAATAAATATAATAAGAACACTGGGTTTAATACATTTGCTTATGTGTTTAAAGTCGATTGTGCTATACATATAATAAAATAATTGCTATAGAAATAAATTATTGCCTGTTTAAAATTTTATGTTAAAATTTTATACGATTTTTATAGTATAGAATATTGCAGTTACACTCTATAATTATATTTATATATATATATATGAAATGTATTGTGTGTGTTCTTAAATTTTAAATCATGTTTAATTTTACAAAAATGCTTTTTTTCTGTGCAAAGAATAACTTGCAAATTGAAATTGAAATCAATTTAAAAAAAAGATATTTCTATTTTATAATATCTTATAATTATGATATTTTTCATATATTTTCTTATTCTCCTTCTTTTTTCTTTTCTAAACAAGCGTTATATATATTGGATACATAAATATATTAAACAATTTCTCTTCCTTTTTTACTTTATGTGCATTCTTTCTGAGAAAGCAAGATTATTATCACTAATTTCAAACAGGCATATAATCTTCGAAAAATTCCGATTCATTTTCTGAAAAGCCTTCGTAATTATTTCTGTACATTATTTTATTTGTGAGATTGACAATATTTTATTATTTTATTAGGGTTTTATGATCGACTGATATATTCTATTAATAATTGAAAACTGAACTATGAAAACGTGATAAATAAGCTGTAATAAAAAGCTTATAATAAAATCGAATATTATGATTAATGACTTTTTGCGCTTGAATAAAGCATAAGGAAAAGAAAATGAAAAAATAATTGTTCCTGGAATATGTTGCAAATACATTTTCAACGAAATAATAAATAATAAATTAAGTTAAATAAATATTCTACAAAATATATCACAATATTTTACAAAGTAAATCACACAACTATTTTATAAATTGTATAAGATAATTTTGAATTTTGAATAAATAAATAGAATGCGAGACTATTATAAATTTTGTGAAATTCCAACGATCGACTTATCCATTTACAGTGAGCAATAAATATTATATAATTATATGAATTATACATGGATGGTAAGAAAAGACATCGTACTATTTATGAAGAAAAAATATTTCAACATCATGTTATAGTAAATTCTATCGTTTCTATTCTTTTTTTTTGTTTTCCGTATATATGTTATACAAGTAATACTCATATATGGAGATTGTGTGAAAAAATTATTTGTAAATGTAGTGTTGCTAAACGTAGTATTAAAACACTCCTTCTATAGATAATACGATAACTTTTTCGATTACCAACTTACTACATTCGGGCGATATAGTGCAGATATACATTCATTTTCGCTGCCGCCATGTATTGAAACCTCTATGTTGCCCTTTTTTATTTTGGCTAAATACATTTATTAGAAAATAGAAAAATAAAGTAAAATTCGTTGGCGCGGTTAGCATAGATGCAATAATACTGATATCACGTATTAACTCCAACATATATATGAGCCAAATTATTCATTATTATTATTTACGCAATCTGTCGGATACGCACACCAAAAGAAAAACAATTTGAATATATCTTATGTTATATAAAAAGAAAATAATCTACTTTGTACTCGCATAATATTGTACATAATTTAATTTAATTTAAACATAGAAAAAAATTTCAAATATAAATATAATTAAATTACTAAATTCATTAAAGGAACATAAAACATACAGTATAAAAAAGTGTTTGTGTGTTTGTCGTAAAATTAATTGCATATATAACTTATAATTAAAATCTCTTTTTTTTAGGATTTTATCCAAGAGAATAGGGGATATAATTATCCAAGAAAATCATACTTAATTTTTTTCTAATAATAATCTATGTACAATAATTCTAAAGAAAAAAATATTTGGTGTTCTTGCTCTATATTAAATTAAATCAAATAAGTTCTTTATGCAAAACTGGACCAGCACCGGGCAGTGTGTCATTACGGCAGAATTGCATTAATCATAATACTGGCACAGTGAGGCAATGACCTTAGGATTTTCTAAATATACTATTAATAATCTGAAAAACTATGTAATCATATATGTCGCGTAATTATTATCATGTTTTTTTTATATACCATCCACTTTCACATATTTGCTTAATTCTTATATATTTATTTATATGCATTGAAAGTAATAACCAACTCTATTATATTAAACTGGCTGCGGACAGTTGCAGACAGTTGGTATAATTCTAATTTATATCTCACGTGCGATTCGTTCTTAATTCGCTGTCAAAGAGATTTCTTATATGCAATATCTTTAAAACGCAATATTTTTTTCTGCTACAAGAAACACATATATTGAAAATTAACAATTGGATATATTTCTGAATGTAATATTAATTTATTCTAAGCGAGAGTAAAACGCTTACATTGCTATTATAACAGAAAATTGAAATTATTATTCAAATTGATGATGAAAAATTCTGTCCCGCCTCTTTCGCCTAAACTTACGACGAAGTTGGTATCTTTTATGATTAAGATCCATTTTTCAGATCTGAATCCAATCACAGCCATTGAGGATGCAAGATGTATCGCAACTGAATTCGTTGCTATAATATCTAATGTCCTACAAAAAGATCCCAGATAGCATTCTCTAATTTATGGATAACAAAGTTTTAAATTTAAGATACTTTTAAACAGAAATATGCAAGACTTTGATTGTGAGAAGCTAGTTTTCATACACACTTATGCAAAGATATGTTTACTGTGTATAATACACGATGTTCATGGTACGCGTCTGTATAAGTGCATATTATTAAATGCATTACATCAATCGATCAAATTATATATAATTCTATATTGAAAGGAATTATTCGTAAAATTTGCATATCTCTGACATAGAATGTTATCTGGGTATATCATAGGTACAATGCGTTTATATATAAGACACTATAATGTTGTTTTTTTCTTAAACTATATTTTAATTCAAAACTATTCACGAAATTGTTCTTTCATAATTAGTCGCCTATAATACGAAAATGAACAAAAATATCTATTTAATGACTAAAAAATAGATTAAATTGTAAAAATATCTAGAAAATGACAAAATTATTCTGAGTAAGAAAAGATTGAATGTAAATTTTTTTTTACTAAATAGTTTAATTACTTGCAAATAGCGCATCAAAATTTTGAAAAATTTATGATATTAATGATGAGAAGCAATAACACGCTGACATGCACGCGGACACACATTCATACACATTACAAACTATATTAATACTAAGAAATTTTATACAGATATGTGTAATGAATGAATTAATTTTTTGTCAACTATCCATTATTGATACGTCAAAATAATATAAGCTTCTGTGAGGCATTTTTCTACTACACTTTCCGACTACACTTTAAAGAACAAAACTGTAATTATAAATATTTTTCGTAATATACTTTGAACACGATAAATATATTGAGATCATAAGGCGCAAGATTAAGAATACATGCGCGAAATCCTACGATTTATGCTTTACTGATACCAAATTCTGCCATATTATGACACGCCGAACGAGCTATCTATTTTGCACTAGGAACTACATATTCCATAACTTGATTTTTTGCATTATTTCTCCTGATATTATTACTATTGTGATTTAGTCAGATATCGACCTCAAACATGTCTTGCTCAATCGGTTTTTTCACCCAACTTCCCAGCTGCGCTCTCACGAAAGCATCCTTCAATTGACGCTTGGCAAGCTATTTGAGGAAAAAAAGAAAAAAAAAGAAAAGGAAAAGAACAGTCGAAATATCACGTGTACCATGCATTGATATACATCTTATACATGTATTGTTATTATATTATATATATAAAAGATGTAATGACTTACCGAATAATCTTGTACTGAAGATTTTGCATCGAGATAATGACGACAACGATTCTCATCAACATCATCTATGGTTGGAAGTTTACTTAAGAGACTAAAGAATCTTCTAAAGAATGCTTGTTTAGATATTCTAGATGGTTTTCCCAATTCATCTTTACCAGTAGTACAATTTATGACTTCGGCTTCGCTCTGTCCTAAAGTGTATAATAAAAAAAAGAAAAAAAAACGGAAAAAAGTTGTTTAATCTTATACAATTTAACTTGAAAAAATCCAAAATATATATTTGATACAAACCGATCGTCCAATTGACACTATAATTAGGTGCTTTTCCAGGTTGTCTGACTTCAGAAGATGTGATTAGACTCATTAATGGTTTATTGAGTCTGTATGGCGGTGGTAAGCCTTGAATAGTGTTTTCAATACGACCGCAGACTGCTCTGTACATGTGACTTGGGTTCAAAAGACTGCCGAGAACAATGCTGTGGAAGTAAATTGGCTCGATGAAGTGGCTTAGAAGTGCACCTTGCACACCAAGTACGTTCCACCGAGCTATTTTGTCCGAACACGACATCGTCAGCAGTCTTTGACCCTAAAAAATTTAATTAAAAATATGATTAATGTAGTCGAGATATTTTTTATAAAAATTTTTATAAAATTATGACATTTAGTTTTCACGCAAGTAATACATACCATTAATACGCCATCCCAAGTTTGAATACCCTCATTACTCTTTACGGGAATGGTTCCTTCGCCAGATTCTATCTTGGTACGTAATTGACCTCTAGCCCGTCTGTTGGGATGTTTATCTATAGATTCATTTTCTTCATGAGGCGAGAAGATTCTCGCGTCACCACAGGGTGCTGTATTTATATATAAATGAAATTGGATGCCTTGTTTTAATTTGAATCCCTTTTTAATTGGCTCGAGAATAGATTCTGTACTTTTATCCTCGGTGTGTAATTCTAACTGTTTATACAGATATTCACAGAGACATCGCCGTGCTACCACTTCCGCGTGACAATCATTCACAGCACCACCACTAACGCTCAAATGCTCGCCCGAAACGCATTTCGTACCTTTGTCAAGAAAAATATTTTAGTAAATATTTGAAAAGAAAGATATATACATATAATTATTATTATTAAATTTTGTTTAAATCTGAGACAAGCTTGTGCTTTACCAGTAGTGACGCATATCAATTCCGCATCTGATCCTTTGGTTTGTACAATACCGGCTAAAACTTTACGTCGTGCATGTTGCGGTTTACTCTGAATAAGTTCGCTGAATTTCTGATTAACCATTTTGCCAATTCTATCGGCCAGCATTTGCGGTAAAGTCATTTGTTCTTGCCAATGCGCGGAATTGGAAAAATTTGGCAAAATGCGAACAGGTAGCGGTATACAAAATGAAGAACTGTGGACATTTCGCAATTTCGCTAAAGCGGCTTTACTAGCCGCCGCTTTTGCCAATTTCTTACTTGGGCCTGTTCCTTCAAACGTTTCTCCGTCAATAGTTACTGATATCGTGAACTTTGCGTAACTTTCTCCGTTATCGGATATGCAGTTATATATAACTCCCGGATACAATTCGTTGATCAACGCTACTGGACCTTTATCTAAAAACTTATTCGTATTCTTTGGCTCCTGTGTTTTAAATGCATTGACAAGATGGTTATCACGTTCAGTCACGTCACTCGTGAAATCCGGCTCAAGAGGCACAACAGGCTGGCAAGTATTAATAGCTTGATGAACCTCGGGTGTATTTCTAAATTGAATAATATTCCGTAAAGCGAGTTCAGCAGCCGCATGTTTTGCCATCTTTTTAGTACGTCCTTTCCCTTCATACGTCTGTCCATCGATCTGTACTGCAATTGTAAATATTGGAGCATGTGTAGGTCCGGTCTGCCCTACCACTTTGTATGTAGCTCCAGTTTTTAGCTCATTTAACGCGCATACTGCATTTTTCGGTTGTGGATTTTTATGACGCTTTTTAGCGCTGCTAACATCTAATCAAAAAATAAAACAAAATTTATAATTACAATGTTGTAAAAATAAATATTATTGAATACATGTATAAATCAAATTGGGTTCTCTTTCAAGTAAGTTATACAATATACATTATGAGATATCATATATCAAATCAATTAAGTGTGTGTGTGTGTGTGTGTGTGTGTGTGTTACTGACCTTCTAAATCTACTTCTGATGTTCTCTTGAGTATAGATTTTGGTGAATTTCCTTGCCCCATCTGCAATACAATTTTATATAAATACCAATTATAATTACAAGCTTTATTCCATATAACCAAATTAAATAACTCTTTATTTTGTTGATTTTGTATTATTTATTTTATTTTATGCTAGTATAGAAAATCAAAGATGCAAATTAGCAGAACTTGTAACAAATTTCACAAATTTTTAATATTTTAATTTTGCAAAAATATGCTTATTTATTCATAAAGTAGATTTATCATTGTTAAAAAAATTAAAGAGAAAATTCTTGTTGATAATTAATAGATTGTTTTTTGCACAAATTAATAAATTAATTCTGATGACTTATAAAATTATTCTGTAAAATAGTAATCTAGATTCTATTAATTTTAATCTTTAATCAATATCAAGGAATATTGGCATATCATTCCTATAGTATACTTTAAATGTTATGTCATATAAATAATATTTTAACGTGTCCATAATTCTTTCCTGTTATAATTATGATTGATTTTCAGCTAGATGGATTTTTTTTATTTTGCTCTATATGAATATAATATATAATAAAGATTAAATAGAAGAAAGAATTTTTAAAGATAATTAATATATATATATTATAGAAAAAGAATAAAAATACAGAACACACCAAGTTAATTCAACAAATAACACAAGGGTAACATATATCATATATTTTCATTTCTACATGTGTACAATGTGTACAATATGTACATGTGTCCTTTATCTTGAATCTTGAATCTTAAAGATTTGATTAGGATTAGATTTATATATAGATCCTTTCAGAAGTTCAGAACCGTTAAAATCATTTCTCAAGCTCGAAATTTATAAAATTATATGCTCGATGTACATCTAAAGATAATTGATTAAGCATTATTCCATTAAGAGACTCATATTTTATTCAAGTTTGAAAATTGTAAAATATATATATATATACATATATACATATATACATATATAATAAAAAATAATTGTACAAAGTTATATAAGAACTGCTACCCAATATATGCTGCAAGCTACATTACATTCAAAAGTTCCTCTATCAATAAAATAAAATTGTATTTCTTTCCAATTACATATTAAATTCTATAAATCATTTTTCTATGCAAGTGTAAGATATCTGTTAAGAATGTGGGAGAGGAGGGAAGGGAAGAGATTATACTCTTCACACACATTATTAGAATTATTAAATTTAATGTCAACTCACCAAGGTTGTATGACCACTCTGGGAATTATCCAACAACGTATTACCATTCGCGGAAATCATAGGTGGATTGCATTCTGAAAAATTTAACATTATAAATTCGCGATATTATATACGAGTATCGTGAAAATCAATAGCCGTTTCTCGTACTTGTCTGACTCGATTGTTGGTTGTTATTTAAAAACGTTAGCCCAGTTGACATGATGCGTGGCTGTCACTTAAAAAATACTTAGAAATACACAAGCGATAGTAAGCGAACGTGCGTTTTCGAGACGCCGTTGTATGTATTACATTGATTTTAATTATTCTGGTATCCCGAAAATCCGCAGCGCCATTGCCGTGTTTTTTCGCGCATAATCAACCTAACCTAATCCTCGGCCTACTCCTTCTATATCGCTACACTTGAGGACATACTTTATTAAACACGAGCGACCACCTATGCCACTTCAAAAGGGGACTTGTTGTTTTTTTTCACACGTAGCTTCACAAATGTTCAAAAAGACGCAACGTTCGATAGATGCGACTGTCATGTACGTAGAATCCTTGCGAATTTAAACTTGCCTGTGTGCGAGTGTGTGCGTGCGTGCGACATTCTCCGTATTCCGTACTTACATATATCGTTCGCGTAGTATCGTCTTTCGTCTTGAAGGCGCTGCGAGCGACACCCCTGCAATAGGTGGTGCATTCGACAAGGAAGGGTTGAGAAGACAGAGAAAAAGGAAACCGCTGAGACATTTTTCCTTTTACACGTGAGAAAATACTTTTTACACAATATGAAATTGCGATGGATTAATTATACACTTTCCAGCTGATTTTCGACATCTGTCATTCTCGAGAATATGATCATGTGGATTGTATCGAGGATATATGGTCATCATACGGTGTAATGTATATATTTATATATTTGCTTTATTCCATAAATATAACTTAATTATTTCATGTATTTAGATAAAAGTATATTTAAAATGCATTTTTTTTTAATTTGCAGTAATGCAAGCCGCGTTGTGCATGCTCGATTTATCAGAGTGAATTTATAGTGAATTTTATAATATTATAAAATACGTAAACGGATCATTAGCTACTGATATGGACGAGGAAAGATTTAGAAATAGAGGAGAGTGAGATTTTTCGATTCCTTTCGAGTAGGCGCGGTTCAATTATGCGCTTGTGATTTGTGGATTGATACATCGAATCGCGCCGAATCCCCTCCCCCTTTTCGATGCAAATCAATCCTTCATCCCGGTTCATCTATATATTTTGCATGTTCTATGACACTTTATACGTCAGGCGTCGCCAATTGCAAAGTATCGTAATGTTCCTAGAAGATCTTCTAGGGACATTCATTCCCTAGCTTGCGCGCCTTATTTACTGCGCAACATGTATTGCGCATTTGTACGAAGAGGATCATCCTGGAGCGATCGATCTTATCGAACTTGTAAGTTTTTCCTTTTTTAATCTGTATAATTTACTGTAGCACGTACATACACACATAATTTACTTTTTCGGCAGTCTTGTGCAATTTAAATTTAATTCGAGAAAAGTCATATCGTCCCTATTTAATTTTTGAGGTAATATTAACTCTGAAAGGACTTTTTTTTCGAGCCTCGACTGATCTCGCGCATTTTTCAGATATTCAAATTATATAACATATTTCATATTTTTCATAATTAATTACCTTCTCAAGTTGGATTTCATTAATTAAAATTAAAAATTAAAAAAATACATCTGAATTATATATATAATAGATCGTATTTAAAATTATTCAATCTTCACTCTTATTTTTATGTCTACACATACAGATATATATGCTTTATGTGTTAACACACACATGCGCAAATCAAGTCTATACAAATTTGGTATAAATATATCAAATAACTTTACAAATCTCAGAATTAATCAAAATAACTTTAAAATAATTGATATAAATGTATAGATTATTATTTATAAAAATATATTGGACAAATATTGTAATATTGAACAAAGAAAATTATTATTTTTTCTATTTTAAACATTATATTGGATTTTCGAAAACTTAACGCCTTTTTATTATTTTAAATCGTGTTTTAATTTTTTCTCATCACACACGATTTTTCAACAATAAAGGAAAAATTAACTCCAAATTATTCATATATATCATCAGTCAAGATTAAAATTGCGAATTATGATGATATATCTTGTAAATACATCATTAAATGTCATAGATGTTAGGCTCAAAAATTATAATTAATACGACCAATTATCAATGATAGATAACATATATGATTGTGCATTTCTCTTCAGAGCAGAGAATAATAACACACACATGTGAAAAATACATAAAAAGTGACGTACACAAAAATTATATTATCGAAATTAACGCAAACACATAAAATTGCAAAATATATACATCGCGCAACATTTATAAATGTGAAATATATTTCGTTTACTTACCGTACAATTTCTTGTATTTGTTGACTATAGCTTCAACATACACAGTGTTGTGCAAACCACGTCGCACGATTTCGTTGTATCCGACGCAGATAATATCTGGATCATCGGCAAATAATCCTCGATTGAAACACTTTACGATCGTACGTAAGTCCATGTGATTTATTAAGAATCGCAATTTCTTCAACAGTCCTTTCCGTGAGAGACTCCGTAGACGAGAACGCCACATAACATTGCACACTCGGTATAGACGCGACGAACGTTGCACCAATATACGTGTTATTATCATTACAATTTTATATAAATCTTTTTTTTGTACACTCATCTCATATATGCTCTAAACGAAGATAATGACCGTTTTCGGCGAAGCAAAAAAATGAAATTAAATTCTTGTTTGCGAGTTACTCGGTATACCGTAATAATAATGTGCGTGCTTATCGGTACAATCTGCAATTTATTTGAAAACTTTGTATATGCGCGCGTTTTGATAACGATAACGGCAAATTGATACGATTCCCTATCACTCTCGTGTAATGTCCAGCACGTGTCAAATCACATCAATCTGTCGCTATTGTTATGACAAACACCGTTTCTCGTTTAATTATTAACACAGTTCATAGTTCGTATTCGGGAGCACGGATACTACACGCATATCTCTGCAGAGAGGTGATACGGGTCTCTCATGACAGAGCAATGTAAACATATCTATCACTTTCTTTTCTAAACACTCTATCTGTGACGTTGCCCTATACGATGTGTATATTTAATATGTTCTTAATGTGTTCTTTAATTTACAGCCCTGGGTTAAATTATTCCAAGTGAAAACGAGCATATTTTCCAAATAAATACTAATCTATCTCATTTTTGGGATAAAAATTCCATTATAGGTCTACAAAATAAAATAAAAATTATTCGCTAAAATGTACTTTGATTTGTACGCATGTGTGAGTATATTTTAATTTTTTGTTTTATTTTTATAAACTTTTCTGAAATAACACATTTACAAATCCGAGAAGTTTCTCTTTAACGATAAACAAATGTTTAAATATTAAAAGACATAATTAAAAACGATCACACTGGCAAATTTTATTAAAGTGAAAAATGACGACGTTTCGACCATGGGTTTTGGTCAATAATTTAGTTAACTATTCTATCGTGAGAAATAAGGAAATCACTTCGTCAAGATTATCATGTCAACGTGACATCTTGACAAAGTGATTTCCTTATTTCTCACGATAGAATAGTTAACTAAATTATTGACCAAAACCTATGGTTGAAACGTCGTGATTTTTCACTTTAATAAAATTTGCCAATGTGGTCATTTTTAATTACGTCTTTTATTTTCTTTACTAGCGACCTTCAAAAGTTTAATGTTATGTTCAAATATTGTTTAAATATTTATATTTTCATGCATTCTAAATTGTTAATTATATTTTGTATGGATCGAGAATGCAAATTGCTAATTGAAATTAAAATTAAAAATTAAGAAAAATATGGCAATCAATGGGAATAATAAATACTAATTATGAGTGCAAGTGAACTGTTCTTAATTATAAGCATACGTGATATTTGCTACATTAGGTCTACGCACGATGTTTTATGATATGTTGTTACATATAAATTTTTATGCACTTGCTGTGTCTGTACCATCTTTTCGAAAATTTACCTCTTTTTTACTGTTTCCCTGAAAAGGGAAATTACAATAATACAATTTTTTTTACATATTTGTGTATCTCTTATATATAATTTTCTATGATTACATTTAACTGATTTCGGTTAGAGACATCTTTGAAAGTCTATTTTAACTATAATATATGATTTATGTCATCGAGAGACAGTATTTATATCTTTGGGTGAGTTGTGGGGTAAAAATTGATATAATTCATGATTCATTTAATCATCGATAAAGGGAGTTTGAAAGAGAAGCATACTTATTAAAATATCTAACAATTCTTTTCTGTAACAATCCATAAAATCTATTTAATGTTATGTATAATGAAAAAAAAATATTTACTCTGAATAAATTGTTCAACTGGATGATTATATTACATCAACTTAATATAAGTTAATCTATTTCAACTGAAATCAATCCAGTCAAATTTAATATTTAGATACAGAGAAATCTAATATGACCTACAAGTACCATCAAAATTGAGTTATTAACAATAATATAACATATGTTAAATATCTAAAATATAATCAACATGTTATATATGAAAAATCATGTATGATTTTTAATTTTTAACATAAAATAACCCCATAAGATATCCAGAAGTCTGTTAATGTATGTAAAAGCCCTGTACTTTGGCTCTATTTTCATGATACGAATCTAATTATTACAGCATAATTTCCCTGCTAACATATACGATATATATATATATATATATATATATATATATATATAGATACACAATCGATAATTATCATACGTTACATAAGAGTGCAAGAGAGTATTCTATATATATAATTTATAATACAAATACGCACATGTATATGCGTGTTTAAAGTGTTCTCTTGGATCGGTCGCTACGTGCATAGAACTTTTTGTTTCAGTCTTTATAACATTGTGTAATCCATGAAACATTGATACATGTGTCAATGACCGATACAAGAAATACCACTTATGGCATTACACACTTGTAATATTTCATAAAGCGTACTTTAACCATCAATAATATATGGAGAAAAGATAACAGGAGTGTGTAACATTATTCTTCAATAAAGAACAAAGTTTTATCAAATATAGAGTATCGCAAATATAGAGTATCATGATTACAAAATTGCTAATAATATTCTTTTATTAATTGAACCCTTTTATTATCGGTCAACGTACGATTTACAAAATACTACATACATAATATTTATTATTTTATATATAATTATCTCTCAGAATTCGATAGAGATGTTACATATTTCTATTTATTGTGTGCCTCGAATGAATGAGTTTCCTCATAGAAGCGTAAAACAAAAGGCAATTTTTGTATTTTCGATGTCGATTACATCGAATTATATGGGAGGTAATATCGATTCCATAAGTAATTTCTTGGCTGCTACAATATTTATATACATATATGTATGTATGTATGAATGTATGTGTGTGTGTGTGTGTGTATTTCACTACTAATTCCATTTTCTTCTTTCAACAATATACACAACTGTCACAACATATATCTTATACATATAATAAAAGTATATGATATAGAGATATTAGTCAATAGATTCTAAAGAGAAGTTTAGATCGACATTTGGAAATAACGATCAACAATCTGTTTAAAAACAGAAAACAAGTGTAGTATATAGTAAAATCTATACCTAGAATATTTACAAGTGATAATTGTTCTTAATTAATTAATTTTTATCTCCATGTTTTCTTTTAAATTATCGCCAATAGGATAGTGAATCGATTACAGTATCTATGATACGTATGATATCTATGATACGTATTCGTCGTGTCAAGTTTATCTTTCAGGCCTTCCAGTTACAATCTTGTATATTAAACTTTTATTTATTTTCTATTGATTTAAGAACGTTTATTCAGATAAAATCTCAGATTTGTTGTCACATATATTAATCTTTTTTAGATTTTTATCATTTTACGTGTCTTCGAGATATCGAATAATTTTTACGAAGTAAATTTAATATAATCATTTTGCTAAATTGTAAACACTGATTGCTCGTACCAATTCTTGTTTAATGAGTGTCACTTAAAGCCAGTTACTTAGTCATTCTGCAAAATGCATTCAACATAATACGCAATATTTTGATGTATAACGATTGTTTTGACTTGTTTCTATTCCTATATAAATATCTCAATTTCAAAGAGAATCGAATATTCTCTCTAAAAACAATAAATCTAAAATTTCAAAGACTGGAACAAATTATAAATTTTTAAAAAATTAATAGAAAATTAATTTTAATATATGTTCATGTGTTTTTATAATATACCATATATACTTATAATATTACCATATCATACCCTACGAAATAATATTCTGAATATGCATAAGAAATAAATATATTCTTATGCAAGTAGAAAGTATTTCGCTATTTCATGACCTTTACATTCAGTAAAATTTCTAATCAAACTAAAAAGTTCGATGTTATTTCGCGCAAGTTTAACTTAACTTTTTTTCTTCTCAATCATTCAAGTAGATAAAAAAAGACGGATAATTTAGAGAGATGTAAGAAGATTTTGAAAACAGAACTAATATTGCATAGGGCATCAGGAAACTTTCGATAGGCACTTTCGATTAATTGGGTCAATTTAGTCTTACCTTTAATTCCCTGATGCTCTAAAATACGTCAACATCTATTAGAAAGTTAAAAGGAAGCAATATATTGACAAAAAAACATGAGTCAGAGAATTATAAGGATAATAAGGCTGATCGTAAGATTTCATGGATTTTCCGAATACGTCATTAAAAACATTGGTTCATTCTTTACGCTCATCCACAAATATTTGTTATTTTATCACATCGTATCTCAATATATCCTATAAGAGCATAAAGATGAGATACGCGCATTCATACGTACATACGCATACATACACACACATAGGCATACTCGCAAATCTCCATATACAACACATGCACATGCGCATATATGTAGATAAAGCACATTAATCTTTAATGACATATTTTGTTAAACTTGTCGAAAATTTAAAATGTTTCAGGGAGAATATTGACAATATTTAAGCTATAAATGATTCAAAGACTTCGTAAATTAAAGTTGTAAAAAAGTAATAAAATTTTATATTTATTTTGAAGTAAATTTACATTTTTAATATCTAATTTTTGAAATATTGAAAATATTTTTTAAAACTTTGCAATGAAACTAGAGAAAAAGGGAAAATGGTCTTATATTGACTTATATTGACTAATAAAAAAAAATGTATTTTAAATTAAACATTTTAGATGAAAAATATTAAAGTAGTTTGAGTACACAATATTATTTATCTAAAACCTTTCAAATATAAATATGACATTTATTTTTAATTGTTTTAATTGTTAATTATTAAAGATGGCTTGGTAACAATACGACATACGAATAACAATTGCTATAAATGATTTTTTATATTAACATTTTACTAAAAAAATTGCAATTGTCGAATTTGTCGAGAAATATTAGTATTATTATAATTTAATATTATGAATAAGACGTTTTTTGTGCCTTAACTATTCATATATTTTGCGCACGTGCGCATGTGTTTATATATGTATATATACGAAAAAGTGCATTGCATATGAATTCGTGTGTGTATGTACGCACATGTACGTATATATACATATATTTAAATTTGTGTATGTATACGTTATTATTTATGTTATAATTTATCAGTAATGTTCTCTTAATCGTCCACATTTTAGTGTATCGATCATAAGTAACAAACCTCATATATCGAATTGAGTCGTTACCAGTCGTAGTCGTGTTGATGAAAAGGATTGGTGCATGGTTGTTGGGCGTGTAGCTGAATAGTTGGTTTTACGACATCGAATTCCCTACCCACCACTTCATTGTAGATCTATCAAACAGGAAAGCATCTCGTCAGTTTTCTCTGTATAATATATATCTCATTGGAATTTATTAATGTTCTCGTGGCATAGTATAGATAGGATTTCTTGTTCAGTGAGTTTCGAAGAAGCCTTTTGTAGAAGAGATGCAGGTAATAAACCTAAAGAGTCTTTTTCTTTATCTTTTTTTTATCAATAGAAATATCGCATCCTCTTGCTGGACGTCTTAATTAGAATGGTTTTACTGAACCTGGAAGCTCCTACGAATATACTCGTCCTCTCCCTTGCCAGTCATACCGTAATTATATCCACCTTCGCCGCCACCTCCGCCATTTAAGAATGGATTTGTTGGATTACCAGGACCTGTATGAAAAATTAGGTAAATATAAAATAGGAGAAAATCAAGAAATAATCAGCTGCAAAAGTCGATCAAATTTCTTTTATAGAAAGATTGCTTCTTATTTTCGAATAAAGTCGCGAATAGAATAATTTCTCACCTCCATTGGCACCGGGTACGGCCAGATTTCCACCAGCAGTTTGATAAGTAGCACCGTAACCGGCATCTTGATTAGCTAGTTCATGTAAGCGGGTAGAACTGAGAGCTCTCGGTATAGCATTACTCGGTACACCGTGTGGGGCCAAATGAGTAGCTTCGGCTACTTGATGCGGATCTTCCGTTTGTGGTAATTCAGATACAAAACCGGTATCTTTTCTATAGAAATTGATGAAGATAAAGATTGCTAGGACAACTGAGCAAATGACACCGTATGCTCGGAAAGTTGTAGTCGTACCTGTACATTAAATATTTATGAATATTATTAAGTTGGCAAATATGACCTTATCATTGTAAAATTAATATCAAAGATTTCGATGAATATTGTATATTAAAAATTAAATTTTACAAAAATTACATTTAAGTGATTGTCTTAGATATGATTTTTTTATATCAAAAACTAATAATAATTTGTTATTAGACTTGCATTACATAAACATAGAGACGATAGAAGGAAAAGGAGGAAAAAGAAAATAGATTCTAGAAAGTAAACAGAATAAACATTGCAAATCATATAGACAAATCAAATATGGAAAAATAAATTTAAAAGTACAAGCCAAGAATTGTTGAAATAATAAGCCAGGAATTGTTGAAACAATAAGACGGAGAATAATTGAATTTTACAGTATAATAAAATATGCAATAAAATAAAAACAAATAGAAAAATTAAAAATCTGCAGATAAAGCGATTTAATTAAATAGATAAATGATCAATAAATGTAAAAGATGCAATATAAAGTTACTTTTGGCTTTGAATCAATTATTTAGAAATTCTACATTTTATAAAAACATATATTGAATATTAAAAACTTACCATAAGCTGCAACAAACATGCCACCAATTACTGCACCGCATCCTCTTCCAAGCCCATGATGAAGTCCCTGAAGAACACCCTGTGCGCTCGAACGCAACTGCGATGGTGTATTATGGGCGATGTAACTACAGCATGCGGCCCATACAGCCGCATGTGTAATACCTTGAATGAATTCGAATGGCAATACCCACCATGGATTTCTCAACCAAGATATATAAAGGAATCGAAGTATATTTCCGCCTAAACCTAAACACAACACCTGAAATTTATATCATAATTATTAATCGGATATCCGCAAAAATATAGACACATGGAAAGCTCATAGAAAGTTTTCAATCGCATTTTCTCTTCAGAAAATAAAACGGAAAATACGTAATATCATTCCGATACTCTCTATTTTGTTAAATTATTGAAAGCGATTAATCTCATAATTGTTTACCTTAACGTGTCCAATCTGTCGAATAAGTTTAAAACTGAAAAAGTATGCGAAGATTTCGGAAATGTGATTGATTACTGATGCAACGCCAAACAAAGTTGGGGAACCACCGTAATCTTGAAGATGCCAGAAAAGGAAAGTGAAGATCAATCCTATACCAAATCCCATAAACCATGCGACGAAAAGGAATGAGGCGCATTTCAAATCCTTAAACTGCTTCAACACTGTCACCCATTCTGGTATTTCTCTTGTAGTTTGTGCAAACATTTTAGTCTAAAATTAGAAAGTCATTACAATGATTGTAATATGAATGATATTTAAGGCTTTTTTTCGTGCAAAGGCTTTTTCAACAAATAGACTTGAAAAATATATTTATACATTTTAATTTCATTAATTAATAAATGTTAAACTGTACTAGATATATCTTAAATTTACTATAAATCTCGGTGCATGTAAAATATATCTACTTATTTTGATTAATAATTCAAAGTGCGGAAGAACTTTAGATAGAATTTATTTATTTATTTTGATTATATTATCAATTTTTCCTAAAGAGCTTTAATAACAAAATTAATGTAAAATTGAAAAATTTAATGCAACAATATTACTTTCATGAATTTGAAAAGATAAAAGAATTTTTAGTTTAATATAATTTAAAAAAGAAACATGACACATTGACAAAATTAAATATAAAGCTAATAGGAGAAAGTATAATAATTTAGATATAAGCAAAATGAGATACTTATTTGTTGCTTTGGTATATTTTATGTTTGTGCATCTTGGAATAAACTTGTATCTTGATCAAAATTGGATATAGACCTTTCCTTCTGGAGGTTGAGGTTTAGGATCTACAGCAGCGGAGGAATCCTGAAGTCCAGGGAGATTAAGCTGCTGCGATAATTGACTTTGAAGTTTTTCTTCCTGTGTTGGCTCAGCTGGACCCATCACTTCCTAAAAATTAACAAAGTTATCATATTAAATGTATATCTTTACGTAATAAATATACATAAAGCCATAAGTAATTGATTTAAGATTTATTCTTCTATAAAACAATCAGCTCTTTTCGTTCAAAATTCCTGTTTAAAGAAGAGAAAAAAATAAAAGAGATAAGAGATAAAAAATTTATTAAATATGTTAGATAGAAAGTCTCATCTTTATAAACTATAAGAAAGTATGAGACCTAATTATATCAGTTTTTTAATAAAATTATTATTAATATTAACAATAATATTTTATTACAATAGATATTAAAATAAACTCACTTGTGGATACTCAGCAGACGCAAAATCATATTTGAAATTAATTTGCGTTGCTGTTATTAACGCGGCACCCATTAAAACGCTGAATATCGCAAAACAAATTGTATAATTTTTTTCTCTATCATCAGGCTTACAGGGATGATCCGGAAATGCGGTGCTATGATCAAGAGCAATTCCAACAAAGAACATAGCCAAACCCCATCCAAGACTTCCAAACATACGTTGGTGACCATATCTAAAAGTCATTAGTAAAATTTATTAAACTTGAGATTAAATTATTAAATATATACATTGACAATCAACATTTTACGTAATTTTTATCATTCGAGTTTGAAAAAAATATAAAAAAGCTACAGTTTTAAATCGGTAAATAATTAATTGTAAAAAATTTCAAAAAGATATATATTTTATGAAGCATAATTTAAAAAAATTTATTGATATTACCTATCAGCATCTTCACCAAGTAAAGTGATGACAGCTGAATCGGCTAAAGTTATAGCAGGTGCAGAAAAAAATTCTCCGACTACTACTAACAGCAGTAAAAGAAAGAAGGTTTTTTGAATATCCTAAAATCATATTTAATCAACATGTTATTAAATTATTATAAATGTAACTTCCATCTGTAAATCTTTCTCAATATGCTACATTAATTAATTATGTTTTTGTTTTTCTTTACACACAAATGTAAATTATCATTTTCAAAATTGTATCATAAAATGACAGTCAGAGCTTGTAACTTACCGGTAATCTATAAACTATGGAACTAAAGAGTGGTTTTACCCATCCTTTATTTTCTCTTTCATTATAATTCGTAGCATAAGTAACCGATAAAGGAGACAATTGATTCTGTGTAAGAAGGCTTCCGTGAAGCGTTCTTACGCTTCTGCGATTTCTTATTAATGGCATGTCCATACTTCTTCCAGTTTCTTCCTCATTGTTATCAATGTTTATATCGTTCTCGTTCAAAAGTGATAACTTCTTTTCTACGTCTCGTTTTACCATTATTTTTTCCGGTGGTGGTTTCACACGAGTCTTGGTATGAACGTGAGCTTTTTTTGGGACTGCTCTATCAATTATTTCTTCATTCTACAAATATATATATAAAACAAATATATATATTTTATTAATTGTGTAATTTTTATATTATATTAACATTTTTGCATTATATTATTAACAAAAGTTGTGCAATTCAATTTTAAAAAATAGTTTGAATTTAAAACAAATGTTATCATCACATTCACTTATCACGATTGTTTATTCATTATAAGAGACAAATATAATATTTGATTACAATAATTAATTATATTATTATATACATAGGGTAAAAAATATATATACCTTTAGAAAATGTTTATATTCCAAAATATCGGCTGGACGATTTTTCTTTTGCAATGATTCCAAATCGATTGTCTTTGAATCTAAATCGACATTATCTTCGAGCGTTAAATATCTAAGATTTTTATTCGTGAGAGATATTTGTCTCTTGACTCTGTTGTTTTCCAAATCGTATGCAGTAGAATCATCGTTATCGAAATTTGTAATATCATTTTTTACGATGTTAAAAGATGTTTCGAACATATTAGTTTCTTTCGCTGAATTTGGGTTCTTTGTATAATCTAGTATTTCATTATCGTCTATATTTCGTCGTAATCTTTCAAAGACAACATTAGACGCAACTTCCAAATACTCTTCTTTATTTTGAGGGTAATATAATTCATCCAGATTGGTTGATCTTTTTACAATTCTTTGCTCTCTGCTGGATGCTTCCAGATAATAAGTATCATTTGGATCTTTAACCATGCAGGCAGTTGGCGGTGGCTGAATAAAACCCAAGGGTAGAGTGAAAATAATCCAGCAAGAAAGAGAAGCCAATAGAATAAGTTTGCCCTTTTGCCATCTGTGGATAAATGAAAAGAGATTTAATTATCTATTATTTTTTTATTTCTTGTACTAATTTTTAATTTTGTATGGCTATATTTTATAATATAGCCATACAAAATTAGAAATTAGTATATGTATATCATATTTTTACAAACGATAATAAGTTTAATTATACAATTATGTTACGGAAAATATGATTTTATATAAAAAATAAGATAATACTTCAAATTTAGATTGAAATTTTGTTGTTATGCGTAATTCACAAATATACAAATGGATGCACGATTAGAGGAAAATATGTGCCACATTTTTATATATTAATTATATGCACTCGAGCAGTGTTTATTAAAAGAAATAATTGTAAGTATAAAGAAATTATAATCATAAATATTACAGAGTATTACTAAAAATACATGAGAAAACTTGAAAAATAAGCAGTAAGCGAATTGAACAATCGCAGCTATACATTTTCAATAAAATAATCATCGTATATCGATATATATCGATTAACTTATTATATAATAAAAATTATATATATATATATATATATATATATATATATATATATTTAAAGTATTCTTGAGCAAAAATTGTACACGTTTTTATATGTGAGCATTATTTGTCATTCTCGCATCTTTTTAAAATATTCAAGTATATATGTGAATGTGTGACCTCAAATTCTCAATTTACATATATGCAATTTTAAATTAATGTTTGAAAATATATTCGTAATCTGAATAAAATTATTATAACACAGTCTTCATATTACGCTTCCTCTAAAACCATATGGTATTATAATTCGCGGCTTTTGGATCGACAATCATTTAATATTGAGATATAACGCATATATATCTTCATTTAAATGACAGAGTCATGAGAAAGCAGTACAGACACAAGCTCACCTGTCGGCCAAAGATCCCCAAAAAGGAGCGCTGAGAAACTCGATAAACGGTCTCAGACCGATGAGAAGACCGCACTGTCCGGCGTTCATACCCATTTGTTTAAAGTATACTCCCATAAGCGGAAATAGGGAACCGAAGGCCGAATAGAAGAAAAAGTAGAAAGTCTTCACGGTGAGGAGTTCTTGGTCGACGGCGCCGAAGAGATACTCCAAGATATCGCTCTTACCGCGTATCTTATGAGTGGCTTCCTTCGGTTGAGGATACATGCTAGGGTCGACCTCACCCTCGGCTTGCGGATCCACCACCGGTCTAGCGCCCGGAACTTGAGGGAGAGCCCTGGATGATTGCATATTGGACGCATCGTCCGACGCTCCATAGCCGTAATCCTCGTGTCCATAATTCTGCATGATTCTTCCTATTTGCTTTCACGTTCGGAAACGCTCTCGCGATAGAGCGTAATTCCAACTACCAGTGGAACACGTTCACCAAACAAAATCGCAAATTTGCAAGCTCGCAAAGTCTGTTCACCATGGAGCAACCGTTGTTCTCTTTTTTCGTCACCTCTAAGTAGACTCTCCGATTATATCAACTGCCAAACCGGTACCCTTCGCGGTCAAATCAATGTTGGGCTGCATCGGGCAGCTTTGCTTCCAAAATCGATAAATACCCTATTGCGCCGGCGCAACACTTTTACCCTCTTACTACCCCTACCGACGCGACATGTACCTCAATGCCATATCGACGTGGCTAGTCTTTCGGCAGATACTATTTTTGCTTTTCCTCTAATTTATCTATCATCTTATACCTCGTCAAGTTCTATTCTCTTCTTCTGCAAAAGATAGGAGAACAATATCTTCACATCAGATTTTATTCGGCTGTATCTGATCTAATTCTAGAAAATTATATTAAATTTTACAGATAATCATAAAACAGTAGAATATTTAAATATATTATTTAATAAATTTTATTTTTATAAATAATTACAGAAAAAAAGACTGCAACTAAAAGATATTTAAACTAAGAAACTAATTATTCCTATTGGTTTTAAAATCGATTATAAAGATAAGCGAAAAAGCAAAGAAAATAGAGAATTTCATTTTTAAAGAAAACACATTTTTTTCTCTTATTAGATTTTTAATTTTACTGGGTAAAGAAACCAAAAATCATTAAAAGAGAAGTGTTCCCACCATTTTGATATCGACTATGTTATTATTAGAATATCTTAAATAAAACTTAGTTTAAGATTCTCTCTTTAATGTCCCACAAGTTTTCGTGCTTTGACTGTTTATAACTCAGAAATTATGCATCCTAACATTTTATTGAAGAGTTGCCAAATTTGATAAGGAATCTTTATAATTATTAATGTCGCAACAATTCTTGTGCAATTATTTTGTAATATTTTTATAACATTTTTAATATTTTTTTTAATTATGGAAGATTGTGTATAAAATATTTTACGATGTGTGGATGTGTCGTAAAGGCTTTTTGTAAATTCAATCATTTTATATAAAATCTCGCTTTTTATCTAAAGTCAGTCTCTCTACTCTAGAGATTTAACGCTTTATGAAAAAATTAATTGTAAATTTTTTGCAAAGAAATTGATTTTGCAACAAGATTGCGTAGTAAGAGGGTAAAAAAAATAAAGACAGTTATATTTATAATGAAAGAAAATAAATAATAATCGCTTTATTGCATCGTCATATTATCTTGTATAAATATAGATTGAGATGAAATAATTAGTAATTATGTTTGCTAATTTACACAATGAATAATTTGCGATTAATGATACATATTAATGATACATAGTTTTCTCCGTTTTAGTGGACTTTGGGTATCAAGTCCATATGCGACTGTGCGGGGCACCCCGAAGAGGCCGCGGTCGACGATGGTGCAGGTTTCGGTGGTCCTTGAAACATGAAGGTTTTCGCTGTCTTCAAAAGACGTCCATTGTTTGCAGTTCGCCAATAAACTGTACGAACCGCCTGCTTTCCAGCGACGTAGCTAACAGCACCACCAACCAGCATCTGCGGATTAATTGTTAGCTGTCAGATATGTATGTATATCAAAGCTTCAAATATAAGATATGATATAATGACTACGTGCTTTTTGAATAGACATGAATACGAAAACAAAATAACTATAAATAGTATTAATAGAAAAGAAATAAAGATAATATAATTTTATTTATATATCCACACAAAAAATTATCTAAGATAGATATCTAAGATAGATAGAAAATTATCTAAGATAGATATCTAATAAATCTAAATGCCTATATGAGGTTCGTATCTTCTATAAATAACTATAGTAGATGTATATATATCATCCACTTATCTATATCTACTAATTGTAAAACTATCAGAGATATCCACCTAAATATATACATATTTACATTCACACATAAATAAAAAATATGGACCACTAAATTTTAACACAATTTTTTTAACATCTTTCAATAACTATAAATTAGCAAAAAATCATCGTATTAAGGTGAAACAAAACTTAAAGCTTGAACATTTTTCTTAAAAAGCAAAAGCACAAATTTGAATTACAAAGAAAATAGAAAATTTTGTAAAAGAAGTTTTACAAAATGACGGACGTTGAAGATAAACTTTGAGAAATGGGAAACAGATTTTTTTTTAAACTATTGCATTGCTCAGGAGAATCGGTTTCCTGATACAAAAATGCATAGTTTTAAGCTCATTTATTTCCTAATAAATTCATTTTAATTAATTTTCTACAGCTTTTTTTGATAAAGTTATATCATCTTAAAGAAAATGCTATTTTCCTCGTAAAATTTACAATTCAGAAACAAATTATCATGAAAAACTTTTTCAAAAAAAAAATTAAAGTATAAGAATAAATAAGGAAAGATTTTTCTTGCCATTTTACATATTGTACGGAAAATGAAAAAATCCGATATTTGCTTTCGCATTCAAATTCTATTTAGAATAGGACAGAAATTGTATCAGATATGTAGAGATAGATTGAGAATTTCAATCTATCGCCACATATCTGACGCAATCTTGTTGCAAAATCAATTTCTCTGCAAAAAATTTACATTATTTTTTTCATAAAGCGTCAAATCTCTAGAGACTGACTTTACATAAAAAGCGAGATATAATAAAATGATTGAATGATTTTATATAAAATGATTGAATTTACAAAAAGCCTTTACGACACATCCACAATTTAGACAAAACATGTTTGTTCAAGAATACATATTTTTTATATACATTATGAATGTTAAAGCATTTAAGGGCACAATCTGCTTAATTATTTAAAATCTAAATATGATATAAAAATAAATTGACATACCTTCTTATCTGGAGTTAATATACTGCGAATACTGACTAGATCGTTGATAAATAATTTGAAAGTTTGGAAAGCGAAAAATTGTTGGATGCTGTTCTACCTCATTTGGTCGTGTAGAGAAAGACTAGTAGTACTGATGGCAAGTCGCTCTCGTGATGGGTATTTTATATACGACAAATACAACGCGAATCATTAAGATAAGAAACTCGCGCGTCATTCACGACAATCATTATTGCCTCTTAGTGGGAGAAAATTTTTGTTTTAAAGGAGGATAAAAAGGAAGAGACTTGCGAGATAAGTGTGGGTGACACATGCGTATCTCGAGAGTCTTGTTTAGTTTTTATTATTTTTTGAAGAGCAGATTGATAAACTCTAGTGCAACGCTGACGCATATTCGCGGGCAAAGAGCTAGAAATGTGGAATATGAACTATGTACGCATATTATCATAATTGCGGGAAAAATTGCGGGACGTCCAACTGTAGTTTGACGTAAAATCATGGACGATAATAATATGATAACGATGCAAAGATAACATGGCATAAAAATGAGAACACGAAGCGTAATAATAAACATACATCGCATCATATCTCATCCGCATCGGTCGTCGACTTATCCCTATTAAGCAGTTTGTGAGTGATGTAGCTTAAATGGACAAAGTAGAAAAAAAACAAAAACAATTGAAGTATAAAGTTTAATTTATATGGATTTATATGGATTGGAAAAAAATTGTAATCTAATAAAATCTCGAATAAAAAAAAAATTATTACAAAAATATTGCATTTAAAAGACAATCATGTATTATGAATTAATATTATATGTATATTCAAATAAGTTTTCTAAATTAATTTAAATTATAATGCATACAAATCTTTGAAATGCTGTAATACTTATTATTCGATTTTGTAGAAAAAAAATAATATCACACTGATAAAAAAATTTGCTATTAAAAAAACATCCAATAGGAATATTAGAGATATTCTGGAAATAATATACTAAGAAATCGATATTTTATATCGATAAATTTCATAAACATTTTCTTCATCAAGCATTTAAGAACATTTCAAGTAATATGCAGGCTACACTTGAATTGAAGATTACATCGGACGGAAAGTTTACACGATATCTTTGCTATGATTCAATTTGTTCACGAGTAAAGCATGTAGCGCATATTCACTGTCGTAAGCAAGAGAATTAAAAAATCCCATGATATGGATAAGAGTGCACAGCTGGAGCTCACGTGACATTTTCGTGTAGTTGTAAATAAGAATACTAGAACGACGTGATTGTGATATACTGATTATTGATTCTGAAAAACTCTTGCGTACATTGTGTCGTATAATACCGATTAGTAATCAGTGATGATCACGTGGGGTCTTATTGCTTTTACAGTGAGACTGATTAAGATAAAAGATAATAAAGATCGATTGCTTATCAAAACACATGAAACATACATTTTACGCACGTACAATTTATTAAATTAATTCGTATAATAAATTATTAAATTAAATTTATAGCAAAATATATTTTAAATATATATATTATATTTTGTTTATTTATCTTTACACACACACACACACAAACACAAACACACACACACATATATATAATTTGAGGATTTGTTCATTTAAAAATTTTTTATTAATTATATGTAATTGAATATTTACTATTACTGTTTTTTTAATAGCGTTAGATTTTTTAATATGGGACAATATTTTAAATAAATGCAACAATAATTTGTTGAATATCTATTCATTTCATATGTATGCATATGCTTGCATTTATTTCACATATTTCAAAAAAGACGAAAACAAGAAAATATAATATATAACACAATTTTCTTGTAATATCATTTATCTTAAAAAAATATTTGTTTACTAAAGTTCAAGTGCTATCTAGACTCGCTGTCTAGTCTAAATCATTCGCATCTAAAGTTATATAACTTCTTGTTAACTTCATTTCTGCAATATATATATATATATATATATATATATATATATATATATCTAAAGAGAGAAAGATATATATAATTATAACAAAGAAAAAGATATATAATTTTATAATTTAATCCAAATGTATTTCCTTAAAAAAAAATAAATTTAAATACTTTACTTGAAACCACTTCAAAGTAAAGAGATTGCTGTTTCAATAGATAGTTATTAATATCTGAATACATATATTATTTTGATAAATTGTGATAAGATTTAATAGAGATACTGTCAACTGTTGCCTGTGATTACAATTATCTTTCAATTTAATACGTATCTTTGCAGGAGGTAAGATCTCCACTTATAACTCGGTATTTTATCAATTTTAACTATAAAAAACCCATATTAAATTAGAAGGTGAAGTTCAAAAACTTGATCAATACAACTTATATATAGTTAGTTATCATCATGATATAAAAAATATTTATCAAAAATATTATTTGTGTATTTTGTATCTGTCATTCTTTTAGACTAGAAAGGAAGAGAGAGAATTAACATATTCTTATTTCTGTTTTATTTAAAATTATAAAAAAATTTTTTTATTATCACACACATAGAAACTCGTATCTGGAAATAAAAATTTATGTGTCTATTTCTATATAAAATTTGACATTTCTTTAATATAATAATTACAATTTAGAAATTAGAAATGCATTTTTATTATAATGTATATTAAGCTATTTTTTACAATAGAGAATATGTCGATAAATATTGAGGAAATTTCAGTATTACATATACAATGAGAAATAACTTATTGATTATCTAATTCATCTTCATCATATGCATATTATGCAGTATGAAATTTCAATATGTGTAAAATGTTTATGTTTCGACTTCATTGTAATCTTTTAATAGAGCACTTATATTAGCTCGACAATCTGCAAAAATTCCTTCTTCCATACCTTCGGCCAGATAATGATGAAAGAAAGCTTTTTTCTGACACATTAAATCAAATTTTAATGCAAGTCTAGTCCAAGCATGTTTAATGGCGGTATTGTTACTTAAATTTGTGACAGTCCGTTTTGAAGGTGCCAAATCACCACCGGGAACCGTAACAGTTGGTAGACAATTAAGTCCCGTCTAAAAATAAATATTCTTATCAAAAACAATGAAAAGTGAGAAGATAGGAAACATTGATATTGCAGCATTCGTCGAAATATTATAGAAAGCTATTCTTTGTACTAATGGATAGCTATCTTACATGATGAAATAAATGCTTATAAATCTTTTGTATTTTAGATTAATATATTATAAAATATTATAGTTACCTTAAAACCTGTTGGAGCCCAATTAACAAAACGTATGGATCTTGTATTTTTTAGAAAACTAATCGCGTTATTAATCTCACTTTTACTTTTTATATTTCCGCGATATATCAGACAACAGCTCAAATAAGCTCCAATACGTGGATCACATCTCACCATCTATATATATAAATAAAATCTTAATTAGTCATTATATAATAATTAAATATTAATGTTTAAAATTTTTTCTCTTCTTGCATAAGTATCGAATGACTATATTATTTTTTTATTATGTGATTATCTTTTTTCATTTTTTAAATGCAATATAATTATTTGGTATTTTCTTCTTAATTTGATTTTTAGTAGCATCTAGTAACAATAATTCTGTAGCAAGTAGTGACAATATTTTTGGAACATTCTATAGATTTTATATATGCATACATGATTAGCAGGATCAAAACAGTCAGACGTAATTTGTTGCACCGATATATTGGCGTATGCTGCTTTATAGGAAGGCATAATTGGTGCAAAGGCCATTAACGGAAAATGTAATCTTGGAAATGGTATAAGATTTGTTTGTATTTCTTCGAGATTCAAATTTATGGCACTTTCAAATCTCATCGATGCGGTAATATTAGAAACAATTTGTGCTTGCAAACGATTGAGACTTGTGTACATTGGCCCATGTATTTCTAGTTTCCTGCAAATAAGTTGTGTGTGTAATCACAAATATTTATATAAATATTTTTTCTTATAATAAATATCGTAATAATATATTATTTTTTCAATATTAATATGAGGAAATACATACATATTTTTATTTTATTTTTAATCAGTTATTTTAGTCATAATAAGTCATAATCAGTCATAATTCAGTTATAATAACTCTATTGTTAATATAATTGTACTGAAAATCTCACCTTGCACATATGTCGTACAATGCCTCATTGTCTACTATAAAACAACAATCTACATAATCCATAGTACCGTGTGTAGCTAAAACGGCATTATAGGGCTCTACGATTACAGTGGAAATATTTGGTGCAGGATAAACAGCAAAATCTAACTTTAGTTTTTTAGGATAATCTTTACTAAGCTTTTCCAATAATAAAGTCGTAAAACCACTTCCTGTACCACCGCCGACTGATCTAAAAATTTACTTCTTCAGTTTACTTTTACTATTTACATTATATCTCGATCCGAGTAATATAAAATAAATAGGAAATGCAGATTAATTAATAAAAATTAAATTAATTAAAAATTAAATAAGAACGTCTAATTTTCAATATTTATTTTTATATGTAATATCTCAGAAAGGAATTATATCATTATATATAAGAAAAAAAATAAATGTTTAAAGATTTGAGAAAAAAGTTCATATATAATTATATGCAAATACATAGAATTATATATAAAATATGTCCATATATGTATATATTTTCTTTCTCTTGTATAATTTCTGGTTATGTACAATACAAAAAATAAGAAGGAATAATTAAAATATAATTGAAATAATAATTTTCGCATTGTTTTTTAGAGACAATTTGAAGAAGTAAGGAAAATTGTTCATATATAATTATATATAAACAATATTTTTCTTCTATATAATTATATATATAACCAGTTTTATTTATGATATATGGATTTTTTTCAGAAAGATAAATTTTAATTTTAAATATATTAATATTAAAATATGTTAATATTAATATACTGGAATATTAAAAAATGTTACCAATTAATATTAATATAAAAATATTAATATTTACTATACTAGATCTAACCGAGAATAATATATTATATATCTTAGATAAATAATAATTAACTACCTAAAAACTATAAATGCATTTAGATTGGAACAGTTTTCGCATATTTTACGAATACGATCCAATGTTATATCGATTGCCTCTTGACCAAGTGAGTAATAACCTCTTGCGAAATTGTCAGCAGCATCTTCATTTCCAGTAATTAGAGAATCCGGCTGGAAAAGTTCTTTATAAGCGCCAGTTCTAATCTCGTCGATTACAGTTGGCTCTAGATCAATCACTATGGTACGCGGTGTAAACAATCCTTTCTAAAAAAATGTACTTATTAAAATTCAATGTTTTTTGTACCTTTAATAAAAATATTTCCAATTATTAATAAATTTATTTATTAATTTTTCTTGATTTCTACAATATAAATTTCATTAGGAAAATCGTCAAGTTCTAAAATAGAAATCGCATTATTATTTTTTAGAATAGCATTAATAGAAAGATTATTATAATAATTGTATATAATATGCTTCTCAAAAAAATTAATTATTTTATTTTAAACATATTTCTTCTGAAAATTTTTGGTACTTGTCAAGTTATTAATTATTCGTTCATCGACGATTAATCAAGCATGTAATATTATTAGTTTGAAGGCTAAAGAACATTTATTGCAATACTTTACCTGTGATTGCGTGAAAAATGCTTTGAATTTATTGCCCAAAGGTTCATATTCTTTTTTAAAATTTCCATCGGGTTCGATTCCATGCTCCAGACAGAATAATTCCCAACAAGCATTCGATATTTGCGTTCCAGCTTGCCCCACAAAAACTGTAAGCACTTCGCGAATTGTGCTCATCGAATTCTTTAATCGTAATAAAACTTATACAAAAATTTTATTTGTCGAAATTAAAACGCTTTATAATTAATTGGATTGAATATATATATATAAAATTAACTTTAAAATTATATATAATTGTTGTAAAACGGTACTAAAAATTTACTTATAATTTCTTAACCGGCCATTTTGGTTGACTGAGAGATGTTCATTTGCAATTTAAAAATACAAAAAAAATATATCCACATATATATACATATATATATACACATACATCTTAAATTCATATAAATATTATTTGCATTAAATTTAACGATAATTTAAAGACAATCGGTGAATAAATAAAAACATTTTTTTATAGATTGATTAATTTAATTTTTGTGTAACTTATTTTTTTAATCACTTATACTTAATTTTTCATATGCCAAATACATATGTACACATAAATTTTTAAACGTAGTTAACATAAGTACATACATGATCCACTTCTTTATGCTTTTGCAATATTATGTTCACTGGTTGTCTCTAATTAATTTATAGTATATTTATTATTACTTGTAATTTATTAAACGACATATTATATTTTACTATAATTATGTCGAAGAATATTAATTAAAAAATTAATCATGTTATTTTCTATTATATGATGTATTAATATTCGATAACTAGTCAAACAAATTACAACTAAAATATTAACAAACATACATCCTTTAAAATATTTTTATCCTGTTGATTACTTTTTTTATTCTCCTATGCAATATATTATAATTCAATAGATAAAATTTAAATTGCGCTACATATATTATACAGCACTATTAAAATTATATTAAAATTATCAAATGTATTTATATATAAGTACATGTGTGAGCATTTGTGTACTTTATTATTTGCTTATATAAAATTTTTACAATGCTAATTGTAACTTCTCAACATTATTTTTCAATCTTTTTCTGTGCGTTTTTTTGAAGATTTTTTTCCCTGATTTTAGATATATAAAACCTATAGTTTATGTAGATGTAAAATCAAAAGGTGGCATTTCAAGAGGTGTTAGAGGTGGTAACGGCGCAAGACATAAAGGATGTTCTTCTGATCTGATATCATTGTTGGAATTGACAGAAACTGCATAGAGACGTTCTGTTAGCTGACGTACTTCTTCTTCTTTTACTTCCAATTGGCTAAGCAAATTCCCCACAAGAGATCGCAATTGGCTATTGACAGTTCTAAGTTCCTCTATAACAGTGCCAGTATCTTTTGGATGTTTGAAGGTTTTTTCTTCACTATCGGGTAAAGATATCAAACTCAAAAGACTATCTTGTTCGTCAATAGTTTTGTATATAGCTTGACGTAAGGAACCATCAAACTTATCAGTCCTTATATTTGTATAATTGTCTTTTTCATTGTATTTAGCTACATGTTTACTAAGATCTTTTTGGCGATTTTCTAATGTTGCTTTATATTCTTCATACTGTACTTGTTTCATTCTAAAAACAAATATTTTTTTTATAGCAATAAAATCATATAAGGTTAAAGAATATAAAACAAATAATTTGAAAATCAAAGGTACCTGACAACAGCTGCCTGTCTTTTATGGTAATCTCGTTGTAGACTGAGGGATTCTAGAGTGACTAATGATTGAATTGGTGTCAGAAATTTTGGCGTTTCTTGAGAGGATAATGTAGGTGCATGTATATGTACGAGATTAGACTTGAGCCGAGCATGAGCCTCCGTTAAAAGATCAGCTACAGTTTCATGACACTTTGCTGCTTCTTCAAATTTTCCTCCACGCAGTAATGCTTCTGCTCTTCTCTGTTTTTCATGTGCCTTAAATTTAAATATTAATGTTATTATAATAATTATATATTAATTATATCCACACATTTAATATATAATAAATATGAATAAAATATGTGGAAATAATTCATAATAGGCCTCCATGCACTTAAAATATGTTTATGGAGTAGTACATGTATTATATTATTATTATGTATTTTTATTTTGATAAAATATAGCATATTATTAATTCTCTTAATGCAGATTATAACTAATTATTATTTCTTATTCAATTCATATACAATAATTAATACATAATATAAAACTATATTATAGATGGAAAAAAGATAAGACTTACCAAGTTCAAGGCAGACGTCTCCATGATTGTTCATGACTTGTCAGCGAAAAGTTACGACGCTAAATTAATGTTCCTAGATCGTAGAATCGTAGGAAGAAGGAAATAACTACAGAAATTGTAAGCCTACCGTAAAACGTACTGATTGGTTATCGGATAGAGAATTTCTAGAGTTTGTTATGATTCGAAGAATTCTCTATCCGATAGCCAATCGGTGCGCGCAAATTATGTGGCGTATGAATGTAATGTAAGCCTAGCTTTCAGTTATGTCTTTCCTCCAAGCAACCGATCAAGTTACTTCTTAATTTATGCCCCAGTGGTAGTGTAATCTTCAAATCTTTCGAAAACGCGCGAAAAAAGTTTGCCCTCGTAATATCGCGATATATTATACTACTTAAAAAATGGAGAGAGAAAAGGACGAAGAGTTCAATTGTGGAAAATGTAAGTAAAGTAAACAAAAAAGTTTTAACAAGTTTATTGAGTGAAATTAGATTAAATCAATCGGAAGGAATAGTTGATTATAACATTTCAGAATTATAATTACAGAATCACATAACCAAAACTAATTTTATATGCGAGAGAAATAAATAATTCGCACATAGGGAAAGTTTTATGTTTATTATATTTGAAAAGACCAAATGAGAAATCATATATTTTGCTATAATACAATTTTACTTTCAAATTTTATTACAAATCTTATAATGCTAACAATTTGAAAAATTTGTGATATACACCTAAAAAACAACTTATTTTTCACTAAAAAATTGAAATATTTGAATATTAATTGAAGAATTATTATAAATTTAAACATATATTTAATACATATAATAGAATAAAATAATATTGAATATTTCCAAGTAAAATAAATGTATTTTTGTATAACAATCCATCAAAATATATATGTCATCTCAATATGTCGGAAAAATCTACAACAGGAAATCCGAACTTTTCCGAAAAAAGTTGTTTTTTCCGGGAAGTATTAGCGAATATAATCACATCCATTCCATCAAGCACTCTAGCGAACCACGGCGCGTGCGCGCGAGCGTTCATTCTAGTGAATGGGCACGGCTCGTGAACGCAAGAGTCAGCGGCGATGTATGAATGAAATAGTAAATATAATTGACAGAAGGGCAGGCGTGGGCAGGCCAGTCGTGCGTTCAGTCAGACCAGACCAGCAGAAACAGGCGGAATGAGGTGCAAGACGGGAATCGAGCGCGAATATAGGATCGAGGTCATCACCTCTCTAACATTTCAGGATAAGCGCGATATCCTTTTTTATTTTTTTCTTTCTTCTTTCGTTGTATTATCGATCCCGCTAATTTTGTATCGTTCCTGGTCAATCCTGGTCAATTATTAATCGGATCACCTTCCAAACTGGATTGCTTCCATTAACAGCTAGATGATTAATAAGAATTAAACTTGGAAAATCATCCCTCAAAAGAATTAAGTTATTAAGTATAGAGTTATTAATTTTGTAATATAATAATTCATTACAGAATGAAAAGAAAAAAGAAAAGTTTAAAATGTATAAATTTTTTTTCTCTTTTCTTTTTTAGATAATAAACTCGATTCATATATGTTGATCCATAAAGTGTGCATCGCGTGTTAAAATATATTTTGGGACGTGTTAATCGCATTGCTTTCTATAATTATTTTCTTTGATTTTGAAAACATTTCTCTCTTGCTTTATTTCACGCAAATTTTTCGCACGTTATATTTCCAATGCAAAAAATGGCGCAAAATATTGTCTCGAAGAGATCTGCTCGTGTGTACAGTCGATGTATCGGTAAAAGAACGTCGAAGAATATGGCGAGTTCTTGACCGGTCTGTCTTCTCCTTCTCTTCACTTCCCCTCTCTCTTTGTGGAGTCGTCGAGTGACGACCAAAGACGGTAGGAAGGTACGGTTTCCGGTCGCCCACGCGACAATCTAGTCAGGGGGGCTCTCTCTCTTTCTCTCTCCCTCTCTCTCCTTTTCTCTCACCGGCTAGCGTCGTTGTGAAAATCCTCTCGATTCAGGTGTATAGATAGCGCTTAGGAGCGGTAAGTCTCTGGCGCAACAGTTCGCTACCGTAGTGGGGTGTGTGCACGATGGGGTCTAATATTTGCGTATCTTTGCGTGACGCACCCGTCACGCGTAACGTCACCTTTGCTTCGCGTCGCGTCGCACGATGTGAGATTTGCCTAATTTAGGAAGACAGCCTTATGCGATTGTATATAAATATAAATACTTAATTCACACGTGTATTTATATATGTATGTATACACTTTTATAATAATTGTATAATTTTTTTATATAGTTTTCATATCTGCAAAATAACTTCCACATTTCACACATATTTATTCAATAAAATTGAATCAAAGAAAGGAAATCTGCAAGAGCAAAATTTTCACAGAAAATATAAAGAATAATTTGAAAGTTTTACAAGACAATTAAAATTTTTTAAAAAGAAATACGTATAACGCTGTTAATATCACTTTTTGTATATAAATATAAGTACTTAACTCACACATGTATTCATATATGTATGTATACACTTTTATAATAATTGTATAATTTTTTTATATAGTTTTCATATCTGCAAAATAACTTCCACATTTCACACATATTTATTCAATAAAATTGAATCAAAGAAATGAAATCTGCAAGAGCAAAATTTTCACAGAACATATAAAGAATAATTTGAAAGTTTTACAAGACAATTAAAATTTTTTAAAAAGAAATACATACAACGCTGTTAATATCACTTTAATCACTTTTGGTGAAACAAATTATCACATAAAATAAGTGACAATATTTTTTAAATGAATAGAAATATGAAATCTCTTCTAATCTCAAGTTTTATGACAAGTCAATTTTTATTTCTATCTTCTTTATCAATTTCCACCTGTACTCTTGTTAATTCATGTATAAATTAAATAATCGCGAAAGTATTATATAGGAAAAAGTCATACAAGGAATTAAAATTATAATGATTTTATTGTTACTTTTTTAAATAAAATAATAACATTTGTCAAAGTATATTTTATTCGATTTCCCGATATCTCGACGAAGTGGTGATCATGGAGGCACGTGGGCGACCGGAAACTATCCCTCCCACATTCGTGTGCCCTACCTCTTCAAAGGGAGTGTTAAAGAGAAAGAGATTCATGAAGAGCGAAGAAAGAAAGTAGAGAAAAAATTAAGATATGCATAAAGATGTACGTGAAAGTAGTAAAATTTAGAAATTTCTAATCTAATGTAAGTAAAAATGGAACACATATCAAGAATAAATAAGTAATTTGTTCCTGAAAAGAAAATACAAAGATATTGACTAATGTGTGTGTACGAATGATTAACTTGATGATACTTAAGTTAACTTTTTTCTATATGTGATGAAAAATTTTACTTTTACGTTTATAATAATGTACAACACATACTGAATGTTTGCTTTTACGTAATAAGATGTATAAATATGTCATATTTAATTATCTTAATGTCACTTAATTATTACTTTAATCATTATCTACTGATGAAGGATTTCAAAAAAATTTTAATTATAAATATCTCCCCTAATCTTTTTTTGTCGTGTTGTATATTTTACGCTACAAGATAAAATAAATTCTGTGATATAAAGTCGAGAAAAAAATTAAAATTTAAGATATGTACGGAATGAGAAACGGAATGTTAAATCGACATCAAAGTACGAATAATCGAAGGGATCGAAATCAACGTTGATCTCTTTTTATCCTTCATCTTTCTCCTATCGACTCGACATCGAATCGACGACCAATGTCTATTATATACTCTTATATCATGATAGCTTTTTAATAAATTTTTTGATTACATTTTTTGAATAAATTTTGAGTTTTGGACATAGACAACTTGCATTGATCTTGATTGCCAAAATAATTATGTATCGATGTCGATATCAGCCTTCTTAATGAATATAAGTCTAGCTATTTAACATTATATGTAAAATGTATTATATAGTCAAAGAGGAATGTAAAAAAGTAATCGCATGGAAAATAAAAATCTAGTAAGAGACATGTCGAATAATAAAAATCCGCTGTGTCGCGTGGACGAAAATCATGAGTATATATACGAAGAATAGCGAGAAATATGGAGAAACAGAGGATAAGAAAGAGCGGAGAAAAACAAGGAAAAAAAAAGGTAAAAGAAGGAAAGACGATAAAACAAAAAGAACGACGATGGCGATGTAGAAGGAAACGAAAAACGAACGGGTAAATAAAGATCGACCCGTCTCCCACGCTCATGTGACCATTGTTATTATATATCCCGTGGGGTATTGTTCCCATGGGAAAACTGGACAGGCTCGTTCTACCACCTATACCTGCGAGTGCGACAAGAAGAGAAAGGAGAGAGACAAACCGAGCGCACCAATACCCTGGCGTATGTAGGTCCACACATACACATACGCAACATACTTACGAATCAACAGCCACAAGTTTCAAGTAAGACGAACGCGCTTGTATGAGGCAACGATGCACGCACGCACTCACGCACTCACGCACTCACGCACTCACGCACGCACGCACGCATCGCACGCACGCGCGCGCCCGCGCACACAGATTTTAGATACGTGGGGGACGTTCACCTCGCATCTCAGACCCTCGTCGAGCTCGTTCGCGGGTCCAGAGTGTATGCATGCATGTTAGTACCATTCCCGTATGAGAGACGTTATAAGGAGTAGTATCCGAAGACGTATATGTGCGAGGACACACATACACATATACGCACACATGCGCGTATACACACACGACTATACGCTACGAATGTCCACGGCGGAGGTCTTTCGGTGGATGCTTGAGGAACAGGGTGCGGCTCAACCTACCTCGCTTGAATTACCTACCAATATTACTGTCTAGGTAGGTATATCCAAACGCAAGCGACGCGCACAGCGCAGGATATTATGCCATATTTGCATCCTTGATCCAGGACACGCGTGTATCCGTGAAGCGTAGAGGTCCCCTTTCGAGTTGTACCTTCTCTGTTTCTTCTTCCGTAAGATCTTTTATGATTTTCAAAGATTTTGTTCAAATTTTGAAGATTTTTTTTA